ACCTTATTCTTACAATGTTTTGTATGTGCTTCTATTGAAACTGTTACATAAATTACGCTCACGAGAGGATACGGGTTTATGTTCTTAGTTCTCTAATGCTTATAATTCAAGAAATATTGGTTTTCATAATCGAAAGTATTCTGCAAATGCTCGATGGATATTCCATTTCCTTCGCAAACGTACTTACGCCCATGAATAACTACTTTTTATTCTAGTTTATTTATTCGATTCAAACTTGAAATGAGACTTTTAGTTAAAAAGAGAATTCTATGTGACAGTTCTGCGTGTATTCCAAGTTCGCATAATGTGGGTCTCTTTATACATATAGATGCGATATTTTAATTCTTAAGGTTACAAGATATTTTCCTATACTCAATAGAGCGTTTTTAATATCGATTGTAAATCTGAAACTATGAGCCTACTTATACTTACACATCCACATGCATCTGTAATTTGCAATAAACTTTTAACTACCATTATTCAAAGAGTACAATTTCCAAAGCTCAGTTGTTTCGTTATTGTTAAATTTTACTATTTCCTCATTATAAATATCTCGCTAATCACCGTGCTGCGGTTTGTAAAGCAAAACGCTAATACGTATTAGCATTTGTATAGATATTCATACAGTATTAAAAGCAGTCGTAAATAACCACTAATGTTCTGCTTGTCTAAGATGGTATCGAAGAATTCGAATCCCCGTACCTAATATCAGAAATATTTTCATTAGCATTAATCGAAACCGCAAAATCTAATAAAGCAAATGAAATCGGGATAGCCCCGCATTAAACATCTGTTCGAAACCTCGATTCATTGGCGTAGACATCTATTTTTATTAACGATTCATAAAATGAAGAAATTATTTATTCTACTGAAAATAGAGTCTATGCCTATAGGATACAAAAGAGTGTAGTGGATGAAGCAGTACATTTCCTAATTATTTTACAACACTTGTAAATTAGGATATTAATTTTTGAACACACCTCGTATACTTATTTTTCTATACATTTCCTATAAGAAATGGGTGTATAGCAACTGCCATCTTTTTTATTAGATACTATATATTTTTGGTGAAATATTGGGTATTTACAGTGATGAGGTGAATTCCATCCTCCACCAATGATTGCAGTATGTTAGTATTTGTTCCTTTGTCCATAAGGCCCTCTCGAAATAACTACTCGAAGCGGTGCGTATAGGAGATTTGGGCAGACCAATAAAACGAATGCCTACTGTCGTTTTTGTGCCTCTCCCTACTAATAACACACCGAAATCGTTCACCATGAATAATCTGCAGTCGTTCAAAAACTTTTCCTATATGTGTTTCGACAATCGTTCATTAAATTAACACCAAGAGGTCGGGTAGTTCGCGTGATTTATGTACTCTTGCTTTCCGGACGGGCGTCCTCTTCGCAACGAACGTATATAACAACAGTTGGTAATGGGCTGATCGCTCAAGGATCGGGGAATTAAGCACCGAATTAATACACCCAGGATTGGTTATTAACGAGAGTTTTTTAATCGAGCGCGCTTTCCAAACGAGGCAAATATTTAGAATAAAAAAAGCGCACACAATGATGCTAAATTAATATATTAATTTTCCTCATCTCCGTTCTGCGTTATTGATGAATTATTCAAGCCTCGCGCAACTAGCCGGTAGATTGATTGTACTTTTGTAAAATAAAACTTATAACAGCTAATTGATGGGCTAATAAACAATTCGCGAAAAAATGGGAACACGCGGTTTATTTATTATATAAACCACCCATAAAATCGAAGCGAGGCCTGATTCATCGGAGACATTTTTTTCTAGAACGACGGGAAAAGGAAAATTTATACCGTGCGAACGAGAATGAAAACAAATAGAACGTTTCTTGTACGGCTCTTCTCGACACCGTGTAATTTCGATGATAATTTCCAAGGTAGCCACGCATAAAAACCGGCAAATTTTGAATTTCATACGACAGTTTAAATCAACAGTAAGATCACACATCACGTTGGCAAAAAGAACAATGCTTATACAAGGGTTAAACGGAATGTTCTCTGCAGATTACGAGGTTTTTTCAAACGGATTGAATCCAATAAAGTGTTTCCTACTCATCGATTACTTTATTATCATTATATCATAAAGAATTGGATTACTATGTTATAAAAAATGATACAGGGTGAAACAAACTTAATCTAAATAATTATTTTCATCAGAGTTCTGCACATAATCAATAATAGAAAAAACAATAATACACGATTATGAAAATGGCTGTTAAATAAGTTCCGTTTCCCCAAATGGGAATGAGGAAAGCTTAGGGGGGAGCAAATTATATATTTACTTCCCCCGGTATATTTGGCATCCACTTTCGTTTGAGTTAATTTCATTACTCCTGTTGTATGTAATTTGTTACATCGATTTTCATTACAGACCGCTTTTTCAGCAGGCGCATTTCCAATGCGGACTTTTTCTATCGATTCCGGAATAAATTCATGAAATTTGACACGTTTAATTAATCGGTTTTTGCGAATCCATTTTTGAATATTCATGAATTCGAATTCTGAAACTGAAAGTGTTAATGAATCTATCAACAAAATCATTCAATGAATCATTCAAGAGGAATAAGTGCCTGGGAAATTATTATTTAGTTGTATTATATGCAGTTAGCACTCAATTTTTGCATAAGGAAAATCTAATTTTTGGTGGAAGCGCTGAATAAAGAACGAAACAAAAACAAGAAATGATCAATTTCGAAAAAGAGTAATTTCTAATAATTAAATTAGGACGAATTGTAAGCGAAAACCTTGATAAAGAAGAAGAAGAATCTCAGGTCTAAATCTCAGTGATTATCCGAATTGTTTTCCGGCCCAAAGAAGACTTACCCGTTGATCAAAGAAACATCAAACGTAAATACCCAAACGTTAAATGTTGTTTAGCGAAAATTCGTTCGGGAATTTTGAGAGCAGGTACGGAATTATGTACCTTAAGATAGAAAAAGCCGATGGTCGGCGAGGTGTGAGAGATAGAGACGTTGGGTGTTCAGGCAAGCAATTAGAACGCCTTTTGCAATGGACTAATGATAGGTCACGCTCAGGGCTGCTTGGGGCATCACGCGCTCCGGACCACCCAGACGAGATAACCTCATCACCCGGCCCCCGTATACACTCGCCGTACACTGGCCTTCTTCATTATGTTATTATACAGATATTATTGATGCAGCAACCACCTGGTGATCGGTGCTGACTTGCAGATGGTTGATCTTGTCATTCGGTTTTTATTTAAATCTATGACGAATTCCTCTCGGCGGGACGACGTAATGCGGAGTTAAAAACAAACTGGAATTGTACCAGCACCGTTGAAATTCTCATTGTTGTTCTATCGGAAAATTGGCTGGGTTTCGTTCGAAAAACTTTTAACAATCCGCTCGGTATTTTAAAGAAGGACGCCAGCGCAAGAAACGGAGATGAAATTAAATTAGAGAATGCCTCGTTGGCTGGTATCGCTAGAATTCAGTGAATTTGAAAAACAGACCGATTTCGATTTAAATTCCCTGAATCTTAATGATTGTCAGTGAACCTCTTAAAAGTGCATTAACTCTTGTCTTGTTATACAAATTAGTATCAGGTTGAACATAAACTGCCTTAATTGGCTATAATTCATTTTAAATAAAAACAGTACCCGAGTTCTGTGTGATAATCTCTCGAGTTATTTTTACACTTTTTTTTCTAACCAATACATTCCTCAGTTACGAGAATCTACAAATTGAAAATGAATTTTATCTATTTTAATTAACATTCTGTGTATATTTGTCTTGAATTAAAGTTAAAATAATGATAAAAAGATATCCGGTAATCAAGAACAATTAAAACGGATTTAAATTGATAGAAAACGGTACATTTGAATGGAATAAATAAATAAAGAAGAGAATTAAAAGATAATCAATAAAAAAAATTAGTTTCCAATTACCTCGTCGGCCGTTAATCAATCCATAAAATACAATCAATTTCCATATGTTAATTGACACAGTTCGAGACCTATTATCGTTTGTTACGGCAGGCAAATAGGCATAAATTGAGATATTGCATATTTTTCGACGGACTGGATTATACCTGACGGATGTAAATTTGCCTCCGCCTTTCAAACGGGAATCGATAATAATTTTCTCATAAAAGTTATTAACCATAAACGAAGCTGAAGTCCTTAATACCCAATAGCTATAAAAGCTGAATTTCATGAATATCGGTGATACGGAAAGTCGTTACATAAGTCAAACGGTTGACAAACTAAGTGATAATTATAAAACTGCCTTGCATAATGTAAATGATAACCTTTTGCATTTTCTAAGACCACCCAAACTGGGCTGCTTCCTGGGGGGCACTTAAAACATCTTCAAGGGTCCGGAACATAAATTTGCCGTTGACATGCTCCGATCACGCAACCTGAATCAAGCGATTGATTAAAACAACGAAATTTTGAATCATGTCTTCTGGCTTAGACCATCAGCACTTACCTGCGGACGTTTTACTCTTGATTAAGCGTATACGCTGCCATAGTTCACGAATTCACGACTTCGTTACGGTTCGGATATTTTTTACACGGTATATTTCGTTTTAAAAAACGATTAAAAAAACGGGCTTTTGTGCCTGTGTTCTGTGCGTATATTGCAGTTAATCAACTTTTTATCTTGCATAATACAATACAATATTCTTTTAATAAAATTACTTAATGTACAGTGAACGATTTGCTGTGTTTTTGACAAAATTTAATAATTCTCTAGATTGTTTTTGTATTATTTTTGAAAATAAATAGTCTTTTGGCTCATTCTCTCTGTTCATGAGAGTAACAGTTATATTTTTTTACAATTTAATATCTACTTACTTTCTCAACTTCCTCGAAAGCTTTGTACAACCTGTAGAATAATAAGAGAGGTGCAAATAAAACAAACAAAAATTTTCGTAATAATTTACTAAATACAAAGCTCGTATCGAATGTGGTAATACACGAACAAAATTTTCAATTAGCTACATCTCAATGACGCAATTCACCGTCTCCGATCAGTCCGTGAAAAAAAAATATTCACAAGCAAATATTTACCCTCTTACTCACCTTACAAGTATCACATTGCACCTCACAGCAATATTTAAACGTACAATTACAATTAACCCTAACCACTTCGACGTAGGTCGAATAGCCCCTTCCACAGCATAAAATCCCACAGCCTTCTTCGCCCTGCGACGTGTCGTTGCACGCCCTGCCCTGCGTCCCGAAGGAGCCGAGGCCGCTGTCGGGCGCGCAGTACGAGGGCGACTCCTCGGAGTACACCAGGTCGGCGCGGCCGGGCGGCTTGATGGTCTCCCCTTCGGGCATGAAGCTCTGCCCGTCGTTGCCCGCTATGACTTTGGCCGCGCCGTCGAAGCGCTCCTTCAGCCGGTTGCCCACCTCCCTGAAGGTCGGCATCCTCCTGGTGCACGTCTTCAGCGTGCACGAGCCGGACAGGCCGTGGCACTTGCAGACCGTCTTCATGTAGTTCTTTATGGCCTGAAAAACCGTCCAGATTTATTCTCTAGCGCGCTTTTAGTACTCGTATATGTTCGCTTACCAGCCGACCAGCGACGTAGTTGTGTAATTTCACTAAAGTCTTCATATCACTTCGTTTTCTGTACCTCGTGTCCAGGTAGTCCTTGGATTTCTTGATGCCGAATTCTATGTTCTCCCCGCAACCGTCCCATTCCCAGTCCCCGTCCGGCAACGGAGGGTGGTTTTTCTTCTTGTTTTTCTTCTTTTTGTGCTTCGAGCACGAGCAGCCGATTTGCTCCCCTTTGGTGCACGCTCTGGTTATTTGGAAGGTTATTCCAGCTGCTATGATGGCGTTCACGAAACCCGTTTCCCTCGTGTCTGAAAGAAACAAACGATTTATTTCATTAAATTATTTTATTACCAGAAATTTGTTATTTTGTAAGGCATTTCCAGACACTGGGATCTCTCTTTTCGGAACGCATGGTGGAAAGTTAGTAAAAATTCATAGATTCAGATTAATTCTAAGTTCGTAAATATCATGCCCTATTGAGCATATATGTGAGTCCATTTTAAGAATGTAAGTAGTATTTCGAAAAACTCTCTCTTTAAATGCGATGTTTTTCCGGTGATAAGATCGCCGATATCCTTGAAAAACCGCGCAGCGCTTTAAACATCGATTTCAGCTAATCTAAACGACGAATCAGTGTGTCCGAAGACACCGTTTCCAGCTCATCCGGTTGCCTTTCAGTGTCTCAATCCGATCAATTGAACAGACAAGGAAAATTGTCGTTGCGATAGTCATCTTTGGTCTATCCTGGTAAATCACATTTGCAATTATTATATGCACCGGCAAGAACTGGTGCAGTGGCGATATGCGCTTATTCAGGATATGTTGAATAGTTAGATAAACATCGACCGGTGAGGCGATGTCGAGTTAAAATGCACTTTTTTCCGTCAATAAATTCTCGGTTTTAGTGCTTTATTTTTGTATGATGAAACCTGTTGGGAATATACGGAGATTATTCCAATGGCGATTTAACTTCGGATCAAGACTTAACCAATTAAAATAGAATATTTGCAATATCTTGGAATGGAATTTAAAAAGGATCATTTAAATTTTTGCGCAAAATATATGCGAGAGACATTTTATCCAATTTTGCGCTATAATGAAGATTTATATTCGCCGGACTTTTAATAAATAACCTGCCGTTTTTTATTGCAAATTTAACCTAAATCTCTAATTACTCACCTCTGAGCATAACCTTCTTAATGCTCCTCCTGGAGGACGTGCAGTTCCACCTTCGGTACCGGAATTGGTACTGACACTCCAACTGCCCGAGGGCGATTCCCTTTGTTATCTGATTCAACAGGCCCGGCTTGTTGTTGCATATATCCGCCATTTTTCCTCGAGACCAATTCGTTCTTTTGCAAGTCTGATTCGGATCCATAACCAAATAACTACCTAAAGCCCTGCAAAACAAAACCATTACCAATTACCACAAAATTACAAATATATACTGATCGCACCAATCAGTCAGTTAGTAGCGTTAACTTTTTATAGAAATTATTTACTGCCCAAGATTGTGTAATTTGTAGGTCATTAAGTTGGAATAAGCTTTGTGCCAATTGTTCTAACTCATTATTACTAGGTTAATCGATTGAATGATCGTGTCTACGAAGTTTTAGTAAAATCTATTAATAATATTTGCTAGGAAATTGTATAGTTTCTTAATAGGTTCATTTTATGTACTTGTAGAGGAATAAAATAAAAATTCACAGTATGTATACAATCTATAGGTTATAGCTAGGTATTAATTTAGGAATTCGATTCAGCTCGATTATACAAGTCGGGATCACCCACATCGTTTACATGTTAATTATCAACCCACTTAAAAATTCAGTGACGATATTTCATAAACATAAATTTCGTAAATGTATCTTAAAATTAATGTGTTGATTTAAAAAAAATCGGTTCTTATTTATAAACGCGATCGCAAATGATCCGGAAAATTTAGCGCCTTTAATATCGCTGACGCACGATGATTTACAGTTTTCTCGGTTTACGAAACTTGCAATAAATATTGCTCCTATATTAAACAGTCGCTCGCTCATTAACGGTACACTCAACTTAATAGTTTGTTCGTACGTAACTTGCGATTTTTATAGTGTGTATTGCGGAGTAATTAAAAGTGTCTACATCTTACATTTTGGAACATTCACCGATGTAACGTTGAAAATAAAAATGTTGTTGCCCTTTCACTTTCTTCCATCGTATTTCCGGAACGTGTTTTTTCTTATCAATTAAAGCTACTGTACTTAGTATTTTCCTAAGTATTGCACAATTTGTCACACTTCAAACACTGGTAGTTTTTTTTTTATTTTTAGTCAATTCCAAGGAAACATTTCATCGGGATTACATATTACGTATAATAAATTTGGCGAAACTCCGGCTCCCGCGGAGCAATCGAAAGGAAAATAAACCGCAATACCTCATATTTGTTAATCTAAAATTATTTACTGTCAAGCCAATTTCCTTAAGTGTTGATTGAAAGGTGTTTTCTTAAGACTGCCAGTCGAAATAAATACCGGCCGACACGGCTTTCTGTACACATATATCAGTTTTGAGCTAGTGTAACGATAATTACGTTGAACAGATACGTTGAACGCTGAGAAATGATTTGACGACAGCAGGGAAATAATGCAGAAACTTTTTACGTATCTACTGTTATAGGAATATGCAACCTTGAAATTCTAATAGATTATACGGAAATTCAACTGGACCAGGTTCATTTATGAAATCAATTCTATACAGAATGTATCATAAAATTACTAGGTCAAATGAAGCAAAGTTGATTGAATATTTTCCCTCGTCAATATTTTCGTAAACTATCAAAAGAGACGATCGTAATTCTTTCCGAAACGTTTCACTTCGGACGCTAATTGCTCGTATATTTTCACGCAGAAAACAAAAGGCATTCCGCGATGTAAATTATGCAATTGATCATAAATCTGCCCGGGAGAGCGGCCGGTACCTCCTTAAAGTAATTATTTATCTACTAAAGGTAGTTTATTAAATTACATTGTACCTGTTTATGAACAACAAAGCACGCACAAATGAAACAAAAGCTGCGAAAATTTCGAATTTACATGCGCACAAATAATCCCGGTCATCAAAAAATACTTATAACATACACAAAATAAGCGCAGTGTTAATTAAAATGTAAGAATTATTAAATAAAACAGTAGAATAGAAACGTATTAATTAAGAGGTATTGTGAAAACATTGAGCCTTCTAGACACCATTTCTTTTGTACAAACTCATAGATTTTTTTCAAAAAAAAAATCAAATATTTAGTGCTACTCTAAAATGTTTGCCAGACTTATACGACACAGAGGTGTAAATTAACAGCTATTAAACACACACTAGCTCCAGAGTTTATTTTTAAAATTAGTCATATTAGATCGGTCGAGGAATTTCTTTCATGTAGTCTGCCCTAAGAACAGGTGTATTAGTGAATCTGTTTGTTGTATTTGTAACTCATTTTCTGTTAAAAACTATTACATTAATATTATAAGAGAATTTCTCTAATAGAATGGAATCAAAATTGTAGTGGTTTGTAGGGTAATCAATGTAAACCTTTGATTGATCTACTGCTATGTCAAAAATAAAAATAATTAGCAAAAGCCTGTATTTGTAAAACTATTTTTAGGCTATTATATACAAATATACGCAGCTTTTGAGTGAGCCTTTTACTTTGATTTACGATATTTACGTTTTTTGTATGCCGTGACCCTTATCAAAGATTTCATAAAAATGTACTGCACGTTTCACGTAAAAATTACGATAACAGAAAATTTCTTTTTACACGTAAATCTCGTTAACAGACAAAGGGATTAGTGAGCGTTTTAATATTCACTGGCACTACGAACGTAGGTAAATAAACTATGCATAAATCAAAAATTATGAAATATTTTTAGTGGAATAAATTTTTCATTACAACTCGTAGTTATATATTGCCCAATTTTTGGACCTGAGATTATTTCACCGTTATATGAAATTTATTTTTTTTATTTATTTATTCAATTGTAAGCATGTTTGGAAATTGCCGTTGCCACATCTAATTTTTTGGCCACTTTCTTGCTACTTTTTACAGCACAAAAACGTTATTATTAATAAAAAATCGATGGAAATCGAAGCGTTTCTCCAACGTGAAATACCGATATCGATAAAGTGGTACCGTCGCCTTAACCTGGAGTGAACTCTCGCTAACACCTGTAAAGACGTCCGTGGGTACTCTCAAATAACACACCGCGCCAATGGGTACCCAGAGGACGAGGCCATAACGTGATTGGTGACTGCCGAGAATATTAATACTTATCACACTGACCCGAGATCAATAACAAATTTTATAGGATAGCCACAAAGTGAAGAATGGCGGAGAACTGACATTCATCATGGTCCATCAGACGCACGAAGAAATCGGAGAATAATTAATGAGGATATCGTCTTGTATTTTTATCTCGAGCTACAGTTTATTTTCGGTGGGTAAATTGAATGCGTAATATTCACATGCATTTATGAGGAGTATAAATTTAATGGTCCAGTCGAATATGACGGAATGTTGGCGAGACCAGATTTTAAGTGTATTTGTATCTGGTGAAAAACTACGGATTGAAAATGAATGTTTAGCTAATAATAGAACGAATGCGGGATAAAATTCAAAAGTACTATGTACATCGTTATAATGTAGGTCACGAGACGACGTCATTTCTTAATAGATATAGTGGAAATTATGTATTTCGTCCAAGCGGTGAGCTTTGTGCAATTAATTAATTAGGATATGAATACCTACACGCCTCGAATGGTCAAGATCAACTATTAAGGTTAAAAGTTAGATACTTCTACACAACAATCCTTCACGGAAGCTAAAAAAATCGTATTCTCATCAGAGTCAAATATCGCATTAAAAGGTTAAACCGAACAAAACAGAGGGATATTTGTTTCTATTCCACACTATTAAGTAGTGTCATAACTTCACCTGGATATAAACACACAAGAGTTGTAATAACAAATAACGCGGTTTTTAGTATTATGCCTAGTAACCGGTGTTTACGTTCGAGTCTGTCAAACATCAAGCTCACCAAAATATTTTAGAATATTCATTCTCAATTGCCGAATTTATTTTAACACCTGAATTTAAGCACCGCAGCGATATCATCTTATGAGGTTATTACAATTTTCGTTGGATAAATAAGGCTCCACCTAAATTCTTCCACTTACAAACAATTTTCGATGTTGTTATTCCGGATTTCCAGGGGAGTTTCGCAAATGCTAATAGCCAAATTAATTTGGCGCGTATTCAAATCGATAAACGCTATTTGCACGATGTGCTTGCTCTCTTAGGTAAACTTTATACTGCACCACATACCTGTCGTCGAAATCCAAACACACACTCTTTACTACTACTAGTTTGTCAACAAGAGACTTTATCGCGTTATCTTTATTATGGAGATTATTTATATTTACAGGATGTTAAAATGTTCCTAGAGGGTACTATTGTCAAAGATTGAAGCAAGCTCGACATATTGAGTTACTCGACTAAAATTAAACCCTAAAAGAGAAAATTTTTAATAATTTGATTGGCTCGTGTAATAAATATTAGGCTAGATAAATTTAATATACCTATTTAGTTGAGGAGAAGAGTAACAGTTTAGTCACTACAAATTGTTAAATAAATTTTTCAACCATACAACATTCTCATACACTTTTCTACCTACTAAATCACTCAAAAAGGTAAGGGTTAATTTATGAAAGTACCCTGTATTATACTAGGTAAGGTAAACAATTTGGTTATTTCATTGTTATCGTTTGAAAACTAAACATTAGTCTTCTTCCTGTAGAAGGCTCTATTAATAACACAGGAAGAAAAGTTAAAAAAATGAAGAGTGATACAGTGGAAGTAACTTGAGGAATTATACACAAATAAAGTGTTACAAGTAAATAAATGTTTGTTTTAAAGAGGGCGCTGTGTTATAGTAACCTCTATACCTACTTAAATTTTACGATAAAATAGACTAATTTTGCAAGTAATGAAAATTATATTCGTTAGTTTTAATAGGAAAATGAAGCTATTTTTTGAAGCTAGCCGGTATAGTGAAGCGCATAGGAAATTCGAAAATAAAGTGAACAAAACAAACATTACACACGTATTAGAAAAAGCGGAAAATCGTGTACTTACCACCAGGAAGTCGAGAACGGGGTGAGAATGAGCAAAAGGTAAACGGCGGGCACGAAGAGCACCGTGTGCATATCGCGCGATAACACACTCACTTAGGTGAGCCCCATCACTGCCATAATGGTGGTGGTCGACTCTCGAGACAACGCTACAACACGCACCGGGACTTACCTCTGAGAATAACAGCCAAAAGCGTGCCGCGGATTAGAACAGGCATGCGCCAGGTCCTTTCGAAAGAGGAACCTCCAGTCCTGCAGGGGTTGCGAGCCGACCCACGGCGTTGGCCTCCACCGCTCGGCCCGGCACCGAGACTATATAACCATCACCGAGCATCGGTACATACAAGACCACTCAATACTCTCGTTATTAAAAAAATCTCAAATTTTAATTGTTTTTAATAATCTCTTATATTATTTCGAACAAAATCAATCGCAGGTTTCGATTCGAGCGCGTTCGGCTCGCCCTCGCAAATCCGTCTTGTTTGAAGCCCTGATGGATTATCGAGCGCTCAAGCTGTATGTAAATTTCGTCGATGCATTGATGTTTCTGTCGCGAAACTACTCGGAAATTTGTCAAACGAACCTGCCGCAATGAATGCTAATCGGTTTGATTGCTAAAAGCCGATTGCGGTAACGCTCGTCAAAACCTTTTGTGAAGCAACAATATGTAACGAATCGCCGGAATTGCGTTAAAAACCAATAAAATTTGCTTTCTGTCGGTGCTCGTAAACGTTAAATGTAGGTATTATCGCGAATTGTTCTAACATAACGAACTAGTTGCGGTTGGTAAGATTCATTTGCTAATGTATAACGAGTATTATATCCTGGGAGCAATTTTCTAGACAGGAAAATATTTATATTTATAATTGCTATATAATTATTAGTACACAAATTACAGTAAATAATTGTATGGGAAAGTGACGCAGCGTTTGACCGGGGGTTGTCAAGACCAGCGAAATCGAATTATTCTATTTTTATCGACGTGTTTATCTGGCTCTTATGTGTGCGGATTCCTTCCTCTGACGTTAAGACAGTCGCATTTTGCTGTCATTCAATCGCGAAAAACCGGAGAAAAAAAGCAGTCGACAAACGAAGGTATTTTATTTTCCTGCCAAGGTTAATTCAGGGCAAGAAGACCATCTCTAAAGTAAAATAGTAGTGTATCTCGCGTACTATCTGAGACAAGAGGATTTAATAGTGGCACATAATTGACATTAAGAATGTACAGCCCGCTGGATTCCAGGATAAGGACTGATTAAATGGCGATATACTTGGTTTAAGTAAATGAAGTGCACCTTCAGCGGTCACAATGGGAAATTAATCCTGTGACAGAATTCGCGGAGACCGTTCGCACAATGCGGACTTTGTGGACTTTGTCGACAATAATTAAATTTAACGAATGTACAATAAATATTGTTTAATTATATAATAGAAATATTTAATCATTACTACAATTATCTTGTTTTTTATTAACTATTTTTTGAGATAGAGTTATAAAACAATACATTTTCTAATACCTTACTCACACAACAAACCGAAAACAAATATTAATTAGTAACACATAAAAAGGCCCAAAAGAAATGAGAAGAAAAAACAGAAACTCAAACTGCAGCAGTGCACATAATCACTGAATACCTAACCCGTTTCTCAAGCTTTTCTTTTTGGTAGGCTTGGGAAAGAAACCGCATTCGAGCCATTTTGAGAGTCGCGAAGGATGCAAAAACCCGGAATCAGTCGACACTAAAATATTTTAAATGGCTATTAAGGCCAATTTGTTTTGCTTTACACTTAATTGAATATTTTAATTCCCAGGATAGATAATTACGTCGATATGTTTTGGCTAATATGCTTCTTGATATACTATCTCGGATAAAGCAAGTCCATCTTTATAAGAGTTTTTTATTACATCTCAAATTGTAAAATTTTCTTTTATTGCCACCCGACATTAGGCAGCTAATTATACTCTTGCTTTTGAATTCCTAAAAACAAACATCTTCAAACACTCCGAAAATTTTTTGTAACTCCCAAGGTTCTGTAACAAACACGTATACCTGAACAAAAATAACATCTGCCGGCGAAAAATTCCAACAGGATATTGTCCTAGCTCTGTTCCTCGTGAATAGGTAAGTACAAGATATGGATACAGTTTAATAGAAGCAGCTCGATATTATACTCTCACAGTTAAACGGGGATTAGACAGGAAGGACCCTCGAGGAGGCGCATCAATGGGCGAGTGGTAACAGCAACATATTCCCCAACAAAAGAACAAAAATATATCGGCTTACAAAGGATGAGTGTTGTCGTTTTTGGCGAACAATGTAACATTAAGTACATCTTCAATGGTTAAGTGAATCCGAGTTTATCTGCATTTAGTTTAATTGAGTTTCGTTGAATGGACCGTCCCAAATGGCCGCCTAAGTTGAGGATTTCATTATTCCTATCGTCTAGCTTAGGCTTCCACAATAAGATGAGCCCGTATACATTTCTTAACCCGAAAAATACGAATATATTGATGACTAAACAAGTCTACAACAATTCCTACATATTCTTTAATTATTTATTGTCAATGGAAATTTGTGAAACGTTAAAAAAATCGTTTTATTGTTGGAAATATTAGAATATACGGTAAACAATTGCCTATTGAAGAGAAACTTATGCGACAGTGCAAGCAAAGTGCAATTATCTATTCGAAAAAGGCTATTCCAAACGCTATAGTTTAAACCGCTGACAGGCTTGCAGACATAAATATGCGACTGTGATTTAAGACTGCGCAATTTTGCATTCTTGTCTATTCTATTCACTGACTCGCAGGAAATTATCCGCAAAATTAATGGTTTATAGAGAGTGTCGCAGTATATTCTTTTCTAAAAACGTGGAAAATCACCGGTAAAATTAACTAGTAACTTTACCAGCATTCATCAAACCCATTTTACGGGCGTTGGTAAAGAGTAAAATTCGAGAATATGAAGCTCGTGTTAATTCAATTACGTCGTTGGAAATTGGTGTGGTTTCTTTGAGGCTAGGAGGTTAAACTTCACCTAGACCAGGTCGAAATGTGTAAATATTGTGTGTCGTGTGGTATGAAAATCGTGCCTCGGCTATTAGTCGATTCAGGTGAAAATAACAATTCATTGTGACACACCACCTGCTCAAAAGACATAATTATTGGCCACGCTCACTTGCTTTATGGCGCTTTAAATTAACCTATTCGGTGTTTTCGATGGTGAACATATCGTGAATATTTGTTTTGTAATATTCGCCGAGTGTATTTATGGGGTTTTCGGGATTTATTTAGTTGTACTGATCGAACGAAAGTTGGTTGATTTCAACATTATGAAAGTATGTTGCGCTATAATTTATTTACTTATATTCACCAGAGTATTGGGATTTTGAACACCAATATTTCTCTTTTTAAAGATCATCAGTCTGATTTAAACCAATGACTAAATGATATACACCTTGCTCCATTTCCGATTGCAACATGGTCATTTCTATGAGTGGAACAAAGAAAGGTTATTAAAATGACATTTCAGAGTGAAAAGTTGCAATGACACAAATGTCACTCTTTCATTTTCCTTTGTAAGTGTCTAATGGAAGTTGTCTTTGTCGCACCCATGGCCTATATAACCTATGTTGCGATCAAAAATGGAGCAACCTGTATGTATATTAAATAATTTTGTGTAATTAAATGTGAAGAATAAATTGTTAAATGAAAAGGAATTTTTAAAGTACAATAGGCAAGTAGGTAGTATGTTTAATTGTCAAGTACAATGTTGAGAATTTGTTCTGGAGTCGAAAGTATGCAAATTGAAAATTTGGAACGCAGAAAAAATCTGACAAGTTAAATGACTGCTTGAAAAGTACATAGTCCGAGAAAACAATACGCAACAATGGTCTCGGGGGATAAATAAGCTCGGCTGTCAATTATTTTACAATATAATCAGCACTAAAGTAGAGAGCACAATCGGCAAGAATTATAATTGTATTGAGGCGTATCTTCTTGGCCTACCGTAATTTCTGATAAGGCAACATTTTTAAAATAACCGAAACGGGTTCTCGAACAGCAGATCCACGGTCGACTGAGATATTTATGATTACATTTGTAGCCGTTCACTTGTTTCACGATGTGAGGAGAATCGAGAATGTGGTATTGTCAGTCAGATTCAGATTCGATGCTCGCCAGTACCAACTCATACACTTTCCAGCTCATCGCATTATCATTTCCGAGAAAATTTCAACGTTGAAATATTATTCGAAATTTCGCGATTAATTGACGCGCGCCCGATTTTTTTCCCATCGACTTTCTTACAATGTTGCTGTAATTCGTTTATTTTCGATGCGCGAAAATTGGCCAAATGATCCGGCGTCAGTTTTAACAAACTAAATTAAACTTCTTGTTAGTACAATATGAAACAATCCAGCTATGAAAATAATTTATTTGCGTACAGTTCGACTCGGTTCCATCGTCAGCTCATCATTCGCGCGATGTGTTTGTAAATTTCGCGAGAAAAATCCGCGTTAACGCTAGATAGTCGTCTCTATATTTATTTTCGGAGAAATTTCTGTTGGATTTCAGCCATTATTTATCCGATTTGAGGATGGCCGGTTTACCATAAATCTTAAATTATGGCGTTTAAATGTGTTTTTTTCAATTTAATTGGTATCTATCATTACCTGATGCTGCATTATCAAAATAATTAATCCAATAAAACACTAAAAATAATATTCCGTATAATACATCACACTAAAAGGCAGAGGTATTTATTATTTTAATTAACAATTTAGGTATTGAATCTTGAAGCGAAAGTATAATGAAACGTGTTTAGGAGCCTCCGAACCGAAGAAATAACGTGCGAGACCAGCAACATAAAAACCGTCGGTCCCGAGCATCATTATAAGTATAAAGATATCCGAAATTTAGTGGTTACTTACTGTGTTCAAACAAAATCGGTCGGAGAACGAAAATGAAACGGTCCGGGCGTCAGAGGTGGGCCCTCTAACCGAAAGTTTTGACCTAATGAAGCTATCACGCAGCCTGTAATCAAGATACCGGCCCTGCGGGGTCGAAAAAATACTAGCCCTCCCAAATACCGGTCCACAGTGGCGCCGTCGAAATTACATTCTCGCGAACAAAGCGAATTTAAAATACAATTAAAGTATCAATCGCAAATTACTCAATCGCTCCGCGAAAGGAAACCAATATGAGACACATCATAACGCGCCGATTATTAATATCGAATTCTTGCACGTCCTCGACGGGCTAATTAATTAATGCTAATTCCAATTACACGCTAGTAATAAGAATTTTTAAGTCCGCAAGTCACTTGGATATGTGTATTAATTAACGTTAACTTTGATGAAGATGTCGCTTCTGATATACCAGACTTGCATACTGATGGTCAACCAAATGTGCGTCTTAGTATTAAGTAATAAATAAATAATGCGGTTGTTGAAACGGGGATTCGAAAACGAGACGAGTGATTTAATGCGCGCAGAAAATACTCGTAAATAACGAAGGAAATCCTACAAAAAAGTGCAATAGATACGTCTTTCATTTATTCCCTCGGGAATAAGAGTTGTGGTATTAATAATAATCATAAAACTGATGAAAAAAACTTACAAATTAGTTATGTACCCTCTTCTTAGTTTTTTTTATTGCACACCTAGTGCATGATTTTCGAAGAATGTTAAAATAGTCTATTAAAATTCTTCGATAGTCGTGTTACCAGAAAGGTGCTAATTTGATTGCCTGTTCGGAACACCATCTTGTCATTTAATGAAGTGAGAAAACATTATAGTTTCTCACGCAATTATCAATGTTGAATTGCAGAATAATACAGATATATTAGATATGCTGGGCCATCTTCTGCTAATGGAATCATTGAGAGCGAGACACAGGGCGGAGACGTGTCAAAAGTAATACTATTGTTTAAGCCTCTTACTGTTTTAGTGCTCGTGGGAAAAGCCTATAGATAGGGCACCTAAGGATGATTGAAGAAATATTATACTTTAGACTTGTAGAGTATTTTAAAACCCTTGTACGTACGATACAAATTAATTAGCTAGTATATACAAATAGATAAATTGAAAAAAAAAGTATTCAAATTTATGCACTCCAATAAATGAATGTCACTTGGGGACATCCAATTAACATGATCAAAGTCGTGTTAATTAAAGGGACTGTGATCAGTCACTTTTACCGAGAAATAAAGGGCCGGCTTTCAGTCGCCGACCAGCTATTTAAGACCGCGGCTTTTCATTTGGGAGTTTTAATGTCCACGAGGGATCTTTGATGTTTTCGGACATTCGTTTATTATTTACCGTGCGGATTACAGCTTTTAATCTGAAAATGGAAGCACGAATTTCGATTCTCTGTTGGAAGCATGAAACGTATTTATTGTGTCTTCCTTTATAAAGAGGTGAACATGATTTGTTTAATGTATAGTTCAATATTCATGTGGATAAGAAGACTTTATGAAAGTACTGTATAGCGTGATGTGAACCATTGGGGTCGTAATGTTGAATTATATTTAAGATAAAATTAAAACAAAAGAAACAGGAAAAAGCGAGTTATTGGGACACTATATTACATGGCAATTCTAACCGAATTTAGATAATCTTATTTGCACCTTCTGTTATCTGATAAAATAAATATGTTTATCGGCCGTTTAATAATGTACTTTAGTAAGGACCGGGTTCTATAAGTACTTTGCAGTACTGCATTCAAAAACAACTTTACCTAAATAATAAAGACTGGTAGATTGAATTTCTACATACAAGCACATTTATTTTTTATAATTCTGAATATTATACAAAAAATGTGTAAATTTCGCAACAAGTTATTTTCTCTTGAATTTCATTCATTCGGTTTAAAAATAGCTGCGTCATTTCTAGTACGCAAAATATTAAACAATTGGAAAATGTAAATGGTTTATATGCATATTAATTTTGTATGTCTAAAAATAGATGGAAATTGTTTAAAATATCAGGGGTAGACTTACCGAATAAATGCTAAAATAATTATTAAATTCGTCTAAATAAAAATACGGGCTTTTGAATTTCTATTTAAAGATCAATTTAGAACTGAATTGCGTTATGTCTAGATTACAATTTTAGTTCTAATTCTATTAACAATATTTAACACAAAACCATTACACAAATTATATTTTTCTTTTACATTAAGACACATTTTCGCTTAAAATGCTGTGCACATATGGCGAGTCCGGCCCTTTTAAGACCATATCATATCAATTATCATCTATGTGAGGCATCGACATACTTCAATTATAAGCAGTTAACTACACTTGTATGAAATAGTGTATTTATTCGGAATGTAAGTGACTGCTACCATGCAACATTTGCTGATGGAAAATTTTAAAATTGTATGCAGTTGTTAGTTGTTAAGTTGAGTGATTCGATAATGGGATAATAGTCGAAATAAAGACGAGGCGAATACCTAAAGTAAGCTATTTACAATGTTTTATATCTAAAAGTTATTTTAAGCGTACTATCCTCTTAATAAAAATGTGCTTTAATTAGTAATAGTAGCCTATTTAGTGAATAGATGTCTTCTTAAGTTTGAGTGGTAAATTTGGTTCAAATAGTGTGATAAAAACATCAAATTTTTCAGATACAAAATGGAGAAGCCAAGTAAAGAACCTGAAACTAAATCAGAAAGAGTTTCCAAACTTTCTGGAATGAGCAATGGACTCAAAAGAACAATTTCAGGTGTATTGCTATCAGCTCTATTCTTCACCATCGTATATGTCGGTGTTCCAACCATTTACACCATGTATTTAATCGTTCAAATTAAATGCTTCGACGAAATTCTGAAAATCGGATACAGCATGAAGAAAGTGCAGGAAATTCCGCTATTTCGGACGCTCAATTGGTATTTCTTAGTGGTAGCGAATTATTTCCTATTCGGCGAGACATTCATTAGCCACACTCAAGTTTTCATTAGGAAATACTACGTGCTGGAAGCGCTGGCGTCTTATCACAGGTTCATATCGTTTTGCCTGTATTTTCTCGGCTTGATTTGCTTCATGACGATTTTGAGGAAGAAATTGATCCGGCAACAGTTCAGCTTGCTGTCCTGGACGCATTTCCTTTTGATGATTATCAGCGTGCAAACTTATATGATCATCCAAGTGATGTTCGAAGGGATTATATGGCTGGTGGTGTCGCTTTGGTTGGTTATTCTGAACGACATCTTCGCTTACTTATTCGGCAAATACTTCGGAAAAACGCCCTTGATCAGCCTCTCGCCCAAAAAAACCGTAGAAGGATTCGTCATGGGCGGTTTGAGCACGTTCGTGCTCGGCGTTCTGATATCGTATTTGTTCTGCCATTTCAAGTACTTCGTGTGTCCGGTTAAATACGAAGAAATCAACGGGGAGATTGTGCATTTCTCGAACTGCACGCCGAGCGACTTGTTCCAACCCATCCCTTACCAAATCTTCAACACGGGGATCTCCCTAAATTACTATCCCTTCATGAAGCACTCGCTGTACCTGTCGATTTTCGCCAGCATCATCGCCCCCTTCGGGGGTTTCTGCGCGTCCGGGTTCAAGCGCGCCGTCAACGTGAAGGACTTCTCGGACACGTTTCCGGGACACGGGGGATTCGTGGATAGATTCGACTGCCAGTTTCTGATGATGACCTTCGCCAATGTCTACATCATGACGTTCGTCGAGCACTCCGATGTCGACGAGATTTTCCGGAAAATTCTCACGCTGACCGACGCCCAACAGCTGGAGTTTTATTCGCTGTTGAAGCACTCTTTGGGCGAGCAGCTCGTTGGTGCGGTAAAATAGAGAGTTTTACTATTATTTATTATTTATTTATTTATCTACACTTCGACAACACTTTTGAACATATAGGTGCTTCGATTTGTGTACCAGTTTTGAGAGTATGTAAATAGTTTTATTCCAATGGTCTCATTTGTTCACTACCATCATGCATTATAGCAGTGTTGCCATATTGCAATTTTTTCTTCCCTGTTAGGATTTGTCAAAAATTGGCCAATAAAGCAACTATTAGAAGCTGTCAAATTGTGAATTATTGACATATTAAATCAATTAAAATCAAATCGACAATATTAAGTTAAAGTTCTAACAAATAATAACAAATTTTATACAAAGAAGCTATAATTATTAGTTCTTGCATTGGAAACTATCAGAAGGTATACATTGTAATAAATTTGTTGTTACAATTTAAGAATATAACTTTTACCACAATTACAGCAAAAAGTAACCAATTCGTTACAGTGAAAATGTGCGAAAAATCAGCAAATAACACCGAAAACCTGGATGGTATGACCGACCCCCATCCACCTCGGAAGAAAAGCACGGTGAAGAGATTCATCTCGGGGATCCTCATGGGATCCTTCTTCTTCGCCATCGTGTACTTCGGAGTTCCGACGATGTACATGACGTGCTTCGGGCTGCAGATAAAATGCGTCGACGAAGTGCTGAAGATCGGCTACAATTTGAAGAAAATCCAGGAGATCCCGTTCTTCCACGCGCTGAATTGGTATTTGCTAATGGTGGCCAATTACTTTCTCTTCGGCGAAACGTTCATACAGCACGGTAGAGTGTACCTGAGAAAATATTACCTACTCGACATGCTGTCGTCGTACCATAGGTTCATATCCTTTTGTTTCTACTTCATCGGATTGGTGTGGTTCGTGGTTATTTTGAGGAAGAAGATTTTAAGACAGCAGTTCAGTCTACTCTTCTGGACGCACTTTCTGCTAATCGTAATCACCGCGCAAGCTTGCATGATCATGCAAGCCATGTACGAGGGTATAATATGGCTCATAATGTCGATATGGTTGGTGAGCATAAACGATTCCTGCGCGTTCATATTCGGAAAGCACTTCGGAAAAACACCCCTCATACGAGTATCCCCCAAGAAGACCCTGGAAGGTTTCATACTAGGCGGAATCTGCACCATCATCCTGGGCGCTTTCCTATCGCATTTCCTCTGCCACTTCAAGTACCTGGTGTGCCCGATCAAATTCGCGAGCGTCGATAACGAAATCACCTATCGCTCGAATTGCACTCCCAGCTACAATTTCCAGCCGATCGCGTACGCCATCGGCGACTTCTCGGTGAATTATTACCCGTTCATGAAGCACTCGTTCTATCTGTCGATATTCGCCAGCGTGATCGCCCCTTTCGGGGGTTTCTGCGCCTCGGGGTTCAAGCGCGCCGTCGGCGTTAAGGACTTCGCCGACACGGTGCCGGGCCACGGGGGGATACTGGATAGGGGCGATTGCCAATACCTGATGATGACGTTCGTGAACGTCTACATCATGACCTTCGTGAAAGACCCGAACGTGGAGGAGATCTTCCGGAAGATCGCCAAGCTCAGCGACGAGCAACAGCTGGAGTTTTATTCGTTGTTGAGGAGCTCTTTGAGCGATTTATTGGCCGGCGACGTCGGGAATACCTCCAAGTTAACGCTGTACGGGAGTTATTTTTAATCAAGTTGGGAAAGGCTTTGTAGTTGTACTTCGAACATTGTTTTCTATTCATTATAATTTTAATTTTATCGCGAAGTATTCGGGGCACGCTGAATATTTCCAACAAGCTGAAGAATTTCGGAACCAGCCGAGAGAATTCTTCGACAAAATAGTTAATTAAATTTTTGTGTACGCGAAACATTCCTAACGTGACTATACTCCAGACTTTGTACTTAATGTACGCGATAGTTAAGTTTGAAATTAAAGCGAAATTGTTGAGGCGCATTTGGATTAGCATGTGAATTTATTAATGCGAATAATTGTTCTTTATAGTGTTATTATATCGTACGTTTTGTTTCAATTCTCTTTTATTTTCAACGTTGAGTGGTACATGCTCAGAAGTGATTGCACATCTTTGTGGGCATGAGAGCGAGATTTACGATAAGATCTGAGAATGACACAAGCAAAAATTGTAAAATATCTACCTCGGTCCTCTAATTGCCTTTCAACGACTTGAATTGACGTACATACCCTATAATTACCCGGCAATCTTTCACATTCTTTCGACTTCGCATAAATGAGAATTGCTCTTACTTTTCTTGGCGTGCTTTGAATTATTTGTTCTATGGTGTGTTTTATATTGTCAATTTGACGAATAACTTACGTCGATTTATTTCTTTGATTAATTGCCTGATTATTTTATTATTCTGCATCCTAAGTGCACTTCAATTCTCATTAAACAGTTTATTTAATTATAGTGAACAAGGTTTGGTGTATTTATTTGAACTTTGAATGCTATAATTTGAAGGAAACTATTAAAAATTCGCAATAAGAATAAAACGAACAACAAACAAATTATGAAGTGAAAATCCCCTTTTATTGCTTCGTATAAATTAGTTTAGAATAGGTATAGTAATGGATGCTTTTGTTATAAAACGCAACAAAAGTAGAAAAGGACTATTAAAGGCGATTTTTAGCTTATTTGTGATTTAAAAACCATGAATATTACATTTAGCATGGTTTCATTGGACGTGGAAGGATATTGTTTGGGCAATACAGGAGAGTATTCAGGACATATTTTCCCAAATTTTTACAGGGGATATCAAAAAATATATACACCGTGCTTCATTCGCGATTGCAACAAGTGCATTTACATGAGTTGAACAAAGAAAGATTATTAAAATAACAGTTGTCAGAGTGAAAAGTTGCAATGACGTAATATTACTCTTTCTTTTTCCTTTATAAGTGTCTAATTGAAGTTGTCTTTGTTGCACCCATAGCCTATGTTGCAATGAAAAATGGAGCAATATATATGCATAATGGAGTAAAAACAAACTTGAATAGACTAATTAAATATAATACTTTTCTTAAAAAATCTTTAATTTTTAGTAATTATTTTCATTTGGGTAAATTTTGAATAACAAATATTTCTTAAGAACTTCACTAATACAGGGTGATCCTTAACTATCAATATATGATTTTACTTAATTTTATGAAGAAACATTCTAAATTTCCAACATTGCTTTAGAAATAAATAAAAAAAAATAATTTCTATTGATAAATTAGTAAATTATAAATATTTGTTTTTAAACTAAATAAATTTTAAATTGATATGGAATGAAATACAGTCCTGTCCCACATACTATAAGCGTAGTTTCGTGAATCTATAGACCTCACACAATATTTTCATTAAGAACCGACTGAAAATTTAGCCACGCTTCACCAACTTGAATGCCTATTCAGGTGTATAAAATCTTTTAACGTTTTTCAGTCAGTTTTTCGGCAACAGATATCTTTATTTATTTTGTCTACCTGCGAGCTTCTTCATGTCAGCTCATGTCTCATAAATGGAGAGTATTAGCAAATGATGTATTCATAATACAATGTCGAGATTAGGGGCATTCTAACGGTTCTTCAGTGGTTTCAGAAATTTCCTGCTAGTCGGATTAAACCTATAATAATTGCGAGTTTATCCGTGCATGTTCAGTCGCCAATTAGAACGTGTTAAAACTCGCCGAGATTTATTCCTGCCCCAATAATTAAAACAATATCGACAAACAAAATAAACAAAGCTATCCTTTCGTTGCGGCGCAATTGGTAATTGAAACGTAATAAACGAACGTATTCATCATCACGTATATGGGCCTCTTAGCGTTGGCGTGAAATGTTAGACTCAAAGGCGAAGTAAAGAGAAAAGACTTATTAGCAGGAGATAAGTAGCCTCGGTGACACGAGAGGCGATGATGCTTGCTCGCTATAACCGGGAGTCTTCATGTCAAAGGATTCGTCAATGTAGTTGCTGTTATAAGGAAATCTTTACACACTTTGTCGGTTTTCCGATAACCTTCATAGGCGTACTCTAACGATGTTCGTTATAGTTTAGCAAAAATATTTATTTTTGCTTAGTTTACTAGTATTAAAAAGGATCATAAAGTGGTGTTAATTAGTAAATTTAATCACCCGGTGAATCTATCTTTAAACTGATGTATTATATGCTGCATAGGGAGTAGGATCTAAGCCTGGTGCATCCACCATTTTTTCAACATTTTTTTAAATTTTTGCTGTAATGTTGAAAAATGTTTGTAACAAACTGGATTAAAAAGGAATCATAAATAAAAAAAAATCTATTCAATATTTAAAATTAACTTTCTTGGTATTAACACCTGTAATATTTATAAGTGATAAGAAAAAGCTTTTTAAAAAAGAGCTTGGAAACTAATGAGTTAAAAATTTAAGAGAAGAATTTAAAATATCCTGCATGCATATACTAAACTCTCAATATTTATATTTAACCTGCAATCGATGAAAAATTAAATCCAATTGTTAAAAATTGGTATTTAAAAAAATATTAATATTACGAAACAAATTTATTAAATAAATCACGTGCAGAATATTTTGAATGATTTGTTTCTTGTATCCGATTGTTTGGTTCACGGTCGGAAAGTACCGTTGGGAGCTTGCAATGTCAAACTCCGGTTGGAATGCACATCGAGATCCATCCCGGACCAATCAAATCGAAATGACCGATAGAGTGACTAATAGCACGCCGCTGCCGGGTATCACTGAGACCTCTCCCTCTCTGGTTGTCTCGCTCTCGCCGCTTGACACCCCACGTTGTGCGCGCGAGTGGCCCACCACCCCGTCATCTCTTCTTTATTCTGACACTACTGATTATTCTTCAAAGCTCTTTGCCGACTTACCGGTCTTGTTTGTTATGTTGATGTAGTCACCGCTCCGGTTAGACTTCCGGGTGATGCTCTTGTGCCGGAAAGTTGGCCTGCCGAACGTACATCCTGCTTCAAGGACTTTCCACCATCCTCGATGCGGCGGGCGCTTTTCGACGGTTTTTTCCCCGGCTCGGCGTCGTTTATTTTTGTTGTTTCGTGCTGGTGTCGAAGATGAATGTGATCGCGATTGAAACCAATCGACAATTTATCATCATATTCGATAGATATTATTCCGATGTAAATAAACTGCAGGAAATAATGTGATTTTGAATGATGATTTTTAACTGCCCTTTACTGGTGTTGTTTGCAATATCTTTTATTGTTAATTATACCTGGTAAGTTGTTTTTTGTATATTCTCTATCAACTGTTGTATCCCATTAAATTTTATTGTGTAATATAACATTTTAACTCATGCTTGTAAAGCCGAAGAAATGGAAAATAATTAATAATGAAATATGACAATGAAAATTGGCTCGAAAAATTATTTTTTTTGTAAATTTTGTTTCCATCAAAAAGATCCAATCGAATTCTATCAACATTTCACTATATTACTAATTTTTATCGATTAATATGTAAATAATTCTGTAGATAATAAATGTAATTATGTTCATTATAACTTTAACTGTACTACTCCTAAAATAGTACTGGGGTACTTTAATTTATAACAAAATATATTTTAATTAAGATTATTTTAATAAGAACAAACTAATATTTTATAAACAATACTAAAATTTCAAATGAAAAAAAGTGTAGATGCATGAAAGCTCCCAATGCATTTAGGAATACTCATTAGAAACATGAATAATTTTACTCTAAAATGCACTAAAACAGTCGTTTTTTAAACGACGCAAAACCGCTATATTGCAATTAAAAATATCACTACAACTCACCATCATTAATTACAATTCAATATCAAAGCACAATTAATAAACCCCCATAAACAAGCCCAATAAAATCAATCCACGTCCCGGTGCCCTTAAAAGTTCGCGCGTCCGCACGTCCCATTCCACATGTAAAACCATCGATGTAATACGGAAAGTGACGGCGGCGTCTCAATCGATCTCGGGACGTCACTAAATACAGTCAAAGGGTTAAATTTTATTGGACAGCCTCTGCAAAAGATCGATCAGCCTGCGAGATAAAGGTACGCCGGGATTGATTGCAGTTGACGCAGTTGGAACGTCAATGAATTCTAATCAATTGAAAAATTGAAGTGGGTACTGACAAGTCGTAAGCGACTCTCTTGAATGGGCACGTCGCGGGATTTTATTTGGACGCTTCGGACGTGGTTATACTACTAAAACGAATTAATTCTACTGCCATTTAAATACACTAATTATTGTGTAACTCGAAAAAAAATTGGCAATTTCGAGTTTACTACATACATTTTTGCTGGTATATTTTCTGCTTCTATTATCGTATATTGAGTTTATAAGGTTATACGATGTCATTGTTCTTCCTAATACGCATTTACATTGGAAACGTTGATATAATATTTATTAATACAAATTTTGAATGGGCATAACGAAATATTCAAATAAATAAATTTCGTTCGAATCAAGCATATTCCCACGGAACGTCTACACAGTTTACTTGTTGGCATTCTTCTGTCCGGAATGTCATCGGATGGAAGTAGTAGAGCCCCAGATACCATACCACAGATATACCCGCCAAGTATGCCGTCCTCTGGACCTCTCCGATTAAAAGACAGCACAATAAAATTTCTCGACCATCTAAAGGTCGTTTATACATCGGACGTTATTAATGAATATTTTTTGTTGGGACGCGAAAAATTCGATCGGACGCTCATCGGGCTTGTCGCTCGTGTTGCAGGAAATCGGAGGCCAAGATTTCGCACGGCCATCAGCAGACGTTTTCGTTCTACAGCTCCTACATGGATACGACGTTTTGCGGCACCGTGCCCGGCTTGACCAAGGCCCAGATCGAGCTCTGCCACCAGCAGCCCGACGCCACCCTCATGGCCATCGAGGGGTTGAACCAGGCCGTCAGGGAGTGCCAGTACCAGTTTCACGGGCACCGCTGGAACTGCTCTTCCCTGGAGACCAGAGGGAGAAATCCCTACATTAGTTCAATTCTAACAAAAGGTAAGTCTATACTAACTAATAGGTAATTGACGTCAGAGTTTGTTGGGTTGCCTAAATTTAGTTACTCATATAAAAATTCTAATGAAAATTATTACAATTGGCCTATTTTAGGCTTAAGCTTTCAGTATTTTATTGCCATTTGAATGGGAAAGCGCGATAATTTCTCTTGTATAATGTGTATATTTTCATCGCATAAAGGAGTGTTTTATGATACTTTTATTTTATCGTTATTGTACATTTGTTTCGGAACATGTTGAGATAAGAAGATGCTGGTTATTTCGAAAATTATTGGAAAAAAGACATTCAATTATGCCGAGTTATCCGGCTCTGTAAAAGTTCACGCCGTAAAGTGCCGATACTGGCATTCTGAAATTCCAGCATATGTGAAGAAATAGCGCTACAACATTTTTAATTCCAAATTTGAGACTAGAAAATTCAAATTATTTCAGACTATAAACTTTTACAATACAGATGTTCCATAATGCCAGGTGGATATACACTTGAAAAGACAGTTAGTATTTTATGGGCGGTTTTTTGCAGTTTTATTTGTTTTTCTATAAAAGGGTATTAGAGCCTTTTAAAGGATATAAAACGTTCTAGTCAATGGTTGATGTATCGTGTGGGTATTTTGTACATACATCAATAAATTTATGGTCACATAATAAAAATAACCTAGTTGATTTATTGAGGAATAATGAATAATCGATTAAAAAATTAATAAAGATATTTTTTTCTAGAATCGCCCTGTAAAGCATGTAGCACATTATAAAGCGTGTTGAGTTTATCACTGTACCGAATATTTTGAACGTTAAAATATTACAAATTCACTCGCGCACAATCGTTTAGGACCCCGTACTTAAGCCAAAGTCCTTGCACACGCATCTATCCTAATAAAGAAGTATCTTTTTAGCCGCAACTAAAGCAAAAAGCAAGTATAAATGCCGTTTATGCCAAAACCAGTGTAAGTCAATGCAGTCTCTTTTAATTAATTGATTCGCCAAAATGGATACAATCAGTTTGAAAATGTACACCAATCAAAATACTTCACCATAAACATGATTGTCACGTATAACAGTTTCTAAGAAGCACGATGAAAATGAGAGTTTTTCGTCGGGTATTTGTAACACGGCTGAGATAACAAGCCGCAATTTAAATTAACATTTCAATATATCGCACACTCGAAAATGCCAACCTCTTACCGGCGTAACGAGTCGAACAGAAAAAGATGTTTTCTTTTAATTATTTAAATGCGTATCCGCGAAACAGATTTGATGCTTGTGGATTCCTCGATTTGGTAGTTCGTTCTTTAGGCAGCCAGCAGTTTAACGGGAAAAGTTTTTGAGGAAATCGCGACGAAATAAAAAACGTCTGTTAATACTTTAACTTATCGAAACTTCTTTTTATTACATAAAAAATTTAGTAGTATACTAATTTCAAATTTGTTCCGGCGGGGTTTGAATAAAAGAAATAAACGTTTCGGGTCCGTATTTGTCTACGAGATAATATCAAACAATCTCCTCCACCCCTGTAGTTTTTGGTGAAATTGATCTGCAATCTCCCCTAATGCACCAGATGTCTTCCTGCAAATCTCACAATTACCCTTAACGTCTTTATTTAAGGCCTGCCGTGTTTTATTCATTACCCACTGTGAATCTGTCACTAAGTAGCCATAACAAATAGGGTCGTGGCACCCCCGAGGCTCGACAATAGCCCGTTGACGTTTATAAGGGTGGTACTTGTCACAGGACCGGGCGATACGGTCCATTATCGCGTCTTCGCGCCATTGTGTGGGGTTTCTTCTGAATTATTAGTTTCATTATCGACCGTTTCAGTTGATATATTGGTAGATTATGAGTGTCAATAGCATGTAATGCTTGTCAGTTTTAATTTCGCATTGTGTCCATTCATCGCTGCATCACCTGTTGATTTAACTGTATAGGTACAGTCGAGGACAATTCGAGCCTTTAGGAGTAGGTAATGCAAAAAACGGTAGCGTTAGGAATTTTTATTAGTTTGTTGAAATGAATCGAAGCTGTAAATGGACTTGCGTAAGTTCGATTGCCCATTCACAATTTTTCTCGAAGAAGAGCGGAGAAATTTAAATGTTTTTTTTTGTACACAAACCGAATATTTTTTTTAATCCACTTTTGACCAAAATTGATGACTGAAAAATCGTTATCAGTTCACTTACGAACGATTTACAAGCCAAGCATATAATCAAGCGGAGAATGCAAATATTTTCTCAGCATTACCATAAAACCAATTTTCCCAATGAATGACTCCAAATGCGCCGGTTAATAAAGCGTTCCTAGAATAAAAATAATAACCGCTCGCCTTCCATAATTTTACAAATGGTCTTCTTGTAACTGTTTTGACACCTCGGGCTGTTGCATAACCCGCAACTCGTCCAACTTTTTCCTGTTACAGTCTTTAAGAGTAAAATAGCCGTTTAATGGTCTTATTACCGGAGAAAATTGCTTTAAAAATATTTTAAACGATCGCCACCCTTCCCTGGTTAATTGCAAAACAATCATTTAATTTCAACCGAACACGACACAGATCCGGATTAATCAACAACTGCAACTGCAACTGATTATAAATTTTATAATAATAAGGAATAATAAGGTCGCATTTTTGGGTCTTAAAATTCGTATCTTCATGATCTATTTTTTTTTATTTTCTAATGTTACATAAACAGCTAATAAAGGTGTAGAAGTGACAGCACATTGCTCAATGGTTTAAATATTTTAAAAGTGGCGCAAATCACATATCATGTTATTTCTATTCTATTGTACCAATTTACCTATTAATTGGTATTTACCATTGATAATTAAAATGTGTATTACTTAGTACAGACCTGCGTTGTCGCGAAAGGTAGTGCTGTGCACCTGGGGGTTTTCCTCGACTTTGAGAACCTATTATTTCAAATGTAAATCTCGTTTCTAGGTATTTATTGTTCAAAAGCGTGGTAATCACCATAAAAGCTTTAATTGCTACCATTGTCTCATTAATTAGTTGGAAACAGAGGATGGAGCTGGTGGGCAAACAACGATCTATTCGGTGACTCGAGGCGAGAGCGTTCGTGTGATGGATTTATGGCTTATTCAATACTATTTTAGAGTAAAAACGATCGAGTCGGAGTATTAAACGCCCCACGTAATGAAATAATAACTAAAATTTTCAATGTATAGGAGATAGGTGTGATTAAAGAGTTCAAAAGTCGAGCCAAATTAACCAGCAATCGCGTGATCAAAGTATTAAAGTACTTTTAATGTATGTAGTGCAATAGTTCAAGGGATTTTGAATAGAGGATATAAAATGTAGGGTTCCATTAATTTTTAAAATTAAAATTTGTTGTATACACGATTTATGCTGAAATTGTACGTACTTACCTACTTCATGGAATTTAATAACAACCTGTTCCAACATCGAATGTGTACTTTAATGAAAGAGCAAGAAAAGTTTCGCAAATGACTATATTGCATTTAATTGTTGCTAATGGTGTTAAAATTAGTTATTATTCGCTCAGATACGATCAATTGTGGAATCGTTGGCAATAGGGCAATTACCTTAATTGATGGCTTTTACTCCATATCGGAATTAATTACTCCGGCATTATGGCCGGTTTACCATATTCATACCGAATTGCTCACATTACAGATTTACGTGAAAGATCGTTAGAGAAAGATATTTGATTTGCCAACTAGAGAAAATAGAATGCTCGGAACACGTTCCAATTCGTTTTCTAGATAATTACTAGGGCTTGCAGGAACTGGACGATATAATAAAAATTATTCCTTATTAGCTCGGCATTCGAGCTTTAATCGACTTACGCGGAATTTTTAGAACAGATTATTCAGTTAGTTATTTTTTCTCGGATGCTCTCAAGCTGGATTATCTACGTTTACTCGGAATACGCGGTTAATATAATTAGTTAATTTAAAGTTCCTGTTCTTTACTTATTTTATAAATTAAAGAATTTTCAATGTTGCCAATTTGTTTATAAAATTTCCATTGATCAACCGCTATTTAATTGCAAATTAAATAAGAGTTTTTTTTGTCGTCTATCGCACATGTCTCATAGATACTTCGGTGCTCGAAGAACTCTCGCTAGACGAACTTGGGTATTTTAATTCGATCATAATAGGCTTCGAGGTTTTTCATAAAACCGAAGAATCGCAATCATTAATTACGCTCGCCGTACGTTCCATTCTTTATCACGGACCGATCGGCGAAACATTCTAACTAATTAATGAAAAACATACCTACATTAACGGCATGAATGGCAAAAAGTCGGTGCAATTATTCAAGAGGTCTTCCACGCGGCCGGGCCATTCGACTGAAGAAGATCTATATGTCTCTAAGGTGACGGGCACGGTGCAAGAGTCGTCTGTCACAGCGACATGCGATGATGTCGAGAGGAAGAGGCTCGCAGATAAGCCGGAGGAGCACCGCCTGTTCGCGTTGAAATATTTTACTGCTGGGTTTTCTTCACGAAGATTTTAACGACGGCTTTAATGAAATAATTGTGTTTCAAACATTCACGATAAAATATATAAGTTCTATTTGTTGCTATTTGCTAATTGTTATAGCACGTCTAGATTTGGATGTGTTGTTGCAAGAAGAAGCTTTAAATGCATACTTAAAAAAAATTAGTATGCACCTATCTTAAGAGTAAAAAAACGAAGACGAATAAAAAATCGACTTCCAATCATGGTTAAAATGACATCGTTTTGCAAACCAACTAAAATTCTACCGACTCGAGAACCGAAGAGTCCAAATACGATATATTCCGAGATTCCCCAATCCTCGATCCCATGGTATACCTTAAGTGAAACAAAGTGCCTCCTTAACGGCGTTTGGTAGTCTTGTAGAGACAAAAAAGCGACGTAAAAAGACAGCAAAACAATAACCACCGTAAAAGAACACCATCCTTAAATCACGGCCAAAGGATAATGCGCAATTCGTAGGCAGAGACTTGAGGGCCGTCATCGGTGCTTCTGGTCACCGTTTTTTGCCGCAGTCAGCAAGTACTCGTGACGAGTGAGTAAATAGGATCTAAATTACAAACCTACATTTCGAATATTACTCTGTTGCCTTTTAAGCGGATCTTTTAAAAGGCGAACGGTATCATTTGAATCGGTTTCTTCAGTGACCGACGACTGTAATGTGTCTAATGTAGAGAGTTGTCTACTCGACCACCGGCACTGATTGTCTAATAATGCCCGGAATGGTATTATCGACAGGACGTTACTTATTCCGCTGCTATTTTTCTCTTGTATAGGGTGACCACCAAGGTACACGCAATTAATTAATATGAACAAACTATGTCACTTTTTCTCGGTAAACTCGTAGATATTTATTCTCTTTTCTAATTAATTGCTATTAAACCAATCCATCAACCTTCATTATAACAAATTGATCTCTACACGTTATTATTTATTCTTTCTCTTTAAAGCAGGTTTTAAATTTATTTGAAACTTCAGTTTTTATATTGTTCATTATGAATTTGCTTCCTTAATTTGGTTGTATAAGACTTTCAATTTATTTTAATTGTCCATTTGCTAACTTAGTTTCCAATATCTTTAGCAGCAACTAAACTCCAAAATTCTGGTAATTTCTAAAAATCCTTTATACATTACCTATAATTGGATGAGTATTTCAAAATGCGCATCGATTCTCGGGTTCAAGTAGATGGTCAATATCCATCGAAGATCCTCGAACACCAGAGGATATGTTAATGGATCGCTGGCCACGTTACAGGCCAGACCTTTAAATTCAACCGTTGACGTGGCGTTTCGCGTACAAGACAAGTCACCAGCAGATGCTAAAATATTTAAAAGAACCTGACAATTGCGCGCATAGCAGATAGACGAGCGCCGCGCGCGGATAACCTAAGCCTACACCGTCGATAAATCTAAAGTGACTCGCGTAAGGCAGCTACAAACAAGGTATGAAGGAGAGATAAAAATTTTGAGGACAAGCACTATATAGGGTATTGGCTACTGCTTATAATGCGGCATTGGAAGGCGCTCGACGTCGTAAATCCACGCACGAGAATATCGAGACGCGTCTTTCGTTTGGTTGGCGCTCGTCCGGTCGAAGGCCCCTTTCCCACAGCTTCTACATACCTTCGTCATCTAAAAATTCCTCCTTACTTTATCTATTACCTATATTTACCACATTTTCATTCTAATTTATAAAACTCTTCAAGCAAAATACATCTTTAACATCTTCAACTTCATCACTTACAATTACAATGTAGTAAGATCCAGAATTAGTGAATTTAGTTTTTACCCTGTCGTAAATTTAGTCCTGCCTAAATCTTCTGTATTTGATCGTATTTGATTGCAGGATACAAAGAGGCCGCTTTCGCTCACGCGATCACCTCGGCCGGGGTGGCGATCGCCATAGCTCGAGGATGCAGCGCCGGCCTGATGAACTGCGGCTGCGACTCGAAAATCTACAAGATCAGAAAACCGAGATCGGCGGTGTCGAAGACGAAGTGGAAATGGGGCGGGTGCTCGCACAATTTGAAGTACGGCATCAAGTTCTCCAAAATGTTCCTGGACTCGCGAGAGAGGGCCGAGGACATGCAATCGAAGATCAATTTGCACAACAACCAAGTCGGAAGAATCGTAAGTGTGTTGTTATTGTGAGATCCATTATTCATTCGAAAAATTAAATTTACTATTAATCACGTTTGTTTAAAAAAAAGGCAGCGTTATTTCTTCATTCTCACGCCTTTAACTGTAGACAATTCGATATAGATACGTATATATTTCGGTAATCCCATAACCACCCATGGACCGGACCATTGTCCAAACATCGGTCGACATCTCGGAGAACAGATATAGTGGCCGTATATAAAATTAAAGTCAGCAATGAGGAGCTCGGAGGAAAATTCTTTAATGAAAGAAACGGCGCGTGTGGTCCTAATAATCATAATAACACGAAGAAGGTGCAATGGCGGGCCTTTGTGAGGTACGTGTAGGGGCGGGGCTCCCCTGCACTTCGATTATTAGGGGCCCGGGCACCTCGGCGGCCGCTGGCCATCGCTTCTACCACCTAAGCTACCGCAACGATTCATTCTCGGGCCCGCTTCTTTTTTTTCCTTCATCTTTATTGTTTATTTTTAATGTCTTCATGTCCACCCGGACCGAAAATAAAAAATACCGGGAACGCGGAGCGATTCTCTCGCGGCCTTCGATCGAAACTGCTCGCTAATTTTTACGCAAAAATCCTCCACAAATTATTCCAAATGCGGTTCCTCGCTTTTGTTATTAATTTCGACAGGTCGCCTATAACATCAATTAATTTATTCGACGTGTCGTAAATATTTGTAGAATTAATATTTTGTCTAATTTTTTGTTCGAAGCCGAAAAAAGAATTATTATAATTAATGCAAGAAAAACTTATCTATAACAACGTTGTTAATTAATGTTTAAAATGTTTCTAGACTTCTTTTATTAGGTGATTATATAAATTAATTGCCGTCTCATATTTCTTCTTCTCCTCCTCTAATTTATTAATGATTTAGTAAACAAACATATATCTTAAATATCGAGCGATTATTTCCTAACATCTAACAACTCGAACATCGATTATATTATCCATAATTGCATCAGCGGCCTTCCATTTCCGCGGCGAGACGAATTGCGAACCGCGCTAAATCACACGCATTATTCCGTCTAATCACCACTAACGGCTGCGCTATCATTTTTAGGCAGTGTCTAATAACATGCAGGTGATGTGCAAGTGCCACGGGATGTCGGGAAGTTGCGAATTAAAGACTTGCTGGAGGTCAGCGCCGGATTATCGGGCCATCGGGAAGGCGCTCAAGGAACGATTCCGGTCCGCGATTCTGGTGGATCAAACCAACTTCGGGAAGAGGAACTTACGGAAATTCAATATGTAAGGAGTTGATTTGTAATAATTTACTTTACTTCCTTATGTTAATTCGCAGGATCAACCAAAGAAAGCACAAGAAGCAGTCGAAAATGAAGCAATGGACGCCCAGGAAGAACAAGCACAAGAGGGACCTCTCCTACGATTTGCTTTACTACGAAAAGTCGCCGAGTTTCTGCGAGAGGGACCAAAATCTGGAGGTATCGGGTACGACCGGTCGATATTGCAATCGCACCTCGACCTCTTCGGATAGTTGCAATAACCTCTGTTGCGGCAGGGGATACAACCTGATAAAAAAGAGGAAAGTGGAACGGTGTAATTGTAAGTTCTTATGGTGTTGCCAGGTCGAATGCCAAACTTGTAGTCATGAAGAATGGATCAGTGTTTGTAAATAAGTGTAATTTAAACGATAACGTGTAATTTATGATAAGAAAAGTTCACCTGTTGAGAGTAATAACAGGGATATAAGTACCTACCTGCTAGTACTTATTGTTAGATTAAATTGGTAGGTACTACTTATTGGTCTCTTTATTTTAGAATTTCGATGAGATTTGTATAATTTTTAAGTAGGATTTAAACAACAGTAGTATTTAATTTAGTTGTGTAATAAAAATATGAAATTAGGGGCACTCGTTATTAAGCTGTACTTCATCTACAAATAAGTATTAAAAATTATAGTAAATATCAGAATCTTGCAAATTATTGGTGTGTAATAGACGTGTAGATAGGCAATACTTTTTACATATTTCAGGTAAAAATAAATGTGGAAATAGCATAGAATTTCACGTTTGCTCTAAACAATTTTCTTTTTATTACAAATTAAATTAACAATAATCAATTAAACTCTAACTAAAATATTTATTGTTTTATTTCTTTACCCACCTGCACCGCACTGAACGAAGACACGTCAACGGCATTAACACATTAAATATGCCCTCACCAGTTAGCGTACTATAAATATTAACAAACCCAATATTTTTCTTTGTAATAGGAAAAAAAGGAAAGATTTATTAAACATAGAAAGTTGTTAGTACAAAATGTAATGACGACAAATAGGAGAATTATCATCTGGATGAGCCGACAAAAGGTAAGCGGCATCAGGTACAACCCGAGAGAATTTTAAAAGCTATTACATGTATAACATCCTAGTAAATAAGAGAAACATGTTCAATAAAAGTTGTTGGGCTTATTGTTTATGGTTCGAACTTCGCGGAAGAAGGAAGCCTTCGATCTCGTTCTAGAAACGCGCGCGATTTTATCGAGAGAGAAAAAAGCGCACTAAATAAATTGATGGGACACGCTGTAAATAACTGCATATTCAAGGATTAAGTCCAATAAAAATATATTGCAACATACAATGTTAAATATCCCGTAACGAAATAAAATCAACCTAATTAGCTCTGCTAATAACGAAGTTTATATTGAGACCGATTTTATAGTAAATCCTATTAAACTTTAACGGCTTCTGTCCTTAATTGCATTAGCATTATTATGGAAGAGCTGCTGGTTTTCTAGTCATTGTAGTGTTTTCTGCGCTTATATTGATACCTGATGCCTCCTGAAAACCATACAAAAAAGCGAATCTAATGAGAAAGAAACATCAGTGAAGCAGTTTGTTGTATTGAATCGCCACCAGGTAATAAAAATTGTAATAAATGTAATGTAGTTTTGGTACAAATATTGAATAATTTCAGTTGAAATTGGGGGAAAACATTGCTGAAATTTCGCTTCAAAAAAATGAAAATCAACTTGACCGACATCCCGGATCCGGGCGGTCGATACGAGTTGGGCGATCTGCTGGGGTACGGAGTGTACGGAAAAGTCTATTCCGCAGTGGATAATCAAGCGAGCAAGAAGAAAGTCGCCGTGAAATGCCAGAAATACCAGACCGGCTCGAAAGAGTTCGTCGAGGAGGAGTACAGGATATTGAGGGATTTCAGCAATCACGCGAACGTGGTCGATTTCTACGGCATATTCAAGAAGAACAACGAAATTTGGTTCGTCTTGGAGGTAACAAATTTATTTTACAAAATTTTTTTATATCCACCCGGTAGAACCTTTCGCCACAATGCTTCACTTTTGCCGGGCATCGAGTACGGTGCACCTTGTATACTTAGGTTATTAACAGAGTTATTAACGCATGAACTTATTTTTTGCGCGTATAATTGTTTTCGAAAATTGCGCAAAAAAATCCCAAACAAAGGAACGACAGTCGCCTCTCTCGGCGACTAAATAACGAAGATTTTTATTACGAACTGAAATTAGTTTCAACCAATCATTAACTCTTTTAAACCGTCCGTTTTCCGTCAGGATATAATGAATTTTCAACAAGTTAATATGTGTCATTGGCAAGAATAAAATTTATAATAATTAGTCTTGTCTTGAGGTAGGCCAATAAAAACGCGACTGATTGATTTACGATTATGATTTATACTTTGTGCGAAGCCATGCGACGGGGGTTCAGTCATCGACTTGGTCAAGCGCTTGTTCGCGAAAAATCGAAGGATGGTCGAGGAGCACATTGCTTATGTCATCAAAGAGACACTCCGGGTAAGTTCTGAATTCCCACCGAATTTTTCAATCAATAAATCAACCATCAATTTGCGAATATAGGGGTTGATACACCTTCACGAAAACAAGATCGTCCATCGCGATGTCAAAGGCAGTAACATACTTCTGACCAAAGAGGGAGAAATAAAACTTAGCGATTTCGGCCTTTCCAAAATTCGAAGTAGCAGTGACGAGCGTATGTCCGTGATTTTGGGATCGCCCAGCTGGATGGCTCCAGAGCTGGTCAATATCGGATCCAATCAGAATGAATTGGGCTATAATGATAAGGTAAATACGCTGTATTGATCGCAAAATTGGTTGACCTACTTCGTCAATGTACTTGATCCATCAAATCCTATTACCCTTGGATTAATTTTATTGGATCATTTTATTTGATGAGTCCGTTAGGTCGATATTCTGGGTCAATGTTCAGGTTCTTTCTACGCACTTTCATATTTATAATATTTTTTGTATGTATTTAGGTTGATGTTTGGTCACTTGGAATAACAGCAATAGAATTAGGTGATGGAAAGGCGCCTTTCCAAGACATGCATCCTTCCAGAACTTTGTTTCAGATAGTGGCCAATCCACCTCCAGCTTTGCAAAAAATATCCAACTGGACAGAAAATTTTCATGATTTCATTAGCGAGTAAGCATTATTTCTCTAACTCTCATTTGACTTCAAAAATTGGAGATAAACAGAGAAATGCATTTCATTCCAGATGCCTAGTCAAAGATCATGAGTATCGCCCGTGCGTTATGGAACTAATCGAGCACCCGTTTCTATCCGAAATCCCCGACAACAATTACCATGTGAGTTACACTAATCCACCTCCACGTACATAAAAAACCAAAGAAATATTTCAGCTAACAATAGAATTAAAAAGTCTAATCAATGACCTGTGCGTGGGAAAACCGGGCTCAAGGAAACCCGATGTTGTCGTGCATGGGAAATTTTTAAAACGGGACATCGATGGCGACATGGAGCCGATTTACGAAGAGGACTTGGCCGCAATTCACCCCGTTACCGAGCGGGACATCTTGGAAATCCTCGAAAGGCGCATGGAAACGGGCGAAATTTACGTTTACATTGGCGATATTTTGCTTAGTTTGAATCCAAACGAGCGAAAATCAATTTACGGGAACGAGGTAAATTATCTTGTATAGGAACACTAATTATAATTTTATCTGCACTCTAAAGAAATCGGGGTGTACCAAGCATTTACAGAAACTGCTAAGAAAGTTTTGGTTGTATTTTAGTTCCATCAAAAGTACCAATTCAAGTCAAGATCAGATAATCCACCGCATATCTATGCTATAGCTGATAATGCTTACCAGAACGCCCTTCACCACAAAATGGTCCAGCAAATAGTGTTGTCTGGAGAATCGGGATCTGGCAAAACGACGAATTATCTCCACTTAGTGGACCATCTCCTGTACCTCGGCGAGAACACCAGCGTAAGCTCGACGAGGATACAAAATACAATAAAGCTAATCCACTCATTCATGCACGCCACCACACCTTCCAACATCTACTCCACGAGGTCTGTTTTCAAGACCGAATTAAACTACGGAAAAACCGGCAAAATCAGCGGCGCCAGCTTCAAAGTTCACTGCATAGAAAAATCTAGAATATCCCTAACAGAACCGTAAGTTACACCACTTTTTCACCCGCTAATTTCATCACAATTGCACTGTTTTTTACAGATCCCAAAGCAACTTCCACATTTTCTACTACATATACGACGGTCTGGTAGCCTCCTCTTCACACGAAAAGTACTACCTGAAATCCCACAGGAACTACTCTTACCTCAAAACCTCGAACAAACTACCGGCAACCTCGCCCAAAGACGACATCGACGCCAACAGGGCCAAACACAAGAAAATCTGCAGCTACTTGGAGGAGCTGCAGTTTTCCGAGGAAGAGACATCGACCATACACGCCGTGATAGCGGCGATTTTGCACTTGGGCGAAGTGGCTTTCGAGGAAAGCGAGGAAATGTACGCGGTGTTGCAAGGCAAGGAAGAGGCAAAGAATTTCGCGAAGCTCTTGGAGATCGACGAGAAGAAGATTTGCTGGACGTTGACGAATTACTGCGCTGTGAAGGGAGGTAACGCTTATAAAGTCAAGCAATCCTACGATGAGGCTAAAGAGGCTAGAGATGTACTAGCCAACACTTTATATGCCAGATTAGTGGATTATGTAGTCGGAACTATCAACAACAAATTATCCTTTGGCAAAGCTATTTTGTAAGTACTCGAATCTAATAAAACCGTTTAATAGGTACTATGTAATTAATTTTTTGTAGTGGTAATAGTTACGCTATAAAGGTGTTGGACTTTTTCGGCTTCGAATGTTTCAAACAAAACGGATTTTCTCAATTGATTGTTAACACATTCAACGAACAATTGCATTACCATTTCCTACAGAGAGTATTCGCTTGGGAACTTCAAGATCTTCAAGATGAAAATATCGAATTTATTCCGGTATCGTATTATAGTAACAAAGATACATTAAACGAAATACTGGGAACCCCCGAAGGGCTGTTTTCGGTACTGGATGACGCATCTAAAAAAGGCCACGGTGGTTGTTACGTAGCAGATAACCTGTACAATGATGATAAAAAGAAAATAATGATTTACGATGAAGGCGCTTTCACCGTTATGCATTATACGGGAAAAGTGACCTACAGTTGCAAAAGCATGCCTGAAAAAAATAGAGATTACCTCGCGCCTGAAATAATCGAAACATTAAGAGGCTCCAAGAATCCCATTATATCCACGATGTTTACAGCAAAATTGGACCGCACGGGAAACTTAATAATGGCCCCAGAAGAATTAAGAAAAACAAAATACGGATTCCAATCAAAGGTTTGTTCCTCCTCCACTTAACGAGTGTTAAAATATTTTAACTAGACGAAATTTGAAGGTCCTTACCGAACAACGGCAGTATTCCCAAATCAAAAGGATGCGCACCCAGTCGGCTGTGTTCAGGTCCTTGTGCATTGAGCTGCTCAAAGAGCTCTCTGTGGGCTCCAGCGCGGGCGGCACCCATTTCGTCAGGTGCGTCAGGACTGATCTCAAAGGGGTTCCCAGGAATTTCAAGAGAGAGCTCGTCAAGCACCAGCTAAGAGCCATGGCGGTCAAGGAAACGGCCAAAATCAGGCAAAGGGGCTTTTCGCAGAGAATATCCTTCTCGGAGTTTTTGAGACGGTATGTTATCAAATCATATTTATTTCAAGTTTTTTGAATGTGGGTATTTTAGGTACAAATTTCTGGCTTTCGATTTCGACGAAAACGTCGATGTAACCAAAGACAACTGCAGGCTCCTCATGATCCGATTGAAAATCGAGGGCTGGGCGTTGGGAAAATCCAAAATATTTTTGAAGTATTACAACGAGGAATACCTATCCAGATTGTACGAAACCCAAGTTAAAAAAATCGTCAAAATTCAAAGCATATTGAGAGGCTTCTTGGTGAAGTGCAGAATGGCGAAGAAAGTGAAACAAGAACAAAGAGCTTGCGGTATAATTACATAAAATTTTAATTAAACATCGATTAAACAATAAATTTTAGTCGGTCAATTAAAAACCAGACGAAGAAGCAGCGTCCTAACGGAAGACGAAGCGGCCGAAATCATCCAAAAGGGTAAACAACTTTGTTCAAAATAATTATTAAGCAAAATATAATAAGCTACAGTCTTCAAATAGTTGCTTTGTAGAACTTTTAGACTTGTTTATTATTAAATTCAGCTTACAGAAACGCTGCAAAACGTAAAGACGTTCTAGAATTATATAGTCAATTAAATGAAAAGGATAAGAATTTTATCAGGCCGTTCGCCAAGAAATGGAGGACGAAGAGCTTGTTTTCGGTATTAATGCGTTATAGGGGAAAGAGGATTCAAGATTTCTTCAATTTGTCTCAACAAGTAAGTATTCTAATATGTTCAATAATTACTAGTAACTAGTAATTATTAATTTTAGGTGCACCTCTACAACATGGATGCTTACCATAAACTCCTTCAGACTCAAGATGGTATTAATCTCGACCAAGTTGACAAAAAAGCCCAAATCAGCACCTATCTTAACAACGTGAACAATTCAGTGTTAAAACTGTACTTTCGCCTAGAAGATATTCCTTTCTACAACACTACTCACATGTCTAACTTGCTGACTAATATTGGGTAGTAATTAACTCCACACAGCTTCTCTTCGAATTAACTAACCTTTAATTTTCCAGCGAAATAACCACAGCCCAAGAATCCTGGGATAGCCCGTACAAATGGCGGGAATCCAGATCGCAAACCAAAGAAGAATCCACTGACGATGACATGGAAACCAACGAAGCTCTATCGAATCTAAAGTATAGCAGGGAACCAGACGAAGACGTCCCGACGCTTGCGAGCCCAGCGGAATCTGAAGATGGTAAAGACATGAAAGACAACATCAACGAAACGACGAGAACAAAAATAAACAAATTAGACGGCATCAAAGGTTTCGAGGAGAGGAACACCGTGCAAAACAACCGGTTCAACGTAAACCTGCGAAAAGTCGATTGCTCCAGCAAGACCAAAACCTCGACGGTGAACTTCACCATGAACTCGTCGCCGGCTAATAAGGATTTCGACTATATCAAACCGAAATCCACGCAAGTTAAACCGAAATACACCGCCAGTCCCGTCGAGGAGCTCAGGAACATCGCGAGGAGAGACAGCAACGCCTCCGACGACGATCCCCCCTTCAATTTCCAAGGGATGCTCAGGAAGACCAACTTCAGGAGGGAATCGCTCAAAAACGCCGTTCAAACTGTGCGAAAGTTGTCCCTTAAAGACCACGAGAACAACATCATCAACAAGTTGTCGAACGGTCACTTGGACAACGAAGCTGTGAATGGGAAGCACTGTTCTATAGAGATTTTGCCAGGGCTTGTCATGGAAGGGGTCGAAATTGAGCTTTAATATACTATTAAAATATGAATAATATATTGTTATTGTAGTGATTACGTTTTAGATCGGTATTAAATAGTTTACTTCCAATTCGCATTGATTCTTCTGACTCTTGTAAGTTCAACTTGATCCACTGGTCTCCTAATTGGACTAGTTGCAATTTTTCCAACTGCGCAAGTGTTTATAAGAAAATACAATATGTTAAATATGGTATTTTTTATTTTTTCAATATGTAAGTATAATAAAGTAATGTCTCACAAAAATCAATCGAAACTATTTTTTGTAGACCTCTGGATGAACACCGCGGTATAGATGATCGGTTTTGTATTCGACCACTGGTTGAAAACCGTTTTGATCGGCGGTGTATCGGACATGAACCAACACACCTTCGGGAGTGTAAAACCCGTAATATCCGTTGACATCGTGGCCGACGTGCTCTTCATCGTAGTATTTCAGGACGCCTTCTTCCCCGGCGGCAATATTGTTTTCTGTTTGGAAACTGCATACCAAAAACAATAATTTATGTTACCTGCTCGGTAAAATAATGATAGACGATTAAACTTACTAGTATTTGTAGTTTCCGTTTAAATCCATGTTCCTGTAGAAATTCTCAGTTCTGGCATTGTAGGGTTCCGCCCTGAAGTTATCGTATTGGCGAAAACCATTATAACTTCCGTCCCTTGTATTATGGAAATATTGTTTACCTCTGATGAAGCCTTCATCTTGATACTTTCTCGGGTAGTTGTTTTCATAGTATCTCCCAGAGTTTCTATTGATCACATCATCTCCTAGGCTAAATGTTGGCACTGGGGGTCTCACAGTGGTTGGGTACACGGGGCGTACAGGAACAGGTGCAGGACTGTTTTGAAGGGCCCCGTTCTCGTTGGTGGAGTCTCTGAAGTAGGATATTTCTTTTGGCGAGTAGGTCACTGGTTTGGATACGGTTAAGACCGGAGCAGTGTTTTTTGAGTCAGAATATGAAGGCGCCAGTCCACGAAAAGGGTCATTCTCAGCCACATCGGAAGATGCCAAAGGGACAACAATAGTTACCCAGGCAGCTACTAGAAACACCTAAATTATACATATAAAAATTATTAAAATATAACTTTTCTCTTAAATTTTCACAAAATTTCTCATAGACCTAACTGAACTTTTCGCTTAAACCTTTTAAAGCGTAAACTACTGTAATTTTAATAGCTTTTTACTTACCAGTTTGGTCATATTGAGAGTACAATCAGTTCTTAGATGGAAGATCAATCTTACTATGGCATATTCGAACAATATGGGTCTATTTATACTAAATTAGAGTTCCCCTACATCTAAAACTTCAACCAGTTAGAAACTGTACAGGGTCGGCTGAATCTTTATAAATCTTATATTGTATAATAAATATTGTTATGTTGGAGAATTAGAATTAGAAGGTTTCTAGATACTATTTGCGTTAGTACACTGCATAATATGAATTTTCCTAATACATTTTCATCAGTCAAAAAGACGGATTAATTATTTATTTCTTTTCTTCCAATTCCTTTTTTTTTATTACCACAAAAAGCTAGTCTCCTAATTTTGTGTTTTTATAAAATTTTACTTAATACGTACCAGAAAATGGAATTAATATATTATTAGAATACAAATTCAAAAAATAGGAAGAAACATTATACAAATATAAACAATAAAAATTTGTTAATGATTTTGAGGTTGTTACATATTATTAATACCGATATATTTCAATGAGAAAAACTTATTTAAAATCCATTAGTAGATATTTTGGTTTATTATTAAAACCAGGAATAAAATAAGACAACACATTAAAAAAGGTGTCGTCCTTTTTAGAAATTAAATTAATATTAATATGGTCAGAAGGTCAAGGGTAATATTTAAATTAGGGTCTCCGGTGTTTCTTGCACCCACACAATTTTTGTTAATTCCATTTTTTTACAAGGATCAATCTGAAACGGGGACTATCTGGAAGCATAATGCAATAAATAAATTTAACAAATTCAAATCTATGCACTTTCCTAGATTGAAAACTTTGAAACAAAGCATTGAACAAAGCACGAGGCAAAGCTTTACATAATAACATACCTAATATAATTTAAACAACATGCTTTGAACTATGACACTATGACTTAATATTTTTAATAGCCTTAATTAACATAACTACCTCGATATCACTGTTGGTTTCAAAATTTTATTGTTAACCAATAAATTAAAGAGCCTGTCGTCCCAGACCAAAATTGGTATGGACTTATCACTATATTGATATTTTCACACAATAACGGATTCACTCATAAATAAAGCATATATTAAATTCCACAAAATTCCTTCCAAAATCCTTGACATTTGTCATGGATGTATTTATATAGTTTGTAATATACGAATTTTAAATTGTTATAATAATTTTAAGAAAATTTAACATAATTTAGTACGCCTATCCCCATAATTAAATATTGATTTACAATAAATTACTGTTTAATAAATAAAGTTGATAAATTTGGCAACCTAACGATTTCATTTTATTATAAACTCAGATAAACAAGTAAATTAGTTATTAATCTGAGATTATAAAGTGTCACAATTTGAAACTGTCAATTTGACATATATTTATTTTTCTTCCCATGATGCTGTTTGAACATAAAATAAGAGACCACTAAAACAGTTCATACATTCACACTTGAAGTAAGGTTATGGTTGTCAAGTAGTAGTTGATTTGTTGAATTTGATTTAACTATTTGTTTACGATAATGCGTTAATATTGGTTTAATTCACATTAATGTTTTAATAATCGCGTTTTCTCGGAATCGTGTTTCCCACACTCTCGGAATCAATCACAATGCTGTACTTTTTAAAAAGTGTTAATAGCGGTTTGTCGTTTGTTTTTAAATCATGTTACATTTAATAATTCTGTAATTTTTAGAAAAAACCTATTATCTGGTGGATAAAAATGAATTTACTATAGGAAGAAAAGATTGTGATATTTTAATACTATGCGATAGCTCGATAAGTAAGAAACATGCCACGATTCGGATTAAGGTATGGGTATAGATAATAAACTAATTTATTCTCGTTATTTTATTTATTTCTTCATTTAGGAGGGTAAAAAAGATAATTTAATTCTACTAGAAGATGTCGGGTCTAAGTATAAGACGTTCCATAATGATAAACCCATTCCACCCAATACCGAAATCTCTATAAAATGCAACGATAAAATTAAATTCGGAGGTCTTAATAGTGTGTTCATGTGAGTATTAAACTAACCTAAAATAGTTGTATTATTAAAAACGGTGCTCTTAATACTCCCCTATCAGAAATTTAAATAAATTTTACACTAATAAACTCTTTCAGATTAAAACAAGAAGAGTTTATAACAACCGCTACTAAACTATCTTCCACAGAAAAAAATGCCATTACGAACCAACTTCAATTCCTCAATGGTAAATATGTGAAAGATTGGAGTCCTAACTGCACGCATTTGTCCTTGGTGAAGGTGACCTGCACAGTAAAAGTCCTGCAGGCATTAATCGATGACAAGCCCATCGTGTCCCTCGACTATTGGGCAAAGTTTGTAGATAACGTAAAGCATAACATACAGCCACCTGATATCAATGATTACAACAAACCTCCGTTTGCGGAAACTTTGCTGGACATAGTCGAAATCAAGAGTAACGTTAACAGAAAAAAATTATTCGACAATAAAGTTTTCGTTTTCTACTTGGACGCGGAAAAAGCAAATATGAGCGATCTAATCGAGAAAGCAGGTAATTCGAATGTATTCGATAAAAGATCAATATATTTTACATTAACAGTTTGTGTATAATTTTAGGTGGACGATCAATATCTTTTGAAAGTACTCCAGTAACCTTAAAGGATATTCTAAAATCTGGCGAGCAGTTAATTGTAATGCACACGAAAGAGCAGGAAAGGCACGATGCTTATGTCGATATTATTCGCTACGTAAATGAACGGAACGAACGCCTTATACCCTTTACTGAAGTAGCCCTAGCCATAATACGGGGGTGTTGCGAGAAAGATTGTAACCCTTCTTTCAATCGAATGGTAGAAGTATTCAATACCTCTTCAATTAAACCAGATATTGGAAACAAGCAACTTGTCCAGAATACACAAAGTCAATTTCCCCATCAACCTTTATCTTCCACCACTGATAACCAAACTATTCCCGATACAATGCCCTTTGAAGATCTACCGGCCATAAAGAAGAGAAAAAGGCTTGCATTGAACGAATCGGATAATCTTAAAAAAATTAAAATGCAAGAAATATGGGTTGATGTGGTTGAAACGAGCGTACCTCCTTCCAATAGCTGTGACATTCAAATTGAGGAATCCCAAAAAACTAGAGATAACAGTGGTAAAAGTAATCCGGTAAACGTAACTAGTTCGCAAATGGGTCAAGTGGAAATTGTAAAGTCGCAAAAAACTGTGGATGATAGTGGAAAGTCAAAAACGAAAAGGGTTATGGATGATGAAGAAAACGATAACCCGTTTAAAAAAATTAAAATGAAATCCGAAGGGTAATTGCCTTTCTCTTAAACTTTTGAAATATGTTTTACTATTCATTTTTATGTTTTTAGTGAAAAATCACAAAGTAGCATGTGGTTTGCATCAAATCAGCCTAAAAAGCAGCAGAATCGGGTAGGATAATAATATACTAGTAGATATTTTAAATTCGTATAAAAATTTTCATATTAACTGCAGTAAATAATACCTTCCAGGTCGCTGTTTCGCAGAACAGTAAAACCAATATTGCAGAGCCTTGTAGCAAGACTACTCGCACTGATAATACTTCTAATGATTCCATTGCGTTAAGTAAACCAAATACTCAAACTACAATAAATAGAAAATTAAATGACACAAGAAATAAAACGATGAATACCACCTGGATGTCCAAGAATACATCGATTGACATTGATTGTACAGCCAACGAGGAAGAGGACGAAAACCTCCAGACCTACAAGAACCTTTTCAAAAACAATTTAATAATCGAATCTTTGTCGACTCTTTCAATTAGACCTAAGGAAAATACCGGAAATGTGTTTTCGAATAAGGTAAACATGAAGAAATTCAAAAAAGTAAGTATAAATATACTTGTGATATATTGATCCGTTACATCTTACTTTTTTTTCTTAGGTGAAGCCTTTGCATCCTCAAAATACAGTTATAAGAACAGATTCGTTTATAATGCGAGACACTCAAAATATTACAAATGCACTCGAGGTCTCGAATCAATCCACCCAAATAAATGAAGAACTAAATACTACTAGAAATACTGCGACTAATGTGACTAAAAAAACGAAAGGGCACAGAGTGTTCACTATTTAAAATAATTTTGTATTTGTTTGTTGTATTATATCTTTCCAAAAATAAATAACGTTCAGAGTACATTTTATTGAATAAATACAAACATCGAAGTTGAAATTTAAAAATGTAAATTAAATCTTATATTAGTTAAATATATAATGCGGCTCGTTCGAATATTAAAATAATTTGGTATAAAATATTACGATAGATAAAAATGTTATAGGTCACCTTGTCCTTTCATAGTTTGTAATATCCCATGAAAATTTTTATAAAACGTAACTACTTCTCTGCAAAGTAAAGGTCTGAGCAGTATATTGGTAATGACGTGATCGATGTCCACGATTATTTGGAAGATTCTTTTCTCATCGTCGTGATCGAATTTGAATTCTAAAGGTTTACCACCAAATCCACAAGCTCCTTAAAAATACCCATTGAAAGCTCGATAAAAAGTAAAAGCTCATTTACCCTCGGTATCCTGAATTTTATTCCAGTAGTTAAATCCTTGAATGATCGGAGCGTATAAATCAAATTGAGCAGAATCGACAATGTAATATGCTATGTAGTTTAATAGTACTTTTTCTCTAGATGTAAGGGTGCTCCATTTCAAAAACAACCCTTGTAAAACAGGGCCTGTAGCAAGAAAATATAGTGAACTGTTCGAAAAAAACAGGAATTATAAAAAATATACTTGCTTTTATGTATAATGTAAGCAACACATTGGAAAACTTGTAGTGGAAATTCTTTATCTACTTCTGTACATTGCGTTTCTTTCTGCTCATAATTCATTTCAATTCATTTGAAAGCAATAATTTTGATTATTACTTGACAACATAATATGTAATGGGTACCAACTGTCTTAAATCTTTAAGTTATACTTAAAGTGTAGTTAGTGAATGTAACTGCGAAAGAATTAAATATTGCAGGTAATATCTATTATACTTTATTTGATTTGTTTGTAAAACAAATTACACTAGGTCAAGATTGAACAACCATACACACACATTGGAGATATTCATGTTAATTACCTAAAACATTTAAAAATTAAAACAACTTTGATACTTTTATGGCTTAAACCACCATCGATAACCATCCGATTATGAGTATAGTGCCACCGATTGGTGCTAATCTCGACAATTTACGGTCACCAGTGAAAGCATTGTAGTAAAGGGTACCCGAGAACAAAATTGTGCCAGAAATAAACAGTGTTCCAGCCTGGAAAATTTTAAAACATTATTATTACTTATTAATTTTGCATTATTCGAACTTACTAATTTCGGATTTTTGCACATAGGTACTCCCAAGAGCGCCAAGGAATGAAAGAAATGTAATCTGTTGGCTGTATCAAATATAGGTTTCAGCTCATCAGCTTTGTCTTTCGGATAAGTTTTGTGCGCACCATAAGCTCCTAGAGCTACTGCAGTAGCTCCCATCACTCCTGCTATTTTGATAAACGGCCCATGTTCTGCGGCTAATTTCCACAAGGGTGTTTTCTCGGTGATAATAGTAACTGAAGGGGTGCTCGAAGAAATACTTTTACTGCCCTGTTTTGAATGTGTATTAGTTACGTTATGACATGTAATAATAATACTTACAGAGAATAATGCTGCAGCTTGTTTAGAAATCGGGTTGTCATAAACTACATAATTTAGAATATTAGTAAACCCCATGGTTTGTTATAAAAAAATCAATAAAATGATCCGAATTTTAAATGTCACTTTTAAATTCTGGCTGTCAAAATTGTCAATTATTTTACCAACTTAAATTTTAAGAGTGACTAAATAACAAAATAGGAAAGGGCAATGTCATACGAGAAGTAGAAGAAAATTTCTAAAATCTAACCTCAATTTTGTTTCCGAAAATTTCACACATTTTCTTTTAATTAGTTTAGTAGTAAAATAAATAACGAGAAAATGGAAAACATTGAAGACAGCGATTCCGACAATATGAATACCTCAGGTATATTGGACATAATTTTTGTTATCATATAACTAAGGCTTGTATGTATTTCAGAAAACTTGGATTTTGTAATCGATACTGTTGGAGACACTAATAAAAGTCACAAAGGTAATGGGAAACTTATTATTTTTATTTATAGTCACATTTACAACAAAATATAATTTTTAGATGAAACCAGTTCTGCCGGAGGGTCAACGATTAATAAAGAAAGCATCGATAAAGGTTACTACTATCACTCACGTTTCCTTTAATTATACTTTAACGCTCTAATTTATTGCAGATAAACGAATTTCAGATCTATTTAAAGGTTTCGATCACATTTTTGAAACCCCGAATTTGGCAGAAATAACCGAGATAAAAACCACATCAAAAAATCCCCTAGTTAAACAAACATTAGAAAGTTTAGGGGTGAACGAGAACGGATCGTTGAAGAAAAATTACTACAATTTTAGAAAGAAAGTAGATAGTAAAACTGATAAAATAGACGTGAAAAAAGTTTTGGAACACTCAGTTATAACACCGGAATTCGAAAAGTTACATGTAGTTCCCCCTATAGATGTCTCCGAGAAGAAGTTGAAACAACAAAGACAAGTAGGTTAAATGAGTTATTTGAAATAATGCATAAATTGTACGATTTATTTTCAGAAAGAAAGGTCGTTAACGAAAGGTAGTAAATGGTATGGATTACCGGCTACAGAATTAACGGATGAAGTGAAGAGAGATTTAGAAGTTTTGCAAATGAGATCCGTTCTGGATCCAAAGCATTTTTACAAGAAGAACGATTTGAAAGTGCTTCCAAAATATTTCCAGGTAAATAAATGTCATTAACTCCCCTATTTAGAATTCTGTTAATTTAATCCTTATTACAGATTGGCAAGGTAATGGATTCACCTTTAGACTTTTACAACGATCGTATTCCTAAGAAACAGAGAAAGAAGACATTGGTCGATGAGCTTCTGGCTGATGCGGAATTTAACCAATACAACAAGAGGAAATATAAGGAGATAATTGAAGAAAAACAGAAGACCCACTACAAAGCCTGGAGGCAAGCTAAGAGATTAAAAAAGAAAAAATAGAAAAATAAAAGAAATAATATAAAATTTAAAATATTTTATTACCAAAATTATTACACAAACGATTTTAAAATTACTTAAAACACATACGTTTACATTTATTTATGCTATATACAAATAAGTGTCTTTATAAACATACGATAAATAATACTCTCTACGCTATCTCCTTAATATCCGATAAATGTTTGGGCGATTCGTACGAGACGTCGTTCCCGTCTCGTTCTTCCTCCTCATCGATGATACTGATATCCCTGATGGAAGGCCTGTGGCTCCTTCTCCACGTTTGCGAGTCCGTGTTAAATTTCGCTTTGGTCAATAGAACGGGCCCCAGCAGGGTCATCAGGATGGCGGCCGAAGGCGCCGTTAAAACTATCGATAAAACGCACACGTTCAACATTTTCTGCGCCCAGTCGTATTCCTCGGAACTGGCCGCTACCAGCCCTAGCGTAACAGGACCCAAAGCGGCCTAAAACAGACTCATTAGAAACACAAATTGTTCGCTATAGTAATTTAAAAACGCACCTGTACAGTCGCTTTGGACATACACGCTATGGCGACGAATATTTTCTCTTTGAGATTGAGCTGGCTGCCGATACCCAGCAACACAGTAGCGATTATCCTGATAACGATACCGGCGAGGAGAATTCCCACGCAATAGTAGACAACGTTCGCGTCTAACTGGTTGATTTTCACCGTGGTGCCGGTGATGCCGAACAGTATGGGCTCGAATATCATCCAGAATATCTCGAAGGCCGTGTTGGCCGGGTTGTCTTCGACGTCCCAGCCCTGCTTGGACCAACCGTAGATGGAGACGAAGGCGGCGGTGACGCAGGCCAGCGGCCCGGCTCCGCCGAAGCCGATCATCTCGCTGCCGAATATCGAGATCATTCCTCCGGCTAGTAGAAGAAGCACCCGCAGCGGTATCACGAAGGGATCGTATTTCTCCGGGGTAAAATACGACATGATGCCCCAAAACACGCCGAAGCCGATACCTGCGGAATTAAAAAACGTAGAGAATCTTCCGAGGAACTATTCCGATGTGTGCTTACCTCCTATCACAGATAAGGGCCCTTCGATGATCAAATTCATGACGGAGCTATTCGAGAATATGATGCTTTTGATGATTCCAAAACCGGCCACCGAAATGGCGTCGTCGATACCAGACACTGCTATTATCAACGTGGGTATGCCTTTGGCGACTCCATATCCTTTTACCCTTAGTCGGAATAAGCACGATACAACCACTGCAGGCGACACAGCCGCTACCACTGATCCTGCAGAATTAAATCAAGCATGTATATCGGTCCACATCGATGAGATTCTAATATTTATTCGTCTACTCTTTAACTAAAGATCATTTAAAGTCTTGTAACTTACCTAATAGAAGACCGTAGATCCATGATAAGTTCAGAACATATACTGATAGTACGGCTATGACTGCGGCTTCAATGAACCATGGACCTATACCTACTTTAACTAGGGTCAATTTTAACTTCTTCATGGCGTTTGGATCGAGATCTAATCCGGCACGGATTAAGATTATAACTAAAGCAACATTCCTGCAACAAAATATCGTAGGTTTCAACTTCTGGAGACTTATTGGGTCACCTTAAATATATCATTTCCGTAATAAATTTTATATTTTCGTACTTTCAACAAGATGTGAATACTGTTAATTTAATTAGGTACCCATTAATCACGCATTTATTAGCCAGTATTGAAACTTTTCCTATTTTATTCATATGAAGCATTTATCTGCCACTCTTTATTATCTCCCTAAAAAATCTATTTGTCGATCTAATTGTTAGCATTAATATTAACACTAACACGTTAACAACAAATGATTTATTTTGCAATCTTCATCATACCCGCACTTAGTACTCTTACAGGATTTATCAGCAAGCATTGTTAGAAAGAATTTCGATTATTTCAGCTAATATTTAATTAAAAGACTCTTACCTTAGTTCCTTACAAATGCCATTAAACGATTCATCAATATTGACAATATTCACGTTCTGGAAAATAATTCCGGTAAACAGCATTCCGATCAGAGGCGGTAGCGTCGTCAAACTGATCAACCATCCGCCCAAATGGGCGCAAATGGAGAGGAATATCAGTTGGAAAAGCTGCCCGTTGGGCGGCGCCGCCGTCTCACCCACTATGGAATAAAATATGCACCATGATATGATGCCTATCAGACAGAGGACTATGATCCTGGTGAACTGCCTGTAAGTCGGGCAAAACGGGTAGGGACACAATTTGGGCCAATAACTGGGTTTCCAGGATTGACGACCGTCGTCGGAGCGGCACTGGAGGCAGAATAGGTACCACCAAGACCTAGTGGAGAAGGTATATTTTGAGTATATGGAGGTATGAAATTTATCTGGTGTATTTGTTAATCTTGGTACAGTTTTTTAACTGGATGATCGACGATTTTTCTTACCTATCATCGTTACTAGAGTCTGGAAATTTGCTTTTTGAATACACTGAATCTGTAACTGAAATTTTTTTGCATCTCAAGTCTCCGTTCGAAGGCTTCTCCGCGTCTGCAACAAACGAATACCTCGATAATTTATTAACGCATCCAAGTATCGAGGAAAATTGTCTGTACAGATTATTTGAACGTACACTTACCGCTCCTTCCCGAATTGCTGCCGTCGTGCTCGGAGCTCCTGTTGTGCAGTATGCTCTTTTTCCTGACGGGACCGATGTCGGCGTGATCGGACGTGGCGGAGATTTTCCTGCTGGGGGACTCGAATACCGGGTTATCGTGAGCGTGATGGGTCACCTTGGCATCGGGATTGTAATCCATGGTGGAGAAGCGAATTACCGGAATCGTCTGGAAAAATGAAGACCTATTGATGCATTGATAGTTCAATTAATGATTTTATAAAAGTTTTTTCGATGGTTACGCTTAGTTGTTCTAGGAGTTGGAAAAAAGTAGAAATATTTTTTAACTTTAATGGTATATTTTCTACTTTCTCTTTCAGTGATCCGGATGCAAAAACTATACGCGTTGCAGTGAAACGCCAATATTTTCGTAATTGCAAATAAAATTAATTGTAATTTAATTACCTACCTAATTAGTGACGACAAAAGTCTACACCACGGACATGAAAGTGCTGATACAAACTCTTCGGCGATATGAACGATTATTTTCTCACCCGCCTTATATGTATATGTAGCAGTAGCTTAATAAATCGCAACGTGTACACGCTGAATTTTAAATGTCTTATCGTTTAGAACTATTATCTTAATGGAATAAATCAATATTTTGTAATGTATCATTTAATAGCCACCAATTTGTTTGCGTTTGATATTAATCTGCAGACAATCGTTAGCGGCGTGTACACGCTTTTGTTCACATAAACATTTTTAGTGCTCGGATCTATTGGGATAAGATAAATGCAATTAGCACTTTTACGTGCGATACGGCGGACGTGTACACGCTGAGTATTATTAGATTTACATTAAGCGATAATTGATAAAATATTTGATTTTATTATTAGGAAAATTATATTTAGTCATGCCCTACTGCTCAACTGATATCTAAATATATCGACACTACTGTTCATAAGTAGGTACTTGCACACTTTGCCTATTAATAAGAAATTGTCAATAACCTTTAGAATATTCAAAGAAATATTTCAGTTTTTTTATAATTTCTGTTATAATGAAATACTACATCATTCATTTGAAAATTCATTGAAAATCATTTGAATTCGTATTGTCGACCAGTTTTAGGATTGATTAGAGCATTAAGTTTTATTGAATTGTAAATTTATCCGAGTTGTCACATTGTGAAAGTTTTTCCTGGATGCTTTTAGTGCGGCTTTACCAGGAAACAAGAGGACGTCAGAAATTCCGCATGAAAGTAAAATCAAAGATGATAGAGAGGAATTTATTTAAGTCACGAGTGTGAAATTAAAACAATTTAATTGGTATTTATGCGGCAAACGTTAAGTACCTAATAACATCGAAAAACATCGATGATCCCATTAATATTAAGTGATCGAAGACCGTCTAACTGGCCGATTTATAAACAATTAAGATTGAATGACGCGGTGGAATTCGACGCGTGATAGGAAACATTGTAAAAAACCACATAGATATAGTGAAATAAATAAAATAAGAAGGTACTTACATATTCGCTATTCGTATAGGTATTTGAAAAAATTCACCAAAACTTAGGGATTTGAAAAAATCCGGTGTTAGAAAGTTTAGAAACCACCAAACTGTCTGGTCTTGTTTGAAAATTTCGATCGATTAACGATAGCTAACGCACAATCGGTACAGAAAAAATCTGTTCAGCAATGAAATCAAAGAGTTTTTTAATGTAAGTACAATTAAATTGGATATTTGAGAGTAAAAATCATGGTATGCCCGGATAGGGTTATCGAACTATCGCTGGCGACGGTTTTGTTTCGCATTGTGTCCCCAACATTTTCGAATTTTCTACCTGATGGTTTTAAGAACTTATTTATCGTTGAGCAGTTACCCGTATAATAATGTTACTATCACGAAATAAAGAGATAAATACGGCTTAAACGCCCAAAGTGCTTTTCGCGCCCATTCCAATATGTATAAACATAAATAATGGCCATTAGATAAATTGAAATAACGACAGCGACGAGAACGAATTGACGAATTGACGAATTTTGTATCTAACAGCCGGATCTTGCTGATGTACAAAAGTGTTTTTGATAAATTAAATCGGAAACATTTCGCTCCGGAAATTTTATACAGCCTTTTATCGAGTGAAACGTGTAGCGAAACAATTCACTTATTTGGTTCACGCTGTATATTCGATAAAATTTTTGGTGATTAAATTGATGCTAATTTTGTTCGTACTACCGTACTAATAATAGTAATTGGTGTGTGCTTCAGGTACCTAATTATTTCTTCTAATTATTCATTGTAATCTCATCGTTGTTGTTGACAGTTTTTTTCCGCTTATGTGTAGAAATTAGTTTCATTAGGTACTATTTTTTATATACCTCCAATTGTAAAGTTCAATAATTTTCCACAATAACAAACTAGATTTCATGTGTTCACAAAGCAATGTTGCATAATTATGAAAAATTGGATTTTGGCCATGTCTACAGGATGATTTAAAAGTCGTGTTCGAAAATTATTTTTTTTTTGGAAATAAATATTTTTTTCGACTATAATCGGTTCTTTTGAAAATATCAAATATTCAATTTTCTTGCCGGAAATCTATTTAAAAATCCAAAAACGAAACCTATTCTATATCTATTATTCCCGCTTAATTTCCCAATTATCTTATATCTATTTTTAGCTTCGAATACTTTTTCTAAATCAAAAACAAAATACTGCTTAATGTTTAATTCAATAATAATTATACACTTACCAATTTTCCGGATTTCATCTTAACTATTTCGCCGTTCGACTTTTTTCAATAAAACGTTTGAATTGACATGCTAAAATTATTTGTTGAATTCTAAACATAATCTCATTCAGCTAACATATTCGCCTTTTGATTGGATAATAGTACCATGAGCGCAGCCTTAGAATTGCCGGTTAAAATCCTAAATTATTACTTAAATTCCTTAATTTACATTACTTATCCCTATAGTTATTTTTATGTAATATTTGTTGATAGGAATTCCTGTTCCTGTTCCTGTGTGACAATCAGGGAGCGAATAGAGCACTTTATTTAGGCCCCAAAGGTGTGGTATAACAGTACAATCAGGCAGGTGATAATTGCTTTTGAGAAATAAATCGTACGTAAGTAAAGTTTGGTATTATTTGAGTAATGAATTTCTTTATTAGCCACCAAATAATACGCCTATGAATGCAGCAGTATTCAGCAGTTTGAATCAAGGAAAGTTCGTAGGTGGAGTGGGCGCCGAGACGAATTGATGCCTTTGAGAAAATGGTCGTATCTGATTTCCTACTAAGGATTTTAATGTACTGATTGCTTCCCTTATTTTTTCTCTTATAGTTTCTTAAATATCTTAATTTGCCTCTTATAACATACTCATATATCGATAATCTATATATAGGCTTATCTATGTAGATGCACCTGCAGATGTATTTTTCTTGATAATTTTAATTTGTTATTATTACAATCACTTTATTCACCTATCGACGAATTATCGATGGTAATAAATTGAGGACACAAAATTTGTTATTGGCTGCATTCGTAATCGATTTGCAATGCACTTAACTGCGATTCGAGATCCGCAATTATCTGGATATCTCTATTTTGTTGAAAAAAAAAATTAGTTGTCGTGCGTCTCATAAAAACGTTAAATTTTCAACGGTCAGTTAATTTTAGCGCATACCTACTAATTAATGTATTAGCACATATCGTCACGGTGAGACGCCTCAGGTATTTACTTATTCAGACGTCCGGCGATACGATTTGACGCATTTCTTATTTGACTACTGATAAACGATAAATTGTAGTTTTTAATAAAATAAATATTTTCCGAGCAGATTTTTAATAGAAATGTTAAATACAGCCGCTTTGTAGCATGCTAAATAATGGGTGTCAGTAGAGAAATTTAATCTTAATAGGAACATTTTGCGTCGATTTGGAGTCGCATCTTAATTAAAGGTTTTAATGGGAATCGTTAAAGAAAATTTCACCATATTTCTACACCCTGTAAATTATTTTCCCCATTCGATGAATACTTTGAAATACCTTGTTAACTACAAAATATTTCCCATTGTTAAATTGGAGTTAAGCAGCATAAAGTGTACAAGTTTGTATAACAAGTTTTCTCATATGATTTCTCACAACAATTCTACACAAAATCACATGTAAAACTTATTATTTTTATTATTAGCTACGACTGCAAATTTTACTAGGTAGACTTAAAAATCGTCATTAAAAGATATGTATTGATGTTATGATTAGATCTGTAGGGATTAATGGATCTTCATGGAATTAGTAAAAATATTTTTTCCGCTTACCTATTTGAATATGGGCCAAAAATGGATGATCATGCCGCGTGCATCGGTTGCTCAATCAAAATCGATCAAAAAATCGAAACTAAATTTTTTTGTTTGTTGACCATTTTAAATTCTGCCGTGTTTTTACCTCCACCACTCCTATCAATTCACAACTATCCTCTGTGTACACACCTCTATGCATACCTATCTTTTAGTAAATAATAAGTAAATACTACAACAATACTACACGGCGTGGATTCGTTTAGCGAAATCGTTTGATACCTTCGTTTTAATTAAAAGTTGCCTTCACAGGCGTAACAAAAGGGTACCACAAAAGGTGATGCTCGTGTGACGTCTGTTAAACACAACTCTGCAAATTAGACTCTTACATTTAGATAATCATTTACATTGATACACGTGTAGATTATGTCTTAGATTTTTGTGCAGTTTGTATAATTTTATTTGAATATGTAAGTTTAATGTGCAAGATTTTATTTTCCATGTTTTGACGTCTTCATCTTGTTTTTTTATTGGTGTTCGATTAAGTTGGGTTTGTTATCATAATATTTTTGTAGATCTGTGTTTTTTGAGGACAATTAGTACTAAATAATGTATGATTTATAGTATCTACTGTATATAAATTTGTTATTGAATTCATTTATATAAACTGCTCCACAAAAGTTAAGGAAGTTCACAAATATTGAGATTAATTTAAAAGTTACAAGTTTTTTGATCGGCATATTTTCATTTATTAGAAATTGAATGTTAACACTCCTATCCGAGTGTTTAGTCTTTCTGATGCCCTAGAATATCATGGTATTCCGCATTTGGCATTGCCGCCTCTATCTCCAGACCTCAATCCTATTGAGCACGCTTGGGACCATCTACAATGGGCCTTGAATGCTCATCAACCACCACCACATACACTCCAAGAACTCGGACGGCTTTTACCGCAACTTTGGAGAGAAATTCGAGTATTTAAAAACACAAAAAATATTTTTTTTTTCAAAACTGAATGAGTTATAGAGGTAGGGACAAAAATTCCACTCAGATATGAGAGAAAACATTTAATTTCGCATATTTGAAAATTTGGTGATCAAAAAGTCTGTAACTTGTAAAATAATCGCAAAATTTGCGAACTTCCTTATCTTTTGTGGAGCAGTTTATTTATTAATACTATTTTCTACATTTTTTCTATAATTTTGCGTAGAAATTAGAAAAGTAAATTTGAAAATTGAAGAATACATTTTTCTCCATAATACAGAGAGGAATGTATTGTGGCAACGATAAGTTGCCAAATATTACAAATAAAATTATTAAATCACCACATTGAAAATCCCTACCTATTTAATATTGCGATACCCAGGAACGTACTAGCCCAATCTTCTCCGAATTATTCCCCTTGTCGCAGCTTATTATCATTTTTTCTACTCGATCAAAATGATTAATTTACCTCGAATTGATCATACGTAAACAGGTAAAGGTAATTTCCCCGTTCCATCATCGAATTTTTATGTTAATTATATTTTTTCGCGCGGAATCAGGTTCTTATAATATACCTACTGACCGTACAATTTAAATTCAAATAAGATAAGAAGTTCACAAGAGTGCAACCAAATTGAATGAAACATTCGACGATGAAATGAAAACACTACGATATGATTCCGTTTAGAAAATTCGTACTGGCGAGTTTAGTTTATTTTATTTTAGTGTCTAGTGGTGCATATTCCGATTGTGTACGAAATGGCAACTCGTTAGTGTGTAATAATCTCGGACAAATATCCGGTAGAATATTCGACGATTCCTACAGAAACATAACGGATATAAAGGTAGATAACAAGAATGAACACACCGATTTACTCAACAATGCTTTTATTAAAATGCCGCATTTAACCAAAATAAGCGTAGTAAACAGTAGGATTGATTCAATTTACTCAACATCAATACAAAATTTAACAAACTTGAAACAATTATGGTTCTCGCGCGATGGTATAACCAAAATACACCAATCAGCATTCACCAATTTACCATCTCTAGAGAAGATTTACCTCAGCCACAACGAGCTAAAATCGATCACCAAAGGCATATTGAGTAACACAACAGCACTCAAATCAATCATACTCTCCCACAATAAAATCAGCACAATCGAAAACGAAGCGTTCTTCGATTTACCCAACTTGAAGATGCTAGCGCTCGACCACAACGAGCTAAGCACGGTTTTCGTGCACAAATTAGTCTCGCATCCCGGTGTACTGGAGCTGCTATGGCTGCACAACAACTCCCTTACGCTCCTCACCAACTACATGCTGGAGAAGCTGGGCAACCTGCAGACTCTGAACGCGGGTTTCAACGAAATATCCACGGTGGAGGCGAATTGTTTCCAGCACACGCCGAATTTGGTTACCCTGGTGTTGACTCACAACCGCTTGAAGGAGCTCGACGGGGAGGTGTTTCCCCGGAGCGGGATGCAACTGCTGAGGAACCTCTACTTGGATAACAACCTGCTGATGTATTTGAGCTCGACGTTTTTTATTAGAGCGGGCGGGTTGAAGAGGGCGACGCTGATGGGCAACCCGTGGCACTGCGGGTGCTTGGAGGAAATCTACAGGGTTTTCCGGGAGAATGGTATCGAGGAAAAGTGCCAGGGTATTTTCATCGATAACCAACGGCCGATTTGCGTCGGAGGGGACGTTGTAAATAAACATTGTAGTCATGTGTACAGCAGGGAGTTGAGTGAAAAATATATGAACTACATGAAACGATTTCCTGTGCCTTACGTAAGAGGTTTTAGATGTGTTCTGTGATTGCCTAGAAGTAATGCGAAAATTGAAATGTATTTGTTCTAAATTTATTCCATTACACTATACAATTTGTACAAATTCATAAGTACTAGTACTTTCCAAAAAAATTGTAAGATAAGTAACTTTTTCTAGTAAATTAGGATGGTCGAAAAAGGAAAAAAACAAAGAAAAAATTAATAACAAATATCAATGATTGTATCTTATTATTAAACGTGACAAAAAATACTTAAAATTACAATAATTAATATATAATATACATTACATTTTAAGGTTTAGAAATATTTTTTAGAAATTTACAGGGCGACAACAGTAGAATTAATATCGATTTTATACTTATAACACTAGAAGAATTCTACTTAAAATCTCTTAAAGTTATTAAAAAAATATGAAGCAACAATATTATTTTAATACTTGCATAGCTCCAATTTTGTACGAAAATGTAATAATTATTCTGCAAAAAAACTGAGTAATTCATTTTTTTCTATAAATTTATCGGTGTTTTTATGATGATACACACTTCACATTAATTTATTTACCCCCATATGTAAGTCAATATAATAAAAAAAGTATTATGAGATTCTTTACAAAGCCATCAACCTCCAAATATGCATTACGTGTAATGACCCTGTACAATTTCTATTTCGAGTATGAAAAAAACTATATTATCACATTAGTTTTTGAAACTAAAGTGTCAGTACATGAAATAAAGGAAAATATATATCAGTAATTAAAAATCTTGGACCTCGTATATACAAATGAACCCTATGTTTCAACTAGCCCATCCAGCCTTCTGCAAATCGATTTGTCCTTCCAGAGTTTTCGCCAAATATATCACAAAGAGCTGCGACAGCGCTACGCCCAATGCTATTCCGGCTATAGTGTAGAGATTTCTCTCAGCCCATGATCGAACTATTTCTATGCAACCGGACGTCCACACTTTCTTACCGGCCTCCGCAACCTGTACAAAGTCAGTAATTAAAAGAAAAATTGTTTGATAAGAAACCTGGAACACTTACGGAGAGCTTTTGGACGTCATATCCGCACATGATGTTTATAAGTCTGGAATTCTTATTGTCGATGCAACAGGAGAAAGGTACCCCACAGCGTTCGGAGCTGGGAGAGCTGCAATTGAAGTACTCGTTTTTGCCCCAGTCCATGTATCCATCTGAGCTCAATCCACAACAATGGAACTGTAAAATATCTCATAAATTACAGAGGTATTTGCATTAAGTGACCTATTACCTCGTGTTGAGCGATATCAATCAAATTTTGAAGATCTGGATCGTCACGGTACGTATGTATAATTTTATCAGTGAAATTTTCTTCTAAAATGGACTGCATGGAATGCGGAAAGACAAATCCTACTATAGCAATTGCCATTTCTAGCAGGAAGAATATCAACAGGCATAGTGAGTACTAAAAAATAAAATTTATAGTCACTTATCATTGCTAAGATTCTACTGGGATTAGCAGAGATAGATAAATATAGCAGGATAATATTATACTTACGAATCTGAGCAAACAAGTGTTCTCTCTGAGGGCCCCGACACAACCGAAGAAGCTAACGAAGAAGACGACGCCTCCCATGATGACCATAACTAATGATATATTCAATATTACATCGTAAACATTTTCGAGTCGTACCCATCCTGTTAACTGCCACTTGTCTATAAAGGCATATAAGCCTATACCAATCAGCAAACCTCCAAATAACTGAAATATAACATTATCAACTCATTGTACTTCCAATACTAAAATTACAGAATGTACTGTAATACACATCACTTATTGCGTGCAAATATTTTACATAATTCCAACAATCTACAATAATCTCTTTTGGTTATATGATATTGTTTACAAAACTCAGGAAATGCATAACAAATTAATCATAATTTTAATGAATGTGACTCACCCAAAATATGAAGTTGAGGATAAAAATGAGATATTTTACACATGGGCTTACATATGTAAAATTACTGGTATGATGTCGTCTTAAATCGCCTCTTCTGTAACCAGAAATAACTTGAGCCATTTTTTAAGTATTTAAGAAGCCTACTTGTTCCAAATGCTAGAAGAGCCTATGAAAGTCACTTTTGTTCATCTATTTGATCGTTCGAAGACTTTTATCAGATAAACGTACACATTATTGCAACAGTCTTTGATAATAATAATAAACCAGCATTATTAATAAGACGATTATAACTTTGTTGCAATTTTATGCCAGAACAACAATAGGTAATTAAACTTTTTTGCAAAACCCCAATTGACTTGACAGTAAAGTGAAATGGCATATGACACATAAACAAAAACATTCCCTTTTTCCTCTTCCTTTGATTTTCTAAAAGTGGACATGTACTATTCGGAATTTAGGTTAAAAAATTATACGAGAAACTATTTTATTTTTAAATAAGTAATTGTTAAACAGTGGTATTTTAGAAATAAACTGTTTTACTTTTGATTAGCATTACATTTACGTATATAATAATTTAAATTAATTCAATAAAAAAAGAAGCAAAGATTAAAATGACACTGACATATGACATTGTTTTGTTTGACAACATAACCTAACTAACTAATTATTATTTACTAGACTCAAAATTAAAAACTTTATATCATAAATAATGAATTAAATCGTTTATAATGACTGATGTAGAGACTGTTGAAGATTTTTATGGAGTCTATTTGTTGTGTTGTCTCAATCCCAAGTACAAAGGAAGAACGTATATCGGTTATACAGTAGATCCAAATAGGCGAATAAAGCAGCACAATAAGGGTAAAAAATTTGGAGGGGCTTGGAAAACTAGCAATAAAGGGCCATGGTAAGTTTAGTCCTTCGTTTTACTATTATTTACATCCGGCAGCTTAAATGGGGTTACGAGAAATATAAAAACAAGCACACTTTTCTATTTTTTTTCTTAAGGTCTATGGTTATGATTATACACGGTTTTCCAAATGATATATCAGCTTTACGAGTAAGTTAAGCACTAATTCTCAATACTTTTAATACCCTAAAGTACGTTTTTTAGTTTGAATGGGCTTGGCAACATCCTCACTCCTCTAGGAGGTTAAAACATGTCTCGAAAAAAAAGTATAACGAAAAGAACTTTGATTTTTGCATAAGAGTTTTATCGGAAATGCTCAGAGTGGGCCCTTGGTGCAGATTACCACTTAACATTCGTTGGTTAAATCCAGATTTCGTTACCGATTTTCCAGTGAGTTTTACACAATTTATTTAAAAATACTTGAATATGGTAGGAAAGTAAACAATTTTAGGCACTTAAATCACCACCTCTTCACATGCCAATCTGCCATGGCTCAGTAGTGAGCAAAAAAATAGATAAGCGCATTCCGTCTGAAAATAAAGAAACGACATGTTCCCTTAGTAACATATGTGATATTTGCCAGACACCCATATCAGAAAAAGATATGAAATGTATTAATAATAATTGTGATGCAAAAATGCATGTTCTTTGCTTATCTAATGTCTTTCTAAAGCCCGGTGAATATGTTCCTGTGGAAGGAGCGTGTCCCAAATGCCATCAAACTGTATTGTGGGGCGACATTGTTAGGAAATACAAAGGTTGTTATAACACCGTCGATGTAAAAATCAATTTAGATAATGCTAATGAATTTTACTCGTCTGATTCTGATTAGTTATTTTATTATTATATTACATAGGTTTTAAAAGGTAATAAATTTTTTTATGGAATCTACCTGTGTACGTTTATTACTGAGCTACATGTATCTAGAATTGTATTTTCGCACTTTCAATTCAAGCATCAATTTCTGCAGTATCGAATTTGATGTGAATTGGCTAATTAAATAAATCCATTTAATCTGTTGTAAAATTTTTAAATTGGTTATCACAAATTTTTTATTTATGATTCATTTAGAATATTTCCTTACGCACCTTGTTTCTCATGTCGCCTATTATTAAATTATTGTTTTTTAATTAATTTAAATTAATACCAAACTGTTTTCCACTCTTTATCTACTGATAACTACAGTGTGTGAAACAAATATGTTTATTAGTTTTAGTCGTATTTTGTATAAAAAAATCACTCAAGGTTCGCACACGTGCTAGTAAAAATTTTTTCGTCTGTTCGTCGCAATAGGTGTCGAATTTTCTATAGTTGTAATAAATTATATCAGATTTGACCTATTTCTTACATCGAACGTTAGTTATACAGGTAATGTTTATTAATTCTATTTAAAATTAACACACTCATTATTCCTTGAAATATTAATTTTAGAGTATTCTAAATTATATTTACACAATCAATTTATTTAACAAGAAACATTGATGGGTTATTTTATTAGTAGTAATGAAAATATTCAATTCCTATCCATTTAATAGCAACAGTTAAAAATAGATTGAAACGAAGGTTATCAGAATTTTCAGCAGGCATAGTGCATCTATTTAATATCACAATTACACATACGCCTTTTAATTTTACCCACAATCAATTAGTTGTTCTTAAAAAAACGGCTCAGTACGAAAGTACCAATTCGAACGATAAGAAATAGATCAAATATTTACATAAGGTTTAACGATATGTCTATATCTGTCCAATATCAATTTAAGCGATCTCGTACTATAAAACGCGCTTATTTGCGTTTTTTTCTTCAAGTCGTTTAAACGATTACCCGCGAAATTCGTTTCTCTTAATCTCGGCATTATCTATTAAATTCAGCGAACCACAGTTATCGTTTACATAAAAATACCTGCGTCAAAATATGAGTTCTGGCATAGATCAGAAACTTGTCATCGGGGATATCGAAAGTACCACCCTTCAAACAGTCACTTACTTGCCGAAAGGGAAGGAAAACCATTAAATTACCTGAAGAATTTAATCAATTATCTGATCGGCATAAAACAAAACGATTCTGTAGATATCGATTTCTTTTATCACTAAACTTTGCTCTTCTTAGTGATTCAAATAAAGATACGATCTGGGCGCTTTGGTAGTAGATAAAGTACTGGTATTTTACACGACTTATTTATCGTTTAAACATTATTCATCATTTTTATTTCTTCTTTTAGGTACATTATTGTTCTTCGTGAGCGGCGCTACGCTAGTATGGACTTCCCCGGTGATACCTATGCTGCGTTCCAACAACACCGAAGAGAATCCACTGGGCTATCCCATATCCACGATGGAAGTGTCCCTGATAGCAGGCGTCCCTTCGTTGACGATGCTATTCGGTTCTGTGATATTAGCTAGAATTTCAGAATTGGTGGGCCGGAAGAGATGTCTGCAGATCATAGGACTCGGCTTGTTCTCGTCCACTTTACTCATAGCGTTCAGTCCGAACGTGCTGTTGATAGTTCTATTCAGGAGTGTTTTGTACATGTTTTATATCGGCACTCTCACGGTGCTGCCCGTGTATATCACCGAAATTTGCGAGGATCACAACCGGGCGAAGTTCGGTTGCTTGATGGGAGCTTTCCTGCCCTTCGGTAATCTCTACACGTACGTTTTGGGGTCGTTTTGCAACGTGAGGTATCTGACTGTCTTGATCGCGGCTCCTTTACTGTTTTTCCTGGCTTTCTTTAATATGGTACCGGAGACCCCCGTGTATTTGCTGTCTAAAGGGCGTAAAGATCAATGCATAAAGGCTATACGCGCCGTGCGGAAAAATAAAACGAGCAAGGAAATAAACGAGGAGTTCGTTAAGATCGAAGGAACTATAAAGTCGAGCGTATCGGTCAAAAGTAATTTTCTCTCTTTGTTTGAAACCAAAGAAGCTAGATGGGGAATGGTGCTAGCTCTAAGTCCTGTTGTTATACAAAATCTGTCTGGAGTGACTGTTATTATGACTTTCCTGGCTCCTTTGTTCAATTCTGCTGGTACCAGTTTATCTGGAAACACCATGGCTATTATAGTAGGAGGTATTAAAGTTTCCAGTTTTATTTTTACATCGACTATAATCGAGAAGACTGGCAGGAGAAAAATGCTCTTGATATCAACTTTAGGCACCGGTGTTCCGTTATTTGTTTTAGGAATTTTCTTTTACTTGAAACAGCAGGATTCTTATTTATTGCCGTATATTCAATGGTTACCTTTGGCTTGCGTTATTTCCAATGTAATAATGTATTCGTTAGGATTAGGTTCGATCCCCATGGCTATTATGGGGGAATATTTTCCTATCGAACTTAGATCCCTAGCCCTTTCGTTCATAATGATTATATTCGGTTTCATTATGTTTGTGACTACGTTTACGTATCCTTACATGGACGATTATTTGGGCGTGCATTGGTGCGTGTGGATGTACAGCGGCATTTGCTTCGTAGGATTTATTTTTATTTATTTAGTCATTCCAGAAACCAAAGGTAAAACTTTAAATGAAATTCAGGAGTATCTGAAAAGCAGGTAGCGATAATTTTTGTGAAGAAATATAAAATCTGCAGGCAGATAGATAAATTTTACCTTAATATACTCGTACTTATACAAAAAATGTGTACCTATAATATATTGAGATTTAAAAAATTCTTATTGTAAATTTTGTAATATCAACATATTTTTTTATATTTTTAATAAAAAACAAATTAGACAATTTTAGTCGTTTTTTTGATTATTGAGATAATTAAAAAATCCATATAAATATAATTAACCTTTAATACAATTTTATTACAAAAATGATTCAAATAAGTAGTAAAAATCTGCACCATCTTTGTGAAATAATCTACATCACAATTAAACCAGTATCAACATTTTTTTTTTATTAAAATTCAAGAACTGAGATTATTTCATTTTGCTACCCCGACTAATGCAGGTCTAATCACTCTTTCGTGTAATTTATAACCAATTTTTGATACGGTAATGACTGTACCAGATGCTTTACCTTGTACTTCCTAAAAGAGAAACATTTTAATCTCATTACAAACTATTTTCTAAAAAAATTACCTGTGAGAAAAGCGCTTCGTGGAAATTAGGGTTGAATTTCTCATCCACTGGGTTAACTTTTTCTAACCCGTGCCTTTTAAATACACTCAGTAATTGCGCCTCAGTCATGGTCAAACCTTCGTATAAACTTTTTAAATGAGAATTATTCTTAAGTTCCTCCTTTGGTACAGTTTCAGTGGCTTTGTTCAACACATCAGCGACATCCAAGAGATCTTTACAGAAACCTTGGATGCCATAAATTTTTGCTTCTGATATTTGTTTCGTTAATCTGTTTCTCAAATTTTCACCGTCCGCCAAAGCTCTTTTGTACTTATCCTGAGAATAATAATTTGATTACAGTACGTTTAATATTGAAACAAAATAACTGGAGCTCACCAAAAGTTCCTCTTTTTGAGTGGTTAGTTCGGAAATTTGTTTGTTCAAATCTTCAATTACTGGGTTACTTTCAGCTTTTGCTGCTTCTCCGCCTTCTGATTTCGTTTCAATTGGCGTTGCAGTGCTATTTCTACTCGAAGAGACAGCGATATTCCTGAAATCCGTGATATTGGAAAGGAAAGTTGCGCAATTTGAGATTAATGTAATGCAAATGATGTGTAAATGAGAATTACCTGGAATTAAAAAATATAGAATCTGCCAATGATTGACCACATTTTAAAAAGCTTCTCGCACTAATTAAGGCCATTATTATAGAATTATTCTCAAAAACTCGTTTTTTTTATTTTTAAGGTTAGTAATGGAAAAAACTTAAAATGTCTGACATGTGTCAAAAACTTCTTTTTTCCACATTTGATTTTAAAATTGAGTTATTCCTGTATATTTATTCAATCACATTTTTTAATTGAAAATTAAAATAAATGTCTGTACATTCGAATTACTATTCTGTACAATAACAAGAACAACTAGTTGTGCTAATAGATGTTTGTAGAAACTTATACTGAGCTGAATATTGTGTTTAGAACAGTGTTGCCAATGGTTAAGAACGAAATTATCCACTCTTAGGTTCGTGATTATGCGATGTTGTTCTACATTATGCGCCGCCAGCGCTGCAGGCGGTTGCTAATATAAAACGGCCAGAAACGAGTTTTTTTTGGGTTTTTTTGGGTTTAAATTTGAAATAACACAATTGAATTCCTGAACTTAGTCGTCAACCTTGTGATTCACCGAAGTGTTTCTATGTTACCATTTTTTTTACAAATAATTAAGGAGTTTTAAGGAGGTTTTAAGGAGAAATAAGGTTGAGGCGCGTAGTAATTCGCTTTTTATGCGAAATTGTGCGATTTAATTTACAATGCGAAAATTATTACCTACCATGTAAAATTATGCGCAAATCGCATAATTATGCGCCAATCGGCAACACTGGTTTAGAAATAGTTGAATATGCACTATAAAAAAGACATACCGTCTATGATGTGACATGACACATGTAATCTGTCATAATTCCTACTCTATTTTGATTTGTTCTATGCTTATTTATGTAATTTTTGAACACGTGCCCAAAAGAAGGAACAATTTTCTTAATTTTAAGTGCGTGGAATGGAATTGGTATTGGAAAACTGTTCAAAGCGGACTGCAGAAGATGATTGTTCAGAATGTGATATTTCACATAAGAAACTGAAAGGAACAGAAGTTGAAATTCCAGAATCCGAGAGTACCCCAGATGAAACACAATATTTTAATGGTGTTGAGATTTCGAAATTAAGTAAGAAGCAGAAGAAAAAATATCTAAAAGCATTAAAATGGAACGAAGTAAAAAAGGAGAAGCGTGCCAAAGAAAGGCTGAAATGTAAAGAGAAAAGACATCATGCGAAGCTGAATAACATAGATTTAGGTCCCAGTAGAAAGGAGCTCAAGAGAGTGAAAATGAAAGACAGCCCTTGCAAAATTAACGTATGCATAGATTTAAGTTTTGACGAATTAATGATAGACAAAGACATGGCTAAAACCATTAAGCAGGTGCTTCGGGTTTATACAGTAAACAGAAGGGCTAAGGCGCCTTTACAATTACATTTAAGCAGTTTTAAGGGTCGATGTGAGAAAGAATTCTGCAGGCACCACGGGTTCGAAAACTGGGACATAAATTTCCACACTGAAGATTACACCGATGTGTTTCCAAAAGAAAATTTAGTATATTTAAGCAGCGAAAGTGAAAATGTTCTAGACAAATTAGAAGAAGATAAAGTTTACATTATTGGAGGTTTAGTTGATCACAATTCGCAGAAGGGAATTTGCTATAACAAGGCTGTGAAACAAGAAATATCCCACGCGAAATTGCCGCTCGAAGAGCATTTCTGGATGCGCCAGAGGAAAGTTTTAACCATTAATCACGTTTTTGAGATACTGCTGTACGTCAGCGAAGGCCAGAGTTTCAAGGAAGCCTTCGAAAAAGTTTTGCCCAAACGAATCGAAAAAATTGCCATGGATGAGGTCAAACCGGATACTTCCAAAGAAGAGAACGGCCAATCGTAAAATTTATAAGTAATTAATGTTTCAAATAAATAAATATTGGCTTGTTTTTCTGGGTTTTATTTCTTCATAATGCAAGTAGCATAGACAAAATAAAAATCTTTCTCTATGGCAAGTAGTTTGTCGAAAATACAAGTTTTATTAAAGGAACTGTATGTCCTATGAAGAGCAGACCATGTTATTTAAGAAGACTACATTTGTCAATGTCAAAACTGTCATTGGTTTATTATCATTTTTTGACGTTTATATGAAGTTGTCATTGTACTCCGTATTGTTGATTTTAAAGATTTTAATAATTAATTAAACTAAAAGTATGAATGAAGGACTCAATGAATTCCCAATTAATTAGCGTATAATCGCCTGCTGGATATTATACTATAAAAAATGCTGGATTCGTCTCCCGAAGATGAAGATTTTCCTGGTAGACTTTTACACCAGGTAACTAATTTTCTTTTTTTAAGAGAATTAATTATGTCAAGCTCTGACGATTTTCCTAATTACTAGATAGTTAACTAATACTAATTTGTAGTCTGCTCTATGGGACAACACTGAATTACTCGAAGATCTCCTAGCAGGAGGACAACAAAATTTTATTAATTCTCAAGACAGCTGGGGTAGGACTCCTCTACACGCGGCTGCTATTACAGATAAATCCAAATGTCTGCAATTTCTTTTAAACTCTGGTGCAAATGCCAACATTCATTGTGGTCCTAGAGGTGAAAACAAGGTAATAAACTAATCCAATCAATTTTAATCTAATACTTCAAGTCTCCCTTATTTTCTTAGACTCCTCTACATCTAGCCGCCGAACATGGTCATGTACAAAACATTCTAATCTTGCTACAACACGACGGTGATATTTCAATAAGAGATATCAATGGAATGACTGCTATTGATTTAGCAGAAAAAAACAGACATGCTAAATGTGTGATGGTTCTTAAAGAAGCTGCAGGTATGTATTGTCTTTAATTTGCTGTAGAAATATGCTTGAAATATGCAATATCATGGAAATACTGCATTTCTATGCGTGTCTAATATATGGAACGACAGACTGAGAGATTTCTCTTAGGTTTTTTGAATTGTTTAAATTTTAAAACTTTAACTGTCTGTAACTTTTTAGCACAGTATAGTATATTATAGTAGAAAAAGATTTTAGGTGTATAGGAGCTCACTTTTAGGTTTCACATGTCCCGTTTTATTTAATAAAATTTAGGTTTTTAATGACACTAATATTGTTACCCTTTTGAATATTACTTACACAATGAATTAAGTAAAGGTCCTTTAACCTTTTCCTTGGATACTTCCCCGGAAGCCTGGATAATTGAAGGAATGATATTTAAAGGTCTAATAAATCCAGCTTTAGTTGTACTGTGAGTAAACTCTATTTAAAGTTGTTTAATCAAATTTGTATTGATTTTGTATCGCCGCTATTTTATATGAGCAAGTATCGACGAAATTAAAACGTTTCCGTTTTTCTTATCAGCAGCTCCCACTGAGTAAAAATAACAGTCTAAAGTTTTTATTTTCCAACGCGTAAACGCGATAACCTTTGATTTCAAATATTATCGAACTGGAAATAAAAGTAATCATAGCCGTGGTAAATTTTACACCATTTTCCACATTATTAAGATTAATAAAAATAACGCTTATGATACAGCTATTAATTTATTTTAAATACTGCACCTACTATTCGTTACAAGCATAATTAAATACCCAGTTCTTGTTCCCCTATCATAACAGAAATCTAATCACATTACAATGTAACCTTTTCCGAAACACCCTTACCCATCGCCGAGCGCTCGCTCTGTTTCTCTCGGCCAATTTTCCGGGTCAAACCGCTGGCCTATATGCCGTCGTACGCCGTTGTCGCTTCCCGCCTCGCATCGCGTCGAAAACCTCGCTCGCCAGTCCCGATTCGCGGCTCCAGCCTGGAGGAACTTCGGCCGGTTCGCCGAGCGCCTTACCCACGAACATGATTTCCGCCTATATCCATCGACGATGAGCGCCTACACGGTCATAGGCCGTTGCTGCTTCACCACCGTGCTGATCATCATCCTCGGCTATCTGATTCTGTTGTTGTTGAAAAGGAAGTTCAAATTCAACGGATGGTTTGATATGTGGGAATAGCGACCGATTGTAATAGGATGTGATGATCGTTTGAATTGCGAATTAGCGCGTGCACGTAGTTTACCTACTTGTTGGTGAGTGATAATAATTTGCGGGATTAATTTTCAACCGGTCTATTAACCGCAAATTGTCCATTGCATCAGGTTCTCCTCATAGACCTGGAATTGTATATATATTTTTTTATTATTCACTAAATAAAGTAGAATGTGTTTATTTAATTATTACATACATTTAGCAAGTAAAACAAATACTTCCTTCAATTATGTACTCCCCATTATGAAAGTAAGTTTCTTTTTGTAAGAGTATTAATATTTAGTCAAATCTAATAACCCCTAATTAATACAATTTATTAACAAATATAACGACATGTTTGAGTGACAAATCATAATAGGGATCTTCTTGACTGGACTATGAAGACTTTAAACGTCGACCTCCCCTATATTCTCCGAGTATTGATTAACATCCCTCGCTCTAACAGCTGTGAATGCGTTGCGAGTAGATTTCATTTTTGCACTGCCGCTGCAGTGACACCATGTGATAACGCGAAAGTCTGTTGTTGGTTAGATTGTAGGTGTTTTTATCGTTTTCTTTTGTACTAGAACACAATTTTTGATGCGTCTACATTTTTTCTATAATTTTTTAATGAAATGGAAGTAAGGAAGAGGAGGGCTAGGAGGGCCGATGTCGCTTTCGACGCATGCGATTATTTTAATGACGATTTTGTTATTTTTAATAAGGAAGTAGGCAAGTAATGTTGGTGTAGCTCCTAATTTTAATCGACCAGAGCGGAAACGAATGCGTTTTGTTCCATAATTTCAAGCTTTCTACAATTTATTTTATGCTATCTGCTTAATATATAATGGAAAAAATAGTAAAGATTTACGAGTCACTCAAGGAAGATTAACTCGAGCATATTGCTTATTTATCCCTGTATACCTAACTATATAAAATAAATTCCAAATGAGGAGAAAAGAATTATGAACATTCTCCCAAAATTCACCTGCTTTATCAGATACCTATAAATTATTTCTAAAACAACTCCGTATCAATTTTATTGGATTATATAAATATATCCACAGATGAGAAAGAGAAAGCTAGACTGGAAATTCACGCTGCTATAAGAGATGCAGTCAATCAAGGCGACAAAAACTCTGTCCAGCAAATTCTTCAATCCGTACAAAAAGATGCCGAACTTATTGTTAACATGGCACCGAGTGGTGCAAATACTTTATTATTTACGTAAGTATTAAGAGAGTTATCAGGAGAGTTGTCTTGCTTCTTAACCAATTTGCGCTGGCTTGCAAAAAAGCTCTGCTATAAGTAAAGGTATCGAATTATTTTATAGAGCTTGCCAAATAGGAAACAAAGAAATCGTGAAAATACTACTAGAAAACGGAGCTGATGGTAGATGTCATCCTGTAACGAAATACTCACCCCTTTACATAGCCTGTTATAGCGGTCACAAAGATATTGTAGAATTGCTACTGTTGAAATTTCCGGAACTAGTACAAGTAATAAATATTTCAATTATTACCTAGGTACGTGTTACTAATTATTTCGTTTTCAGATTCACACTGTAGAAAGATGGTTGCCGATACATGCTTGCTGTATAAATGGCTACGTCGGCGTTTTGGAACTTTTATTTCATTTCCCGTATCCGATTCAAGTGCTCAGAAAGTACCGGTGAGTTCCAACAAAAATGGGAACTTCGAACTTCGGAATGGTTATTCGATTAATTTATTTTTAGTGACAAATCCGAACAATGGGAATACTTGATGCCCTTTGACATAAACGAAAGAGACGCCACCGGACAAAATATACTGTACGTTGCCTCTTTACTTGGCAACAAGAAATTGTTAGATGTGATATTGAAATTCAGAGTGAAAGCTACTCGGATATCATCGGAAGTACGTTGGTTAAGCGATTTGTTATAAGGTTTATAGCTGGTTATTTTAGGATGATGATGTTACCCCTAGTTCAGAAGTTAGCGTCGTGACGAGCCCGCTTAAAAGAAGGATTTCCGATGGAATCATTTCCATTATGTCGAAATTGAATTTTTCTGTGGAAAATTCGCCGGAGAATTCGCCAGATGTGCGTACATTTTTTCCTTTATGTACACCCTTTTTTCAAATGCTAGTTCAAATGATTGAATCATACATCGATTATCATTACTAGTCTGTGAAACTAGAGATGGTTTCGAGTTTAATTTTTGTTTAATTTTTAGAATGATCCCAACACAAAGATGATTTGCCCCTTGCGAATCGATACTTATTGCAACAACAACACAGAAACCGCCCTGCACGCCTCGATTAAAGGCAAACATTACGATATTACTCTGGCTTTGTTGAACAACGGAGCTAATCCTAACGCTGTAATTAAAGCCTATCATGATATTAACGATGTACGTTATTACAAAATCACTAAGTAATATACAGATTGCTTCAATTCAGACCGCAACATGGTTGTTTCAATGAGTTGAACAAAGAAAGATTGCTAAAATAACAGTTGTCAGAATGAAAAGTTGCAATGACACGAATGTCACTCTTTCTTTTTCCTTTATAAGTGTCTAATGGAAGTTGTCTTTAATAATATCTATGTTGTGATCTGGAATAAAGCACAGTGTATTTGTTCCATCAAAGTCACTGAGATTTTGTACCCCATGTGGTACTAATAATACTTTTAGTACCTTTGTTGGAACAGAATAATAAGATATGTTGTATTTATGTTATATTTTAGACTTTGATTTGCTGTTCCGTGGAAGATGATACGAATTATGGCCAATCTACAGCATTGGTAGAAGCTTGTAAAAATCGAGACGTTCCAGTTGTTGATTTGTTGCTTAAAAACGGGGCCAGAGATGACGAGTGCAAGGCTTTGTCTATTGCTGTTGACAACAACGACGAAACTCTAATTGCCAAACTTTTATCAATTAAGGTACAATTTGTGATATCTACAGTATTTCTACCTTTATAATATACAGGGTATCCCGCATAGGAACCGATACAGAACAGAGGTATGCAGGGGAGTCTAAAATTCAATGCTCTTTTTTTCGGTACTTATGTGGGACACCCTGTATTACAGATAAATTAGTTTGATACAGACGATTTGCGTTTTTAGGCTCATCCGGATCCGGAATACAAAATAAACAAAAAAGCGATGACGGAGAACGTGAATTCCTCGCAGTTTACGATATTTTCGAACGTTAGCAATCTCACTTATTCGTCGTTGTTTCCCAATACGCCGACGATGATCAATTGGCACAATCAAAAGTGCAATTTGACGCAAATCAAAACGCAATGGTTAATCGACGCCTCGCTCCATTTGAACCCGAAACTGAAGCAGAATCCCAGGAATTACGACATATCTTTATACGCCATTACGAGATTGGATTTGTCTAACAACAATTTAACGTCTGTACCGTTGGCGATATTCCAACTCTACAGCTTAAGGTATAACTTCCGTTAATAACTATAATATTTACTCTATTATTACAAGCTTTGTTTGTAGGTTTCTCAGTTTAGCCCAGAACAAAATCGAAAAATTACCCGTTCCGGTGGTTTCGCCTGTGAAAAAAACCAGCAGGAAGAAACACGCGAGTCCTGATGAACAATCGTACTGTTGTCCCGTGTTGGAGGAACTCTACCTGCAGGACAACAGGCTCGATCAAATTCCCGATGCGATTTTCAAACTACCCTCTTTGGTCACTCTGACGGTATCGAACAATAAATTACAAAAACTACCCTTCGAGGTGTGGCTGGCGCCCAAGCTTAAGGAGTTGAATGCCGCTTTTAATTTAATCAAAGAGCTGCCCGCGTATCCTGCCGAGGTGGGTTTTTTAGTCCAGGAGGACTTCATTTGAATTTCTAAAACGTATTTTTTTAGTGTAAAGAAGATTTCGATAAAATGAGCGTAAGTTCCAGCGACAGTCAATTATCTAGTCACAATGAGCAAGATTCCGAATCGGAGTTGTCGGATTTCGATATAGAAACCAAGTTGAATTTAAAAGAGGATGGAATTCACGCAGTTCGGTACAGGAAGAAAGAGAGGTCGTATATGTAAGTAGATTCAACAATGTTTGCAATATGGGTGCAACAAAGACAACTTACATTAGTCTCATAAAGGAAAAAAATAGTGTTATTTTGGGTTTAAAACTGTCTCACTCTAACCGACTGTTATTTTAATAATCTCTTTAACAAATAACACAATTTAACAATCATTACGTACAATTATTAAGAACAAATAGTTAATTTTACTTGTCATTATCTTTGGATTTGTCGATCTCATCGCTTTTCAATATGGCGTCGTCGATTTCTAACCATTTTTCGGCAGCGATGTGGTGCGTTCGAATCACTCCATGGCATCGTGTTAATTCCACGATATTTTCGCGAAGTTCGTTCACGCCCTTCGACCAATCGGTTAACTTGATGGCGTTATCCATAAACTTCTTTATCTCCTCCATTATTATCGCAAATTTATCCGGATTTTCAATCTACAACGTTGATGTCTCGGCGTTTTCTTTTTAAATTATTCAATTGTGACGTTGGTGTCAATTGTCATTTCCAGAGCATGCCATAAAAAGTGCAAAATTTATCACTTTGCAAATTGTCACAAATCTTCATCAAGTACTCCATGGAAGTTTATTAACTTTTATATTTGACAATATTGACATTGACAGATCGACAAACTGCTTCATTATTCTCGAAAAGAATATTGATAAAAAATTGATAAAAACAACTTTCTATTTAATGGCCCGTATTCAGCGCCCCTGTTTAACTTTAGAGTGACTCTAAATACGCGTGTTTAACTTGACAGTTTTACATTGTTGTTATGGAGTAACTAGGGACTCGAGACGCGTATTTAGAGTCACGCTAAAGTTAAACAGTGGCACTGAATACGGGTCAGTGTTTTTAAATTTCCCTTCATGAATTGTGAATTGCCAAATTGTTTCCAATATGATCTATTGGTACAACAAAGACAACTTCCATTAGTCTCATATACAGGAAAAACAATAAAGTGACGATAAAGTTATTTTAATAATCTTTCTTTGTTCAACTCATAGAATTGACCATATTGCAAACAATTTTGCACGTACGTCTATATTTCCAGCCAAATGGACTTAGTCAAACACCACATATGGAACAAAAGCGTAGAAGTAACCGAGCAAATTCTCCACAACGACGACACGTCATCGGAGCACTCCTCCCAACTATCCTCGCTGAATTTGGCGCACAATCTCTTCACCGGCATCCCCGTGGTGTTGCCGTGCTTGGCCGTCAATTTGACGCGGCTCAATATGGCGTTCAATTCGCTGAGATCCATGTCGCACATCACCAGCTATCCCAGTTCGCTGAAGCAGCTCGATTTGAGCCACAACCAGATCTCCGTGTGGCCCAGCTTGCCGCAGATCGAGACCTGCGATACCATGGAACTGGCCAATTTGACTTGCTACATGTCGGGGACCGGGTTCAGGGGAAAAACACCGGATGTTATAAGTACGTTAAAGTTGAAGATTTTAGCGAATTTGTAATAATGAATTTTGTATCAGTAAGGAGACAGCCTGGTAGGTCTTTAAGACACAGCGTGCTGCATTCGGTGTGTTCTCACAGAAGACACTTGAGATTGGATAATTTAAGAACGCTGATTTTGGCTGATAATCAGTTGGTAAGAATACAATTGGCTACTGACGATGATGGAGATATTAGTAGCACCGATGATGAAGATGTTGAAAGGGTAAAATACTGTTTCTTCAAATTAGTTTCTAATAAATAGAGGTTTTATTGCATTACAGGGTTCTCAGTTGGGGAAATCTCGTCTCATGTTTCCCAATTTATCCATGTTGGATGTGAGCAATAATAATCTGAAGGAGATTCCTATGAACATCAACGATCTCAGCAATCTGTCCGTACTAAACATCAGTGGGAATTTGGGTAAGTTGTGGTTATTTTTATTGAACGAAAATTAGTTATTTTTTTCCAAAAATAAGGAGTGTTTTTTAAAGTTTTGTTTATATTTAGAAGAAAACTACTGGAATCTCTCCAATTTGCATTTCTAGAATATTTTCATGAATCGAAATGTTCTATGTACTAAAATATTTCATCAAATTGGTACCAAAATTTCGCGTTATTTTTCAAAATTAATCGCAAATCGCGAAATAATTGACACATTCTCTTATCTCCGCATCGATTATAACAAAAATCGCACAAAACAATAATAACACTTAACCGAACGTGCGATATGCCACTTCTGAACTAAATTAGAACACTTTTCTACACTTTGGATGTTATTTTTAGATATTAACGAACTCCCCCCTCAGATGGGTTTGCTGTCACGCTTGTGGAATTTGAATACACGCGGTACGAACTTACAGGATCCGCTCAAGTCGATGATAGAAAGCAAAAAATACAAAACCATGGACATCATCGGCTATTTGAAATCCGTCCTAGAAGACGCTAAACCCTACGCCCGAATGAAATTGATGATAGTCGGCGTCCAGGGCATCGGAAAGACCAGTTTATTGGACCAGCTAAGGCAAGAAGGCGTCACGAGACGGAGACCCGAGGTTAGTTTTTGCCTTTATTTGTCGAACTGAGGCGATGTATATTACGTAACGATTAAACTTAACGCGCAGGCTGCTGATTATTAATTTATTGTTTGGCCTTGTATTTGTGTTTTAAACGTACACGCTTGCAAAGTAGTTTATATCTGATATCAGCTGATATACAGGGTGTTAGTTAATTGAGTGCCGATACTTCTTGATGTGAATATTTGGATGATTTTGAGAAGAAAAGTTTATATCAATATAATGTCCTAAACCTCTTAGTTTTTGAGCTACCGGATGTTACAATTTTAGAAAAAAATAACTTTTCTATCATAATTTTCTTATTACTCCAGATATTTTTATGAAATTTTATATGCACTTTATAAATATTAAGGAGCATTTTTTGAGGCAAAAGATTTTTTCAAATTTTTGCCAGTTACGTCCGTACGGGGTTTGAACTAACAGTGACGTACCATTTTTTTCTCTAAAAATATTCAATGCAAAACCCGAACGGATACCACTGCTGAAAATAAAAAATATTTTTTGATCAGAAAATCTTGATTCATAGAAGGCGTGTGCCAAATTTCATAAAGATATCTACAATAGTACCATAGTTATTATTGAATTGATTTTGATAAAAATTGATTTTTTTTTCTTATAACTTTAACACTATCTCAAAAGTTAAGACCTTTAGGACATAGGTTTATATGAAGTTTTTTTCTTAAAATGGGCCAAAGAATCACCCCCTTAAATAGAAACATGTCATTTTGGAACACCCTGAATAACACCCTGTATCTATAGATTAAAGTCGTTTTTACACGAGTATTTTTTACCAACAAAAATGAGTAATGTCAACTCTACATTTAGGTACTTAGATAGTACAATTACTAAGATACTTAGATTACTTAGATACTAAGCATTACTGATTACTGAAGTTTATTTTTTTTGTAGCATTGGGCTAAGCGAATGGGTAATAAGAACATCAACGCGAAAACGTCGCGAGGGACGAACATGTCCACCGTTGGCGTGGATATCGGCGATTGGGTCTACGAAAAGAAAGCGAGATTGCAATCGTCCCACGGTCCAGTAATATTTAGAACGTGGGACTTTGGCGGGCAGAAAGAGTGAGCTACGAGAAACAAATATCCAAAATCAATATTTACAATCAAACGTACATTTTAGATACTACGCGACGCATCAGTATTTCTTATCGAAGCGTAGTTTGTATTTGGTGGTTTGGAGGATTACGGACGGTCATAGGGGTATAAACGAAATTCTCCAATGGCTCGTTAACATACAAGCCCGCGCGCCGAATTCGCCGGTAATAATAGTGGGCACTCATTACGACGTCATACAAGAATTTAATCCGAACATATCCGAAGAGTATCAACAGATTATCAGAGACAGGTTTATAAATGTCGTAGATGCCGAGAAATGCGGCTTGCCTCGAGTATTGGACACCATTGAGATTAGCTGCAAAACGAGGCATAACGTCAAATTGCTGTGCAATTTGATTTACGATACGGTAATTAATCGTTAACCCGAACATTTCGTAATAATTTAATAATTGTTTGTTTATAGGTATTCAGTTTACGTCCTCCGGGTAGTAAAGAGTTACTGCTGGAACAGAAGGTTCCTGCAACGTATTTGGCTTTGGAGGACGTTATAAATTACATAGCAGCCGAAAGGAAAGCCAATAGCCTCGATCCTGTGCTAAACGCGGATCAATACAGGAATTTAGTTACCACCGAAATGCTACAGAGATATAACAAAACCTTCAGAGATTGGTCGGAGTTACATCAGGCTACTTTGTTTTTACACGAAAACGGTAAATATTTTAACGCTAATCAATCTCGTGTTGATAACAAATAAACTATTTTAGGTGTTTTGTTACACTACGATGACGCTACGTTGAAAGATTTGTACTTTTTGGACCCGCAATGGCTCTGCGATATGCTAGCGCATGTAGTAACTATACGAGAGATAAACCCTTTCGCCAGGACGGGAGTTATGAAACTGGAAGATTTAAAGCACATTTTCAAAGCCAGCAATATTGGTCAATTAGATACTAGAGGTAATTGAAATTACATAGTTGTAGAACAGTGCTATCAAATATTTATTCCAGGTTACATCGTTAATCTTCTTAACAAATTCGAAGTGGCTATAACGTGGGATTCCAGGACGCTTCTCATACCGTCCCTTCTACCTTCCGAGGAAGATATCATCATGGCGCAATTGTATCCAGGGCAATTCCATCCCATGGTTAAGGTGAAAGTGCCTTTGAGGTCGCGCGGATGGGCCGTGAGGAGCAAGAAGATAAGCGTATCGCCGAAATCCGTATTATACAGCGATCCAGGAGTTCGAAAAACCTTCGAATTAAGTCTACCACCTGGCAAACACTCCGCGGAAAGATGCAGTAAGGAAATTAATACAGTTGGTGCTATTTTTACTAAATCGGTTACTTATAATTATTTTTTACATTGTAGCCGAACCACCGGATAAACCCCAGTACCAAATCAAATCGAAATCGTCGGACAGATCGATGAGTCGATTACTGTTGATGTCGTATTTCCCGTCCGGGTTTTGGTCCCGACTGATATCGCGCATTCTCGCCGACGATACCATCATCGATATCATACGGTCGTTTTTCATCGCGCCCAAAGACGTGGCGCAGGACGTCGAATTGGCCAAAGTGTTGGATCTGAAGGCGGAATGGGTGCTGTGGCAGACGGGGTTGCAATTGAAATACGGCGACGTGACTTTGTTCAGAATGAAGGAGGTGTTGCACAATTCGGCGGCGTTTTACAGGCAGTTGAAGTAAGTTGTGGGGGAATTACAATAGCCTGGATAGGATATTTTATCCTAGGCGATTGTGTCTTTCGGCGATTTTATCTTTGGACTATTTTGTCTGGGCAATTTTATCTTCGGACTGTGTTATCTTTTGCCTATTTTATCTTAGGCGATTTTATTTTTGGATTATTTTGTTTTTGGGCGATTTTATCTTTGGACTGTTTTGTCTTGGGCGATTGTGTCTTTGGCGATTTTGTCTTTGGACTATTTTATCTTTGGGCTATTTTGTCTTAGGCGATTTTGCCTTTGGGCGATTTTGTCTTTAGACGATTCTATCTTTTGTGTATTTTATCTTGGACGATTGTGTCTTTAGACTGTTTTGACGGGATACCATAATCGGAATTATCTTTTGTAGGTTTCGTTTGAAACAAGAAGGTGTTTGGACGGATGTGGATCTCATAAACTCGTCGATATTAGAAATCCATTTTCCGGTGGAATATTTAGCAGTACAACCGATTCTGACCGAATCCTGCAACGTCGATAATTATAAAATCAAGGACGAATTGATCATCGAGCCGTCTATGGAATGCACGGCGCAATTGTTGGCATTGACTGTGGATCACATCGATATTCTACTGGAAGATTGGTAAATAAATAGCCAATAAATGTTACTAATGTTTCATAGTACACTTTCGCTTTTAGGTATCCTACGTTAGGGACGAGATTCGTTCACACGTCTGAAGGAAAATTCCTCATAACTCGTTTAATACCGTGTCCGACATGTTTGGTTGTTTCCGACAACGAACGCAACTTGTGCGAATTTCCTTCTTCCCACGGACATTATTTGGAGCCTCAGGAGCACGATCAATCTAGTATGTTATAAAATTTCTATTAAAACTTTACTCATAACTTTCATAATTTACAGGTTTGTATAGAATTCGAAAATCTCAAGAATCCTGCACGTCCGAATGCGATAGCGGCGTTGGTCCTGATTCGACAAGTTCCAGTCGCATACCTTCCGTCGAAGGACATCCTGCCGTATCACAGGACGATGATAAACCGTTAATTTATTCCTGGATGGTAGAGGAGTGCATTTTGGAGGCGTACGGCAGCAAAAAAGTGAATTGTCCAACTCACGGAGATTGTCCGTTATCTCGAATCGCTTGCGATACTGTAAGTTTTTTAAAACAATATTAAGTCAATAATCTTATGCATTTTTTTAAAGATATTTATGGATTTGGGCGAAAGGTACATAATTAGACCGGAGAATATAAAAAAAGGTAGACTGTTGGGTAGAGGAGCGTTCGGATTCGTATTCAAAGGTACTTGCAAACTACGAGGATCGAACACCACAATGGATGTTGCTATGAAAATGCTTCAGCCCGTCCAACCCGGACCTAACGCTCGTCAGTCCGCAGTAATAGCATTTAAAGTATGTCGAAGTAGTAATTTCGATTATTCAAAATTACCGATCAATTAACTTTTAGGCCGCGCAAGGGAAATGGGATAGAGATCCGCTGCAATACGCCTGCAAAGCTTATTGCACGGCCAGACAAGAGCTCAATATTTTATTAAGTCTTAAACATCCGAACATTGTACCGTTCGTCGGCGTTTGTACTAGCCCTTTGGCTTTGGTCCTGGATTTGGCGCCTCAGGGAGCGCTAGATTTGGTTTTAAGGCATTACAGAAGGTCCGGCGCCAAGGTGGGCCCCTACACTCTACAGGCCATCATTCTACAAGTCGCTAAAGCCATAGAATATTTACACAGGCAGCACATCATCTACAGGGATCTTAAATCCGAGAACGTATTGGTGTGGGAAATGCCGCCGCCTTTTATGGATCATCCCGATCAGCCCGTTCTTATTAAAGTAGCCGATTATGGTATAGTTTAACGATATTAATTTATTTGGATGGTTTTTTAATGAAGCATTTGTAGGTATAAGTAGATTGACTTTACCTTCCGGTACCAAAGGTTTCGGCGGTACAGAAGGTTTCATGGCGCCCGAAATAATGAGATACAACGGCGAAGAAGAGTACACGGAAAAAGTAGATTGTTTCTCCTTCGGCATGTTTATATACGAGCTACTTACGTTGCATCAACCGTTCGAAGGACACGAATCCGTCAAGGAATGCATCTTGGAAGGCGGTAGACCAGCCCTAACGTACAGAGTAAGTTACTCGAAGCGATAAACTGTTCGGCGATTAGTAACGTGTTATTTTACAGGAAACGTTATATCCCAGTTACTTCTTGGATTTGATGGTTCTGTGCTGGTCGCAACAGCCCAAAGACAGACCGTCGGCCAGTCAAATAGTCTCCATAGCCAGCGCTCCCGAGTTCACGCACCTCTGCGACGTGGTGTCCCTGAAGCACGTGGCGCCCGTAGTGGCTTGCACCAGCGCCGCTCTGACTCACATCACGGACGACGGTCTCTCCGGCTCGGAAATGTGGTTGATGTGCGCCAATTCGCGCATCGATTTACTGCTGGCGGCGGAAAGGGGATGGCTCCAATACCACACTATGACTTTACCCATACGAGCCACGGCCGCTTGTACCGTAGGAGATTCCGTTTGGATAGGCGATTACTCTGGAAAATTGCACGCTTACTCGTAAGTTTCGCGTGGAAAATTTGATCGAAGGTTGGTTTATGCGAGTTAATTTCCAGGACGAGCGATGGTAGGAAGTTGTTTTTCTATACGCTGGAGAATCAACCGCACGCACAGGTGGAATGTTTGTTGTATTTGCCGTCGCTGAAGAGGGTGGCGTGCGCGTTGTCTAACGGTAGACTGTTTTTGGTCAATTCAGAAACTAAACCTTTGACGCCCACTGCTGCAGAAGGTTCCTTCGTTATGACTGAACTCGGTTCGACGTCTGTCATTAATTGTATGTGCGCCGTAACTGACAAGAAAGAAAGGTAATTGAGCTGATGCAATTAAAAATTGGTACACCGAAAGTACTAGGGATGTTCCTAAAGTACTGGGAGTTGTGTTATATTTAAAAATGGTACGCCACTGCTTTTTCTAAAAACCAAAATTATTTTTAAAATCCTCATTTATTTTGGAGCAAATTCGGTCAGAAGACTTACTTTCGTACGACGCACCATTTTCGCGTAAAAAAATTAAAACCAAAACAATTTTTTCCCCAAGTTCATTGAGACTGCTTTTGATATCTTTATGAAATTTGGTAGGCGCCACCATGCATGAAAATACTTTAAACCGTCGAAAACCAAAAGGTTTAGGACATAAATTGATATAAAGTTTTCTTCTGAAAATCATCCAAATATTCGCTGTATATGCATGAATACATCTACAAGGTGTCCTGCGTAAGAACTGACCCAGATCAAAGGCTTGTAGGGGAGCCTAAAATAGTGTTTTAGGCTCTGCGTGGGTTCTTTTATGCACCCTGTATATTTCTAAAATGATTCCAGTTGCTGCGAACTTTGGTGCGGAGAATCGGACGGACAAATATCGATCTATTCGATAAAAGACAACGTGGTGGCCGGTCACGAAATCGTCAATCATTATCAACCGATCATCGATAAGGTGGACGTGATGAACATCATTTCCGTGGATTCGCACGTGTGGTCGTACGTTCGACCCGGTTGTATCGTTTACCAATGGGACTCCACCTCCAAAACCATCGTAAACAAATTGGATTGTTCGAAGTTGGTGCCGTGTTCCGAAAGCCTGAAGAGCATCGCCATCGAGGAGCACCTGAGTCCTACTAATTGCCAGGTGAGAATTGTACAAGAATTTATAATGTACTATTTTAAAAATGATCCATTTTTAGGTGACTAGTCTTGTTGCTCTAAACGATGAACTCTACATAGGAACCACTTGGGGTTGTGTGATTATAGCCGAAAGGTTCAGTTTGCGTCCCATAACGATATTTAGGCCGTACGAAGAGGAGGTTAGGGCTATAGTACCGTTGCGCGCCGGCTCGAAATCCGCTCAAGGGAACCAGGAGAAAGTACCGCTGATTGCGACTATCGGTAGGGGTTATAGGAATCTGTTATCTAGATATACGGATGTTCCGTTTGCGACGAATACTCCTTTACCTAGTCCCATGGTAGGAGCTTTTGGGCCCCCGTGCGTTAAACCAAATATGTTCGTTTTGCTCTGGAGGGCGGAGCACTGGAGCGCCGTTTAATAATAATTGATTTCTTTATTAGTTTTATTTATTGAGGCTGTTATTTTCATAGAGACTTGTGACATTTATATCGAATAATGAAAGTAGGTTTAGACTGTGCGAAAGAAATGAAACATTCCATTTTTTTTAATTGTAAGATTTAACTTGGATAGTTTGTGATAAGTGTTGCATTAAAGTTTTACAGAATATTTATGTAAGTACATTAACAGGTGATATTTTATTTATTTGACTTGTTTACTTTGTCGTGTAATCTCTTATACAATGTTTATGTAAATTATTTTATTTCTATGATTTATCTTGTCAAAAAATTGATTTATGTTATCTTACGATTTATCTTATGATTTATCTTATCTTGGATAATATCTTGTCCAGTACAGTATCTTCCTGGTTGATAAACGTAATTATAGAAGAGTAAGAGGAGTTCAAAAGTATATGATTTATTACTTACGTTCCATTAAAAAAACAATTACTAATTAAATCGAAAAAAATGAACGAAAATTTCTATTATGTAAAATTTATTGAGAGCAATTGCAATTTTCTTTTTAGACTGTTTATATTAGACTGTGATCATCTTCTTGTCATTTGTGTTAATGTATTTTGTTGTAAAAAATAAATTGTTAAAGTTTTCAGGCGTTTCTTTTTATTTTATTGTTAAATAAAATTAAGGATATGTTAAGTTGCAAGCTAGTACGAATTTGAATTAATTGAAGAATAAATTAATTGTTTCTATTACATTCTCTCCAAAATTTTGCATTTTTGCGTCTCTTATTGGGCCAATAAACATTTATTATTTTCTATTATTACTGGAGCTCCATTTTTACTTTTTTTCATTTTTTGCGACTTTATTTATTCTAATTAGCTGCATAGAATAAACAACTGGTCAATATTAGGAGATAACGACAGTGATAAATTTTAATTGTAATCAATGTATGAAAACAAATTAAACACTTAAAACGTACAAACAGCATTGAATGAACTATTATTAGTTCTGTTTTTTTTGGCTATATAATAGGTACTGATAAATGGTAGAAAGTTTTTTTCAACTATTTGCTATTTTTAAAATTGCTACATTTAAAATTATATTTAAAAAATCGGTGAGTCGTACGGAAAAAATAAAGAAATCAAATTTGTTCTAAATCGAACGGGGCCTCCAAAAATAATTTTTATTTCAATATTAGGCAGTAGCGTACCATTTTTTCCCAAAAACATTTAATGCACAACCCGTACGGACGCCACTGCTGCATATAATATTATTTGTTCATCAGATAATTCATCTTGATTCATAGAAGACCAAATTTCATAAAGATATCTACAATTGTATCACAGTTATTACAAAAAATTGATTTTTTTTCTTAAAACTTTAACGATATATTTATTTCCGAGAAATTTGAAATATTAATTAATGTTAAATTCATTGCGGTAACTGCTCTTAGAAAACAAAATTTTTTTTAGTTTTATTTTAACAGGAACAGCCATTAAAGTGTTTATTATTAAAGATGTCTGACACTGACAATGAGATCTGAATGCATTTACGCCTCAAGCTCACACCAATTACCTATTTAAATAATGATCGCTACGGTAGAAATTGGTTTGTTTACTTTTGCTGTCTAACAAGTAAGTTTGTTTTTTATTAAAAAGATCTAATTTTTTGAACATAAATAAATAACCGTTTGACCTTAAAATTAATTACATTATTCTAGAGCAATTCAACTTTTCTTTCAGGTGATCTACTGTATACTGTATATTAATTAGGGATTTACGCTATCATGGTCATCATCAATCATCTCTAAATTACAATCCCAAATTCTTTAAATCCCTTAACAGCCGTACAAACTGCTGCTTTTGCATCTTTACCTACGATATTCGGTACATTAGGACTCCTAGTCACATCGAGAATATCGGAAGCCCTTGGAAGAAAATCAACTCTCTTGTGTGTTGCTGCAATAGTTTCCCTCTTATACACAATGTTAGCATTCACTAATTACATTTTCATCTATTTCATTTGCTTGAGTTTTATCGGGCTTTGCGATGGTGTGTTGTAACCAATCTTAAGCTTCGTTTTTCGTAGAGGGTTTAGGCAGGAAACCCTTACTAATTTTCTCCAGTATATTTATCAAGATGAAGTTGCTGTGCTTGGGCTCGTATTTGTACCTGAGGCAATCAGGGACCCTGTTCAACGGGCAATTCGGGTGGTTACCCCATTTTCTCGTTCTTTCCTATTACATAACGTATAGCGTCGGGATGAGTCCCATTCCGTTCACTCTGAGTGCGTTTTATTTTCCAATGATTTCAGAATTGTTGGTATTTTGGCCGTGATGGTCGTCACTAACATACAAATTTTTATTGTCTTGTTTTCTTTTCCCTTAATCGCCGAAGCGATGGGAGTTCACTTTTGCTTGTGGTTTTATTGCCTACTGTCATGGTATTTCATTGGCGGCAATTTACAGTACTATGCCGGAGACTAAAGGAAAATGCATGTCCGTAATACAAAGCAATTTGGATTCTACATAAATAAATTTCATAAAAATAGTTAGATACCTACAAGTATTTTTTGTGAGATTTATATAGTTACTTATAGATTATCTCTTAAAATGTAATTGAACAATAGTCTAATTTTATTGCAATTTTATACAGATAATCTATGTCTAATCGAGCAAATAAAATTTTTTATTATTAGCTCATCCTCGAGCTCGGTTTTCCCTTGTTTAAACTAGGTAATTAGACAAATAGATTAAATCACTGTAATTAAGCGATAAGGCGATAATTATTTTCTGGATTTCTCTCTGGTATTGTCCTGAACGATTTAATATATTGCATAGAATTAGTAGCTTGTCAATTATCACTACTTTGTATTATTTAATCTGTTATTAAATTTATTTTCCACGGTTTTAAAAAAAAGTTATTATTTCTAACCAATTATTTTAATTGAATGGCATTAGCAGGAACTTGTACCAATCCATACATAAAGTAGACTTGCTAGTAATAGAAATTAATGATGATTTATGTATATTTTACAAGACATTAAATATTAATATTCTGTTTACGGGACCGACAAAATTTAGCTAGAGATAGATAGCGTTGCCATAATTGCACTTTTAACTCAAATTATCATTTCTAATTTTATTTTTAAAACGGGCTAAATATTCCAATGTTTTTTTATATACAGGGTGAGTCGTGAGGAATCGTACAAACTTTAACAGTGTATAGATGCACTTAAGGTGAATATCATACGATCATTAAAAGTTCCATCCGCCTCTTCTCTAAGGAGATACAGGGTGATTTATGAATTTTGACGAAATTTTCTTTTGTTTATATCTTTATGGTGGTTATTTCGATTTGGTTCATTTTTTGGTAAAAGTATACATTTTGAACCAGCAACACACTGGCATATTCAGAATTAAAAAAATTCAGGACCGTCTTCAAAAAAAAGAGGTAAATTTTTCCAAACTTAATATTTCACACTGTGTACACTTTTTCTAAATTTTCATTTGGTTAATGTAGAAGGTATAAGTAACTCATAAAGGCTGAGCATGGGAAATTTTTGCCACACTTTGTTTAAATTGTCAATTATCAATTAACTTTTAAGAAAAATTACACATTTAGGATAAACGAATAATTTACATTAAAATAATATTTTCTATCGTACAAATTTTGTAATTTTAGGACTTTTTCATAAAAAGGAATTTGTAATTAGTCGTTTTTATTAATTTTCATTAAAATTTAATTTTTTTAATTCTGAATATGCCAGTGTGTTGCTGGTTCAAAATGTATACTTTAACCAAAAAATGAACCAAATCGAAATAACCACCATAAAGATATAAACAAAAGAAAATTTCGTCAAAATTCATAAACCACCCTGTATTTCTTTCATAAAAATATTTATAATTTTATTTTCATTTTCGTATCATGTCTCCACTCTCTCTTATGACAATTAAGAGAAAGGTCTCCAATTTGTAGATAAATACTTTTTTGGCATATTGCATTTTTATAACACCCGGTATATTGGAACCTCCTAATTTTGCAATGGCTAAATGCAGATTAGCAATCAGTAGAATGAATAATTAGTATAGGTACACATAATTAAGCGATAGCGATTGTAGTATTTTATCAATAGCAAGTGCAATTAACTCTTGTCGTACATAAATTTGGGTAATTTTCTCATTATTAAATTCGCCCATAATTAAATTTGGGTTAATATGGAAGACCCTATGTAAAGTTAAGCGACAAATATAAATCAAGCAACTTGAAGCAACCAAAAGTTAGTTCTTCTTAGATAATTTTTCTCAGATAATGAGATCCGATAGCAGTTACGTTTCAAATTGACATAATAAAATAGCTTTGTTCTTCGTAGAGAGAATGGACAGGAAACCTTTTCTGATCTTTTCCAGAATTTTCATCGTACTGACTTTGCTCTGCTTGGGATTCTACTTTTGCCTGAAACAAGCAGGAATTTTTCTGCTCGTTGTTTTCTAATTATTTATGATTTATCGTGAAGCATCAGCATGGGTGCGATTTTTTTTTCAATGATTTCAGAACTATTGGTGTTTCGACCGGACTTGTCGCCATCAGTTCCTTAGAATATTTTTGGTGTTGTTTGTTTTCTTTTCCTCTAATCGCCGAAGCAGTCGGAATTCATTTTTGCTTGTGGCTCTATCGCTTGTTATCCGCTATAAAAATTGTACCGATTAGCTTTATGCAATGCCGGAGACAAGGGTAAATGAGTGTCAGAAATTCAAGATAATTTGGCTAGACATAAATAACCTTTTCGTGCGTTTTTATTTAATTTTTATGGTTTATTACGATGATATAGGGAAAAAATGTAAATTCTTCGATGATAATATGCTAATTGCTGATAAAATTTTGTTTTCTTTTCTTGCGCAAGTAATTTTTATTAGATGTTAATTTATCTCATGTAGTCAAGCTAATCTTCAGCTAATCTCAACGAAAGAAATGTGTCGCATTTTTTTGTATATTAATAACTGTGATTATGAGCTCGTTACTCAATACATAATACTACATAATAAATTTTCATTAATATCTAATTTAAAAATTAAACAAATTATAATTTTTATAGGGTTTAAATATTTGTTTCAATGGCAATGTGCAAATGTTTGTACTCCGTATTCCAATATATGTTTTATTATTCGAACAAATCAAATATCGTAAGGTTATATAACACAAGAACAGCAATTAAACTGTTATTAATACTGTTAAAATGAGTTGTGAAAGTTCTTCCATCACAAACTCGCGCATTCATTTAAATGAAAGTTACGGAAGGAATTGGTTCGTTTATTTTTGCTCTTTGACAAGTAAGTTCACTTAAATAACTAAAGTTTGTACTCATTTTCTGATTATATTTAACTATAGTAATTTTTTTGGAATAAATCAAATATCCCTTTCAAGAAAAACTGCAAATTGTCATTGCAAATTTTTTCAACGAAAATTCAATTAGATTATCAACATACTCAGTATGACAAAGTTTCTTAATATTTTATGACTATGAGTTATGTAAAAGAACTTCAAATTACAAAGTTTCCAGGTGATCTTCTACAGGCTAGTTTTGGATTTACTTCGTCCTGGCCATCTTCAATCATACCAAAATTGCAATCGAATAGCACTGAAATTAATCCTTTACCGGCGCCCATAACATCACTGCAAACGTCCATTCTAGCAGCTTTGCCATCAATTTCCGGTCTAGTGGGACTGCTGGGACTCGCTATTGCACCCAATATATCGGATAGGGTGGGAAGAAAGTCGACGCTCGTGTGTGCTGCAGTAGCAGTTGCTACTGCGTATGTGGTGTTGGTATTCGCTAAAAGTATTTCCATATATTTCGTCTGCTTGAGTATCATAGGATTTAGCGATAGCGTGATGTTGACCAATCTCGCTGCGTACAATTCAGAAATATCTTTGGACAGAAACAGGGGTAAAATTTTGTGCTTGCAAGGACTAGCCGCGCCTGTTGGAAACACCATCGCCTATTTTGCTGGATTTACAAACACGAGAACCATCGCTCTGATTGGAACAATGCTCCCTTTGTTATTTTTATGTTTGTGTTATTTCCTACCGGAATCGCCAGTGTTTTTAGTTCATGACGAAGAACGATGTAGAAGGGCTTTGGAAACTTTGAGAGGCACTAAAGAAGTTGAGATGGAGTTTTTAACTATAAAAAAAACTATCGATGAATCTAAGAAGGTTACAATCATCGACATGTTCAAGTCGCGCCCTTCTGTTAAATCGTTTTTACTCTCTCAAGAACTGTTCACAGCTCAAGTAGTGTCCGGTATATACACGATAACTGCGTTCATGGCGCCGATATTCAACGAATCTGGTTACGTTTCGGGAAATTCGATCGGCGTAATCGCCGGTGGAATACAAATACTCTGCGTATTCGCTGTATCATTTTTGGTGGAGCGCTTGGGCAGAAGGCCTTTACTCCTCTTTTCCAGCATATCTATTATACTGAACTTGTTGTGTTTGGGCGCGTATTTTTACCTGATACAATCGGGAATTATACTTACTGGACAGTACGGATGGGTGCCACTTTTGCTCGTAGTTTTGTATTACGTATCGTACAGTATAGGCTTGGGTCCTATGCCGTTCACTTTGATGTGCGAATTGTTTTCGAATAATTTTAGAAAAATCGGTATTACGAGCATTATGATTGTTTGTTTCGTACAAATATTTTTAGCATTGTTTTCTTTTCCTCTAATCGCTGAAGCCATCGGAGTTCACTATTGTTTGTGGATTTATTGCGCATTGTCTACTATAGCGTTTGTAGTAATATGCGTTACAATGCCAGAGACTAAGGGTAAATGCATGTCTGAAATTCAAGACAGCTTGGCTCAAAGTTAAGAAATGTTACCCTACATGTTTTTACTTTATTGCATGTTTATTTATTTTTTGTTTTGTTGTTGCTACTGCAAGTACTATAGTCTCTATTCTAGATGCAACGAAAGAGATTCTGTATATATGTATACATATTACTAAATTAGTAATACAATTAAATCAGCTGGAAATGTTTATTGACGTCAAACAATTTTAACTGGAACATACTTTGAATGATAATGTGTAAAGACCCTAATAAACTGTGTATTAATTCTTAAAGTATGCATTGTTATTATATCACTGATATACTAAATACAACATTCTCAAAATACTTTTTAAATACATATAAATAACATCAATTAATGCAAACTTGTTTATAAAGTATCGTTCACATTACACCACCACGTGACACCCTCCGTTGATGAAAAAAGCTCTTATTTTTTAGAAACTTCTTTCTAGCCAAAAGGACTATAGACTATAAGATTACTGAAAAACTAGGCCAAACTAGATGAAATTATATGCAATTTGTTCTATATGTTTCTGCACCATACTATTAAATTCTGATAATGGGTTGCTGGTGATGATTATAATTCCATTTTTCATCTTTCACTATATAATTTGGCGACCTTTATTTATTAATTATTCATGATGTACATTTATGCAATCGTAATGTGTGCGACCCTTAGGAAATGTGAGTAATTTTTGACGCATTAAGTGCAATAATTACCGGTCAGGTATTTTTCGGCGAATTTTCCGGGGACTCTGGTTTTTAATCGACCAATGGCAACGACCAATTATTTAAAATTCTTTGTTAATGTAGATATAAAGATATACATTATGTACATGTGTCTAGCAAACGCTAATGATCAATTTAAAATGTTTGTTGTAGGTCGCACTATATAATATTTTTTGCAGTGGCGTTTGTTTTGGTGTGGGTAACGAGAAAATGACCAATTACACAAATTTATCTACGTAATGACACGAAATTTTATACCTTAGGGTACTTACGGTTTGTTTTTTGCATGACAGTAAGTGTTTAGATTTGCGATTAGTAAGCTTCAAACATTTTTTTTTTAGTAAAATTTATCAAAAGCTACTCAAATAACAATCCTTCATTAAGGCTTTAGAAACTTTTTGAGGACCCACTTTAATTTTGGATGTGAAAAATTGTGAATTTACATACCAAATACATAAGACCTATGAAGCCACCGGCTAAATTGTCTTTATAAATCTCGGCGTTTAAAAGGACATTTTATCCTATTTTTGAATAAATTAAGTAACATAAAAGTGACCGAAAGATAAATAATAAAAGTGATATTAGTATAGCAATAATTTTACAATGAGATTGTCATCGAATTCAAAAAGTTATCTGAACAACGAAGGCTATGGCAGGAAGTGGTTCGTTTATTTTTGTTCCCTTACAAGTAAGTAATTCGAGGTATCATTTTGTTTAAATGTTTAAATGTTTGTATAAATTTGTTTAAATATTATCAATCCATTCAAAAAATTCTACATATTTTTAGGTGATCTTCTATGCATTAGTTATGGATTTACAACATCATGGTCATCTTCGATTATACCAAAGCTGCAGTCGAATAATACAGAAGTGAATCCTTTATCGAGACCAATAACAGCCTTAGAAACCTCAGCTCTGGCTGGTATTCCATCAGTATTCGGCATGTTAGCAGTGATGGCGCTACTTTTTACATCGAAAATAACCGACAAAGTGGGAAGAAAAGCGACGCTCCTCTGTGTAGCTGTAACTATGGCCCTTTCCTACTTGGTTCTGGCTTTTGCCAAGTATATTACAATATACTACATATGCTTGGCTTTCATCGGATGGTCCGATGGTCTGATGATACTTAGTCTTTCAGCATACAATTCAGAAATATCCCTTGATAGAGATAGGGGTAAATTATTGTGCCTGCAAGGAATTATGGTACCCGCTGGAAGCACCATAGCGTATTTTTCGGGATTCACCAGCGTCAGAAATATCGCTTTCATAGCATTAATTTGCCCTTTGCTGTTCCTGAGCCTGAGCTATTTTCTACCGGAATCTCCTTTGTGTTTGGTCAACGATGAAAAACGATGTACGCGAGCTTTGGAGCGGTTAAGAGGCACCAATGACGTCGACTTGGAGTATTTAATGTTAAAAAAATCGAAAACCGATACGAAGAAATTCACTGTTTTCGATGTATTCAAATCGCGTGCTTCCATTAAAGGTTTTCTATTATCAGTGGAGGTGTTTACGACGCAATCTGTATCTGGGATATACATGTTGACTGCGTTTATGGCACCGATTTTTAACGAACCAGGGAGTTTCATTTCAGGAAACGCGATCGGCGTATTGGCTGGATTCATACAAATATTTTGCGTATTCTGTGCATCGTTTTTCGTGGAGCGTTTAGGCAGAAGACCCTTGATGCTGTCTTCCAATATGTTCATCATATTAAATCTTCTGTGCATGGGCGCTTATTTTTATCTGAGGGAAACGGGAGTTCTACTTAACGGGCAGCTCCCGTGGTTACCTCTTGTGCTTGTAGCAACTTATTATCTAGCATATAGCATCGGCTTGGGACCCTTACCGTGGACGTTGATGTGCGATTTATTTTCCAACGATTTAAGAACTGTTGGGTTTTCCATTGTACTTGTTATCTGCTACTTGAAAATTTTTCTCATCTTGTTTTCGATTCCTCTACTTACCGAAGCGGTTGGGGTTTACTTTTGTGTATGGCTTCATTGCGGAATGTCCATTGTGGCATTCGTTGGAGTTTATGTTACTATACCGGAGACTAAGGGCAAATCCATAGAGGAGATACAAGCAATATTGGCAAAACGTAAATAAATTTTATAATAAATGTGTATTGTTTAAGTTAAATGTATATTTTGCGTTTTTAGGTTTAAACCTTTTTAATGTTTAAATAAAAGAAAGAGTAATGTAAGTAAGAGTAATGTATTCTTCGGTTTAGACGAAATATGCAATTTTGTGTCATAGTAGTTAATCTCCACCAATATAAAAAGACTGCGTGATAATGAAAGTATTTTTAGTAGGTAAATAATAAACTAATAAATTAGCGAGACAATACAAAATTCATAAATAACATATTTTGAACCGAATAATAATGTGTAAAATACCTAATAAACTATGTATTAAATGGTTTATTATGCAGGTCATTAGGCACTATATTATATTCAACATTCACAAAATACTGTTTAGATAATGTATTAAATTTATTAATGTAACCACGTCCATAAAGTATAGTTCACATTACACCAGCACATGACTTCGTAACGGGAAACAATATTCATTTTACACAATATTAGATACTAGATGTTACAAAAATTTCAATATACATCTCATATTCAATATCCAAAACTCAATATAGGCTTTGAAAAATAAGCTCTTATTGTATGGAATCTTTTATTTAAGGAAGAGGACTACCACAGTCCAGTTTTTTGCTACAAAATAAATGAGGATTTTAAAAATAATTTTAGTTTTTAGAAAAAGCAGTGGTGTACCATTTTTTTCAGACATATTCAGTTCAAAACCCGTACGGACGTCACTGGTGAAAATTAAAAAAAATCTTATACCTCAAAAAATGCCCCTTAATAATTAAAAAGTGTGTACAAAATTTCTTAAAAATAACTGGAGTAATAAGAAAATTGTGATAGAAAAGTTATTCTTTTTCTAAAATTTTAGCACCCTGTAGCTCGAAAACTAGGAGGTTTAGGACATATATTGATATAAACTTATCTTCTTAAAATCAATCAAATATTTACATCCTGAAGTATTGGCATTCAATTAATTAACACCCTATATAATTTAATGCAACAAGTCAAAATTATAATAATAGAACTAAACAATTAAAAAGATGTTATGAAAGTAGAAGACAGGCTTTGAGGTAGAAAAAGGCTGAAATTCGGCAAGAATGTTTAAAACTAAATGATCTTGATCTAATTTTATCTACATTGGATCCTCTAACTGTACAGTTCTACCACTGCATACTATAAAATTCTGGTTGAAACACGAGTGGAACTGATGGTGGATTCCTGGTGATGATTGTAATTCCGTTTTCCTTCATTCACTTTACAATATGAATACCGTTATTATTTATTACTGCTTCGAGCAAACGTAATGTGTGAGGCCCCTAGGCATCGTGCATACTTTGGACGCAATGATGAAGGTAGTAAACGTAATAATTATCACACAGGTCGGTTATCGGCGAATTTTCCGGGAAACCTTTTTTATCCCATCATTCGCAAATATCAACTAGTAGAACATCCAATTATTTTTGCAATGTTTAGTTTTTTCTTAAAAGTTAAAACCGAGGTCCTGTCAATTATTATTGCAGCACTGCAGATAAATATGACTTATTACAAACTAATTGTTAAAATGTTTATTGTAGTATGCACTAAATATTGTTTATTGTAATCGCTTTTGTAGAAAATGTCCAATTACGCTAATTGATCACGCACTGGCTCGATTTTTTAGAGTTTAAGCAACAATTTGTGACTTGACAGTGAATGACAGTATTTGAGAAGCTCTACGACCAGTAAGCGTCCAGACGTTTGTTTTAAATCAAGTAAAATGAATTAAGCTACTTAAATAATTTAGCAACCTTCTAAAGACTTTAAACATTTTTGGTGACCTTCAGTTAAACTTTGGATTTTGAGTATCTATTTTAACAACTATCAAATTACCTGTTGCACTATCTTTTGAAATCTAAATCCATAAATCTTGGATAAAACCTTACTTTGATATGTTATCATTTTAAATCACGCCGTTTCAAAAAACATTTTATAATGCTGTGTTCGAATAAATCACATTTTCTAAAGGTACCTATTTAAAGTATTATAAGCGAAAGTGGCAATAGTAGTAATAGAATCACAATGAAATCCACATCAACTTCACAGAGTTATCTGAACAACGAAGGATATGGAAGGAATTGGTTCGTTTATTTTTGTTCGTTTACAAGTAAGTAAAAAGGTTTAAAAATTGTTTATATTTTGTTATTCCTAAATCGATAGCACATTTCGATAAATATTTTTTATTTTCGATTCAGTAATTAAGTAGGTACGTTTAATAATTGACCAACGCCTAATAATTAATCCTAATAGTTTGATATGTCTACTATCCTAACTGCAAGATAATTATTAGATAATACTTAAACTTGTTTAAAAAATACATAATAGGATATTTAAAAGATTCTACATATTTTAGGTGATCTTCTATGCATTAGTTACGGATTTACAATATCATGGTCATCTTCGATCATACCAAAGCTGCAGTCGAATAATACAGAAGTGAATCCTTTATCGATACCAATAACAGCATTAGAAACTTCTGCTCTGGCTAGTATACCATCAATATTTGGCATGTTTGCAGGGTTCGGGCTAATTGCTACATCGAAAATATCTGACAAAGTGGGAAGAAAAGCTACGCTCCTCTTTGTAGCTATAACAGTCACCCTTTCCTACTTGGTTTTGGCTTTTGCAAAGCACATTTCCATATACTACATGTGCTTGGCTTGCATCGGATTTTGCGATGGCCTGATGATACTGAATCTTTCAGCGTACAATTCAGAAATATCTCTAGATCGAGACAGGGGTAAATTATTGTGCCTGCAAGGAATTATGATACCTGCTGGAAGCACCATAGCGTATTTTTCGGGATTCACCAGCGTCAGAAATATCGCTTTCATAGCATTAATTTGCCCTTTGCTGTTCCTGAGCCTGAGCTATTTTCTACCGGAGTCTCCTTTGTCTTTGGTCAACGACGAAAAACGATGTATGCGAGCTCTGGAGCGGTTAAGAGGCACCAAAGACGTCGACTTGGAGTATTTAATGTTAAAAAAATCGAAAACCGATACGAAGAAATTCACTGTTTTCGATTTATTCAAATCGCGTGCTTCCATTAAAGGTTTTCTATTATCAGTGGAGCTGTTTGGTGCGCAAGCTGTATCTGGGATATACATGTTGACTGCGTTCATGGCACCGATTTTCAACGAAACAGGGAGTTACATTTCGGGGAACGCGATCGGCGTGATGGCTGGATTTATACAAATATTTTGCGTATTCTGTGCATCGTTTTTCGTGGAGCGTTTGGGAAGAAGACTGTTGATGCTGTCTTCCAACATTCTTATCATATTAAATCTACTATGCATGGGCGCTTATTTTTATCTGAGGGCAACGGGAGTTCTGCTTAACGAGCAGCTTCGGTGGTTACCTATTTTCCTTGTAGCAACTTATTATCTAGCATATAGCGTCGGCATGGGACCTTTACCGTGGACGATGATGGGCGATTTATTTTCTAACGATTTAAGGACTGTTGGGTTTTCCATTATTCTTGTTATCAGTTACTTACAAGTATTTCTTATGTTGTTTTCCATTCCTCTGCTTCGTGAAGCGATTGGAGTTTACTTTTGCGTATGGTTTCAATGTGGAATGTCCATTATAGCATTCATTGGAGTCTATATTACTATACCGGAGACTAAGGGGAAATCCATAGAAGAAATTCAAAACCAATTGGCAAAACGTAAATGAATGTTATAATGAATGTGTTATTTAAAAGTAAATAAATATTATCGCATGTTTTTTTAATTTTATTTTTATCTACCTGTTTTATTGTTGTGAATGTTTCTATACCAGTGTCCTAGACGTTATTTTTAAATACCTACATACTATGATAGGTTTTTACGATGACGTTATGATTGCACATTATGATTGCATAATTTGTGAAATGTTAATGGAGTATTGTAATTAGGTGTCGATATATGCAATTTTGTGTCAGATTAGTTATAATCTCCAATAAAACCACAACACTGAATGGCAATCAAAACATTATTGATGAGGTCATACATATGTGGGTGTCATATAAGTTCAATGAATAATTTCTGTAAACATTCTAGAATTTTTACTTTTAACAACATAGTAGAGACTACAAACCATCATCAGCAGTGTATTTTGACGATATACGAGGATATACCGATACTGATATTTTTGGATTTAAATTTAGAATAATGACCATTCTTAATACATTTTAAATAAATCAAAATAAGTCATAAATATAAAAATATGTTTATGAAATTAATATCAAATATTAAATTTCGCCGTCAAAATACAAAGCAATGATTTACATTGTAAAACTGCCTAAAATTTGTAGAGTGCAATTAGAAAAAAAAATTGAAACATTTTTAAACCAGAACCGAAAATTTGGACAAAGATTCTTATCTAAAATCAACAACGTTATTACCCAAATTACAGTGAAATTTTTATTGATATTCATATTTTATAGGGCATATTATTTTTTAGTATTATTACCTACAACTCAAGTGCATACATTATTCGTTTTCTTTATTGTTTCTTTACATTGTATAATACCTCAATCAAATTTTGTTCAACTAGGTCGTTAAAGTCCATTAGTTCATTATGGTGAAATTGAATTTAATTCATTTAAATCAATCATCTTCATTGACAAATTTTAATTGAAGACATTTAATGTTTGTTTACACTTAATACAATCGAAGGTCATAAATTCAATTCATGAATTGAAACATTAGCGTTTAAATTTAACTAATTAGGCGACTAGAATAAAAAATAAGTACCTAGTATAATTAGAGCTAGTTTTAATAACCTTTAAGATTATTTAGAGAAAGAGAGAAAGTGAAGAGGATCTTGCAGAGGAAAATATTTTCAGATTGGATTGTATATCTAGTATTTTTTTAAACATTTTAGGTTCAAAAAGGTTAAAAAAAGTTCAAAAATTAATGAGACTCATAATAACCGATAACAATTTTAATTTGGCATTATTGTGTTTATGACTTAAACACCTTCTAAAATCAGTGTGATAGAATTTAATGAGTATATTTGGTCAAAATAAGTGACCTGATTATCTATTTGAAGATTAATAAACTCATTTAGGTGTCGAATGTTGACTAATTTCCTCTGAGATAAAACTATCCGAGTATTTCGAATGGGACTTTATGCATACTTCTTATTATTATACGATGGTATAAAAAAAGAGACGACTGGCAAATTTGATTAAAAAACTATTTGTTATAAAAAATACAATTTATTTTTTTTTGCTTTTTATTTTTTTGCTTCATGGCCTCGCAAAATTATAATCAGACAGTAAAGCTTTAGGTATTTATCATTGAAAATAAATTTCCCAGAATCCAAAAAACATAATGCAACAAAATAGTACACGGATTAAATTAATAATGTAATTAAAAACTGCCTAATCTACCAAAAGATACCACCGTAACCTTTTTGAAAGCGCAAATAATTTCAATTTTAATAGGCCGATCAAATATAACAAACTTTTAAGATAAATGATTTAAGTAGGTAGATTTTAAGAATGCTGTTAAATTTAAATTTTGACTTCTTGAACTCGTGCTACATTCGACTATATAAACAACTGCATTAATTTTTTCGGAGTATAAATACATATGTGCAGCTTTTAAAATTATGTAAAGTTGACAAAAATTTCTATAATATTTTTTCGCAACGGTGCTATAGCAATTTTTCAAAACAAATAGGCAATAAATTTCAATTATATTTCATTTACAAATGAAATAAAGCACAAAGTGTTATAAAAGGTGAAACTGTGATTACTGCGTTATTGGTATATGTTAATCAGCTAAAATGAGATCTGAAGGTTTTTACGCATCAAATTCCCTTAGTTATAAAATTAAAAGCTATGGTAGGAATTGGTTCGTGTACTTTTGTACTTTCACGTGTAAGTTTACTTTTTCATATATAAAAAAATTCTAATATTAATTGATCACATAGGCATGTTATACGACTTAAAAAATATAATATCCGATGGTTGCATTTTTGGTTTTAGACTATGCAGAACTTTTTAGGAAGAATAACTTTTTTTCGTAAATAAGTAATTTCGAATAATTTCTCTTATTAATCGTAAATTAATAATAAAAAAGTTTGATGCGAAAATTTCATAAAACTGCAAAACTGCCCAAAAATATTCATTTAATGTGTAACGGAAAATTATACAGTGCTTTTTAAAGAAACCGCCCATTAGAAGTTACAGGAGATCCTGAAAAGTTAGAAATCTGAAAATTTTGGTGTAAAGGATATCAATGTTGTGAGTTTTTCTTAAATATTTTATTTTTTGATATCTCTGGTAATAATGTACCTAGAGGTTTGAAATTTGGTATCGACAATGTCCAGACACAGTAATAAATGAAACTAAACTGACTTTTCATGGTCTATTTACAGGGCGTTTAAAAATGTCTGACTAACTTGGCTAACTTATATTGGCAATAACTGTGTTATTTCAAATGGATCACCCTGTATTGTTAGGCATAGAGATATCATAGAAAATGCATTCGACCGTTTTTCCACAAAATTTCGAAAAAAAAATAAATACCTCAAAAGTGGCGCATATTTGGCATATGGTTTTGTTATCAAAGTCTAGTTAAAAAGAGCCACAGAATCCAAAAATGAAGTCAAAAATGGCACATTCTATTTGAAATAACGAAGTTGGCATCTACTTCCGGTGCAACCGGAAGTCATATATGGTTGAAAATATTTTAGAAAAACTTACAACATTGATTATACATTAATGCTAAATTTTCAGATTTGTAACTTTTTAGGATCTCCTATAACTTCTAATGGATGGTTTCCTTGAAAGGCATGTATAATTTGGTGTAGCATACCTAATAGTTTTAAATGTAGTTATTTTGTAATGCACTTATTAGTTTAGTAGTAATGAAATTGTGTCACAATGCATAATTTGCACATTCCTATATTGAATTATTATTATTCAATATTACAAATACCTTATACCTATAAATGCCTTAGAAATTTCTTCGCTGGTCCATCTGGCTTTGGTTTTATGCTTTAACAAAAAATTTGATTTGGCGTTAAAAAATCTTCTAAAAGGCCTTTAACTTTTGCATTCAACGTCTTTTGACTATATTATTCTACAAACCGTGGTTAAGACTCGCGACAAGACGCATTTTAGAAGAGGTTAAAAAATTTCCAATAAAGTTATATAATCATTTATTCTGTCAATAAACAAAATACATTTTTAATAATAGTTATTAATAAACAACATATTTTTAGGTGACCTTCTAGGTGTTACTTATGGATTTTCGACATCATGGCCATCTTCCATAATACCGAAGCTGCAGTCGAACAACACAGAAGTGAATCCATTATCAGCACCCATAACACCCATAGAAACGGCTACACTAGCGGCTTTGCCATTGGTATTCAATACGATAGGAATAATAGCACTCCTAGTCACATCAAAAATATCAGACAAAATAGGAAGGAAAATGTCACTTATTTGTGCTGCAGCAGTAATTTGTCTATGTTATCTGATTTTAGCGTTCGCCAAGTACATTTCTATTTATTTTCTGTGCTTGGCGTTAATCGGACTTTGCGATGGAGTGATAACGATTAACCTAGCAGCGTACAATTCGGAAATTGCTCAAGACTCAAACAGGGGCAAAGTGATGTGCTTTCAAGGATTATGCGTGCCCATTGGAAATACCGTGGCATATTTCGCGGGATTCACCAACGTTAAAACCATCGCTGGCATAGGCATAATTTGCCCAATGTCATTTTTATGCCTGTCCTATTTTCTAACGGAGTCTCCAGTATTTTTAGTTTCCAACGAAGCGCGATGTAAGAAAGCTCTGGAACGGTTACGGGGTACCAAAGACGTCGAGATGGAGTTTCTTACCATTAAAAAATCGAAAGATGATTTCAGGAAATTCACGATTTTCGATATATTTAAATCGCGCGCTTCGATTAAGTCTTTTGCGTTGTCTGTGGAGCTGTTCTCGGCGGAAATAGCATCGGGCGCTTTCCTTCTGACTGCGTTTATGGCTCCGATATTCGACGATTCCAGAAGTTACGTTTCGGGAAACTCGATAGGGGTCATTTCGGGTGGAATACAGATAGTTTTCGTGTTCTTCGTCTCGTTTTTAGTGGAACGATTGGGCAGGAAACCATTGCTGCTTTTTTCTAGCATTTTCGTCGTACTGAATTTGTTCTGTTTGGGCGTATATTTTTATTTGATAAATAATGATATTTTGGTTAACGGAGAGTACGGATGGATACCTCTATTTCTCGTGGTTTCTTATTATATGGTGTACAGCGTAGGATTGGGTCCTATACCGTTCACTATGACGTGCGAATTGTTTTCGCACGATTTAAAAAAAATTGGTATTTCTGCCGTAATGATTGTCACTAACATACAAGTATTTATAGTCTTGTTTTCTTTTCCTTTAATTACCGAAGCGATCGGAGTTCACTTTTGCTTGTGGCTTTATTGCCTGCTATCTATTTTCGCATTTGTTGCTATTTATATTACTATACCGGAGACTAAGGGCAAGTGCATGTCTGAAATTCAAGATAATTTGGCGCGACATTAATAAATTTTTAGTAAATGGGATAATGCGAGAATTATTATCAAATAGTAATTTTAAATATTTCGTTGTAAATATAAGTAGGTAATTTATTTTCCGTCACAAACTACGGTTTTTCCATAAAATTTTCGTAAAATTTCGGTAAATTCGTTAATTAATAATTCATGAAGCAATAATTTCCCATCATAAATGAATAATACTTAATGACATAATTTACCTACCCTACTTTGTCCTTCGAATAGTTCTATACTGCATAATTGCATCCTTTTTTTACGTAACTTCCTATATTTTTTCTTAAGCTCGAGTTACAAAACTTTTCTAGTTTATTATACAGTTCCTATATTCTTTTTTTTAATAGTTCTAGGAATTGTTAGAATAAAGGAAAACACATTCCGATTTAAAAAGAAACTTTGCATTTGTTATAACAATTACAATGAAACTCATCAATTATCATCAAAATTGTATAACAATACTCATCAATAATAAACTCATCAAAAATACTCATCAAAATTGTATAACAATTAACAGATTTCAGAATTGAATAGGCGCCAGCTAAGCTCCTGTTTTACTGCTATAAAGGACTTTATTTCAAAAAACTTGTATTGTAATGCCAAGCAGTCATTTAAAAATGAAATTATGTAATTTTTGTGATAATTGGTTTTTCTTGTAATGTTTAAATGATTAACATTTAATTGGTATAATGTTAATATTTTATGAATATATTGGCATCCAATATTGGTGAAATCTGGCTATCTTGTGATTAAAAGAAACTTGTAAATGAACAAAATGAAGCCTGTTTTAGATTTAAAGGATTACCATTGATGATTAAATTGTCTGCTTATTATTATTAAAAAAACTTGTATAAAGATAAAATAAAAACTGTATTATATTTAAATTGACATCTAAAATGTCACTTTATTTTTGTTAAAAGATACTTGTATAAATAAAAATCAAACTTTATCATCAAAACGTTCCAATCAAAATTCGAGGGACCTCTGCTTTATTCAAGGGACTTGATGTTTTGATTTCAAACGGGCCCACACTACTTCCTTCCAAAATAGGTACCAGGTCTTGGTCAGGCTCAACATTTTTTCCATCACTTACTACAGTGAATGAGTTATTACGCGTAGTATACTCCTTTGAAGAGGGTCCCAGTTCCTACAATAAAGGAATGAAACATAGCAAAATTATAACCGTTGACATTTATGTTTTCTAGCTTCAGTTTAGTTTTGGTCATTTTGGATATTGGACATGGCTGATTGCGGTAGCCAGAAATTATTCGACGCCGAACACACAATTAAATTCGATGAAGAAAATGTGGAAAGACAAAATTTAAGGAGCAAGTGCGCCTCTTTCCCTTGGCTTTTGTACTTGTGTTCGCTAGCAGGTAAATAATATTTTTTTTAATATAATTTTTCAACGGATAATTTTTTATTCTTGCTTTGTGTTCGGCGGCAAAATTTATTCTGAATTTAACATCACAGTATCATTAACAATTTTGTCATTTTTTTATTTTAGCAAACCTTCTAATGCTAAGTGCCGGTGCCAATACCGTATGGATCTCCCCCATACTTCCCAGATTGCAATCCAACGACACCACGATCAATCCCTTGGGAAGACCGTTGACTTTGCCAGAAACTTCCATATTGGCGTCTCTAGTACCACTTAGTGGCTTAATAACGTACCTACCATCAGCCAAACTAATAGACATCATAGGCCGAAAGAAAATGCTAATTCTCATAGCAATCATGTTGATTATCAATTACATCGGTGCGGCTTTGGCGAGACATGTGTGGTCTTACTACATTTTCACCATAATTTGCGGCGTCACCACGTCGGCTATTTTAGTAAGCGTTCCCGTTTACAATAACGAAATCGCCGAGGACGGGAATAGAGGAAAAATAGGATGTTTCATGGGAATTAACGTGCCCACTGGATTTCTCTTGTGCTACCTCTACGGACCGGCCGTAGACGTCTGCACGTTATTCTGGATCGCTATTTCTGTTCCTATGCTGCATTTAATCCTCGCGATTTTTATAGTCGAATCGCCCACGTACCTGGCTCAGCAAAAGAAGAAAGTAGAGTGCATGAATTGTTTGGAGAGGCTACGAAAGTACAAGGAAGCCAAGCAGATAGAATTGGAATACAACAAAATTGAGTGCATTGTTGTCGATTACAGCAAGCAAAAGAAGAGGAATGTATTTATTTTTATCTACCTGTTTTATTGTTGCGAATGTTTCTATACCAGTGTCCTAGACGTTATTTTTAAATACCTACATACTATGATAGGTTTTTACGATGACGTTATGATTGCACATTATGATTGCATAATTTGTGAAATGTTAATGGAGTATTGTAATTAGGTGTCGATATATGCAATTTTGTGTCAGATTAGTTATAATCTCCAATAAAACCACAACACTGAATGGCAATCAAAACATTATTGATGAGGTCATACATATGTGGGTTTCATATAAGTTCAATGAATAATTTCTGTAAACATTCTAGAATTTTTACTTTTAACAACATAGTAGAGACTGCAAACCATCATCAGCAGTGTATTTTGACGATATACGAGGATATACCGATAGTGATATTTTTGGATTTAAATTTAGAATAATGACCATTCTTAATACATTTTAAATAAATCAAAATAAGTCATAAATATAAAAATATGTTTATGAAATTAATATCAAATATTAAATTTCGCCGTCAAAATACAAAAGCAATGATTTACATTGTAAAACTGCCTAAAATTTGTAGAGTGCAATTAGAAAAAAAAAATTGAAACATTTTTAAACCAGAACCGAAAATTTGGACAAAGATTCTTATCTAAAATCAACAACGTTATTACCCAAATTACAGTGAAATTTTTATTGATATTCATATCTTATTGGGCATATTATTTTCTAGTATTATTACCTACAACTCAAGTGCATACATTATTCTTTTTCTTTATTGTTTCTTTACATTGTATAATACCTCAATGAAATTTTGTTCAACTAGGTCGTTAAATTCCATTAGTTCATTATGGTGAAATTGAATTTAATTCATTTAAATCAATCATCTTCATTGACAAATTTTAATTGAAGACATGTTTGTTTACACTTAATGCAATTTAATCGAAGGTCATAATTCAATTCATGAATTGAAACATTAGCGTTTAAATTTAACCAATTAGGCGAATAGAATAAAAAATAAGTACCTAGCATAATTAGAGCTACTTTTAATAAGCTTTGATTATTTAGAGAAAGAGAGAAAGTGAAGAGGATCTTGCACGGACTCCAGTCAACTATCTCTCTCTAACACCTTTGACCGCACGAGAACATAGGAGACTTCAATCCAGTATGGTTATACATATTTCAATGAGACTGACAGACACTATATTTTTTTTTTTTTTAAATCCATTTTTATATTTTTAAAAAAAAAATCCAAAATTAATGAGACTCATAATAACCGATAACAAGTTTAATTTGTCATTATTGTGTTAATAACTTAAACACCTTCTAAAATCAGTGTGATAGAATTTAATAAGTATATTTGGTCAAAATAAGTGACCTGATTATCTATTTGAAGATTAATAAACTCATTTAGGTGTCGAATGTTGACTAATTTCCTCTGAAATAAAGCTATCTGAGTATTTCAAATGGGATTTTATGTATACTACTTCTTATTATACGATGGTATAATATAAAGAGACGACTGGCAAATTAGATTAAAAAACTATTTGTTATAAAAAATAACAATTTACTTTTTTTTTGCTTTTTATTTTTTTGCTTCATGGCCTCACACAAAATTATAATCAGGCAGTAAAGCTTTATGTAGCGTCTATACACAGTGCGGTTGAACAGGATCCTTATACAGAAAATTTGGTTATTTGAATATAGTATTTTGAATTTGTTGTATATTTTGTTGAATAATTATTGTATTAGCTATATTCGACACTGATAAATTTATTCAGTATATCAAAGAACACGAAAAGCATGAAAATGATGAATGTTGTATTTTCTTTCTGTTTTTTAAGTAAGCCAGTAGCTTCAAGGGTGCTAACAATTTTAATATTTGATTACATTTTCATCGAACCATCTACTTAATATCCAAATTCTACAAAGAAATGACTGAGCCGCATCCTTTTTATCGGGATAGACGATGGATGTATTTACCGATGAAATAAAATGCGGCTGAACGGGTCCTGTTTAACCGCTCCCGTCAAAACGCTATGTATAGTCCCGCACTATTGCAACAAGATAATATACGGATTAAATTAATAATGTAACTAAAAACTGCCTAATCTACCAAAAGATACCACCGTAACCTTATTGAAAGCGCAAATAATTTCAATTTTAATAGGCCGATCAAATATAACAAACTTTTAAGATAAATGATTTAAGTAGGTAGATTTTAAGAATGCTGTTAAATTTAAATTTTGACTTCTTGAACTCGTGCTACATTCGACTATATAAACAACTTTTATATAATATAATATATAATATTATATATATATATATATAATTTTTTCGGAGTATAAATATATGCAGCTTTTAAAATTATGTAAAGTTGACAAAAATTTCTATAATATTTTTTCGCAACGGTGCTAGAGCAACTTTTCAAAACAAATAGGCAATAAATTTCAATTATATTTCATTTACAAATGAAATAATACACAAAGTGTTATAAAAGGTGAAACTGTGATTACTGCGTTATTATATATGTTAATCAGCTAAAATGAGATCTGAAGGTTTTTACGCATCAAATTCCCTTAGTTATAAAATTGAAAGCTATGGCAGGAATTGGTTCGTGTACTTTTGTACTTTCACGTGTAAGTTTACTTTCTCATATATAAAAAAATCCTAATAATAATTGATCACGTAGGCATGTTATATATACGACTTAAAAAATTTAATATCCGATGGTTGCATTTTTGGTTTTAGACTATGCAGAACTTTTTAGGAAGAATAACTTTTTTTCGTAAAAAAGTAATTTCTAATAATTTCTCTTATTAATCG